CACAGACAGAGGTTTGTGGACTTGAACAAACTCTGAGGGGATATCATTTTACGCACAAGCAGCTCATCATCCCATCACACCCCCCATCAGATGTCAAAGAGATAAACAACTACCTGACATTTAGAAGACATCTGAAGGCAGCCCTGTTCAGGGAAGTTTTTAATGTGTAGTATTTTAATGTATTTTTAATCTTTGTTGGAAGCTGCCCAGAGTGGCTGGGGAGACCCAGCCAGATGGGTGGGGTACAAATTAATAATAATTTACATGCCCATAGTGGGTGGAATCAGGGCAAAAGTGGGAGGGGCAACAAATATATATCTTGCCTTTGAACAGTATGGTGGTTTCTAGGTGCATTCATAGACCTCCCCCTGGTCTTCATCCAGACAACCAAGAAGCATTGTCAGAGTACAGAGAGAGACAACTAGGTGTAAGCTGTAGGGGTCTGAGTTTTAATTCATTTATTAAATGACTTTCTAAACTTAATATAAAATATCTAAGCCAGGAACAAGAATATATAAAAATACACAGGATAAAACCAGCAATAAAGCACAATACAAAATCCTTCCTTGCAGACCTAGTCATGAGGTGAACGTTGATTGCACGAACTATGCTAGCCAGATTATCCCTGTGCAAGTATGCTCACAATTGCCTCAGGAGGTAAAAGGTCTTATGGCTGCCCAACTAATTGTTTTGCATTCCTTTTTTGTATGTGCATCTTAGGTTTAGTTTTCCACAAGGCCATAAATCTAGGCTGCACCACTTCAGGCCGCAGGTGGCAATTACTTCAGGCTTCTTTGTCTGTTATTATTTTTCAAATCCCTCCCAGCTAAGAGACTTAACATGCCAGCAGGCAATGAGAGAGGCTCTAGCTTGGCCACCATTGCAACTTGTTGGTCTTTAATGCAGAGGGAATCTTTTGTATGCAGGTGAATTCTGTCATCTGAACAAGCTGAGGTGGTGCAGCCCAGACAGAAATAATGCTTCCTTCCTCAGTGGCCTTTATTCGCACTCTGCCAGTGTGGGCAAAGTCTAGTTCCTTCCAACCTACTCCTGTTTCCTCTTTTTAGCACACACTCTACTTTAGCTCTCATTTTTACTTAACTCTCTGTTTAACTCACTCACTCACAACCCACCCAGGCAATGAGCAACCTTCAGATGGATCTATTTTTAGGAAACCATCAGAATGTGCCTTTAATAGCACCTCTGGACTGTATTAGCAATTCTCACCTGCCAATTGCTGCATGTAAAAGCTACTGTTAAAGGCACAGCTGCAGAATCGGAGTGCAAAATTTGGCAACTCCACAATCTGCAACACCTGCTGCAACAGGTTTTCAATTGTTGACTGAAGATGTAAATCGCACTGATACAAGACCAGTGGGTTCGCCTTTTTGCTACCTCTTGCATTGGACACCTATAAAAGATTGTGTGCAACTAGGTTCTACTCAGAGAAGACCCATTGAAATTAATGGGCTTAGGTTAACCAAGTCTATAAATACCTTGGAGTAGGACTAAGGTTGGCTACAACTCCAAATTATTTCTCAAAAACAAAACAAACCCTGTGGTGGTATTTTTATAGTCCTTGTGAAACCTTAGACCACAATATTTTTCTTAGTCAAGGAGACAGTTTGTGGATTGGTATACTTTTATCATGCACAAAAGATTTTGTGGGACCTCCTCCACCTTACAAAATGTTTTGGTTGCTATGTTTGCATGTGGTAACTAGAATTGTCACACAAACGGAAGCCACCCAGAGTGGCTGGGGAAGCCCAGATGGGAGTGGTATAAATAATAAAATTATTATTAAATATAACTATTTGTTGTTGTTTAGTCATTTAGTCGTGTCCGACTCTTCGTGACCCCATGGACCAGAGCACGCCTGGCACTCCTGTCTTCCACTGCCTCCCGCAGTTTGGTCAAACTCATGCTGGTAGCTTCGAGGACACTGTCCAACCATCTCATCCTCTGTCGTCCCCTTCTCCTTGTGCCCTCCATCTTTCCCAACATCAGGGTCTTTTCCAGGGAGTCTTCTCTTCTCAGGAGGTGGCCAAAGTATTTGAGCCTCAGGTTCAGGACCTGTCCTTCCAGTGAGCACTCAGGGCTGATTTCCTTCAGAATGGAGAGGTTTGATCTTCTTGCAGTCCATGGGACTCTCAAGAGTCTCCTCCAGCACCATAATTCAAAAGCATCAATTCTTGGGCGATCTGCCTTCTTTATAACTATTTAAAGGATGTAAAAACCTGACCTCATCTCTTGGAAAGGGTAGATGGGTTTTTATTTTAATAGAATCATAGAACTGTAGAGCTGGGTCATTTAGTCCACCCTCCCCACAATGCAGGAATATGTAGCTGCCCCATACAGGGATCGAACCTGCAACCTTGGCGTTATCAGCAACACGCTCTAACAAACTGAACTATCCATTTTAATATTGTTTATTCTATAATATGAGGTTTTTGGTTTTTTTAAAGAGACACTCTTTTTATTGCTTTGGAAATTGCGAGCTGGGTAGGTTAACGTTTAAATGTGAACTCGATCAAAATTCTCCCTAGTCACAAGATGCTTTGGGTGGAATTCCGCATGTCACTCTGACAAATGCTCCATCTGCACAAACTTCACAGCTCATCAGATGGAATGATCCCTTCTCTCCTTCTCCAGCACACTCTTTTCACACTCCTGACTCTCACCGAGCCAATTTGGGTGGTGCCACTGAAGGCAGTGGCGTAGAGTGGTTGGAGGCCACAGGGGCAACTGCCCCGCGTGCAAAATTTCAACACCCCTGCCCCAATACAGCTGCATGTTTCCATAGCTGGGCTCTCTTGAAAATGGCTTCTCCATGCGAACCAGGAAGTGATCTCTCAAGACAACGGAAAAACTATTCTTTGCTTATCTTGGCAGCTACAATCTCCTGGGTGACGCAGACGCTGTTAGGCAGTTGAAGTTGAATGTGTATGCGTACTCTGCCTGTTTCCCTTCCTCCCACCCTTCTGCACAGCCCCGGGTGCTGGCAACCTATGCTATGCCACTGGCTGACGGGGCCTGTTAAATGACTCTCTCCCTTTGTTGCAGCAAATTAGCATGGCTACCCCTCTGAGATTTGCTGTGTCCACAGCTGAGGCTTCTCCAGATTCAAGAAGATGTGGGAAGGGACTCTTCTGCATTGGCCTAGACTAGCAAGTTCTATAGTATCAGCAGCTGGTAGGAAGCCAGTGTGGTGTAGTGGTTAGAGCCATTCCAGACTACAACAGGCAAGACCTGGTTCAAATCCCCACTCGTCCACGAACCAATCACCTTATTCCACTGAAGACCATTTATTTCCTTGGCTCAGTTGTTTGCTGACCTGTCTTTTTTGGTCTGCTGGCACCCAAAACCCAGATCAAAGTAAAAAATAGAATGGACAAGTTTTCCAGTGGGCGCCAGCCGGGAAGCTGCTGATAATCAATTGCATAAAGCAAGCTTTGCCAACCTTGTGCTTTCCAGGTATTTTGGACTACAAATCCCATCAGCCCATCTAGCACAGGTGATGGGAGCTGTAGTCCGAAAAGCAAGAGGTTAGGGTGGGCCGGCAAAGCAAACTAGCTTCAGCTGTTTGAGAATATCATCAGTGCTCCCATTCATCTGATTTTTGCCAATCAACCCAGGTTTTCTCTGCCTTGCGTTTCTGGGTATCTGAACAGACCACCCACTCACAGCAGACCCTTTTTGTCATGTGATGCTGTTCCTCCAGCTATTTAAAGCAGCTGGGGCTTGTTCTGCTAAAACTGCAGAGCTGAGATTAGATAGAAGAAAAGGTTGCTTACTTGCTGGCCAGACTCCTGCAAGAGTGTCCCATGGATTGTGTGAGTTCCAGGTGCTCTCTGGTTGTTAGAATAGGAGATGGTTCAGAGGGAGGCTGCAGTATAAACTGCTGGGACAAAGCAGTTCTAGAAACCTGAAAGTGTTAATAGGTAGCTTGTTCTTGCAGGAGAAGAGTAAGCGTGTTTCCTAGATGACAAGTGTTGCTTGTGCTTTTGTATCTTGTTGTTTCTAGTTCCTTGCTAAATATTGTTGGTGCTTTGTCAGGGTGTGTGTGTGTCCTGTTAATGCAATACAGTGGTACCTCGGGTGAAGTACTTAATTCGTTCCGGAGGTCCGTTCTTAACCTGAAACTGTTCTTAACCTGAAGCACCACTTTAGCTAATGGGGCCTCCCACTGCTGCTTGGCCGCCAGAGCACAATTTCTGTTCTTATCCTGAAGCAAAGTTCTTAACCTGAGGTACTATTTCTGGGTTAGCGGAGTCTGTAACCTGAAGCGTATGTAACCCGAGGTACCACTGTACCATCAATACACGCAAAGCTTTCTGGAGCTTAGAAAAAGACTGGTCTCTGTCCCTAGCACCTTACAGTCCAAAAATCTGCCCATCGGAAAGGCAAGTACAGTGTAATTTAATGGGAAGTGGGTGGATAAATGTGGTTTTGTATTATAAGAAAAACTAATCCCTTTCACATATGGGGTATTCCGGAGCCCATATGGAGTCCTTGAGTGGGTTCCCTATTGGTAGGAGAAAACAACAGAGGCCAACCAGAGAATATTGAGAAGCAAAGCAGCTAGTAAGCCTGATCTTTATCAAAGGGATTGTCACAACAGGGTCCCCACTCATTACACACAGGAGGGAGGAGAACCCTGAACAATAGTGCACAAGCCCTTATATAGACTTTTGAAATTGCCCACCCTGTAGTCCAAGACCACACCCCTAAAACATCCTACATACATCACAGAAGGAGATGGTCTACACTACAGCATAGGAGGCGGTCTACAGCAGAAATCCTGCCTGCCAGGATACCTGATAATGGTCACTGATTGCTTTACCTGGGCAGCCTGGCCATTCTTTTGTGATGGTAAATACTTTAGTTCAGGCTTCTTCAACCTTGGCCCTCCAGATATTTTTGGCCTACAACTCCCATGATCCCTAGCTAGCAGGACCAGTGGGCAGGGATGATGGGAATTGTAGTCTCAAAACATCTGGAGGGCAGAGGTTGAGGAAGCCTGCTTTAGTTCCTGAATCCAGGTCACAGGCTCACCCTATTGAATACACAAATATGGCCTTAAGACAGGATTTGCAAGCAAAAAGACAATGGGAAGGCTTTCCCTATTTGCCTCCCTTACTGCAGAGGAATATTTGAGGAGAGTCAAAATGGCTTCAGGATTGCTCTATTTCAGACACATGGTTCATATATTTAGATATGTGTGCATTTATGAATATTCATTCTATATCGGAGACCTTAAAATTCTTATAACAGTGTGCTCAAAGGGGAATGGGTTTGAAGTAAGGACTTCACAGAAAATGTGGGTTTGGCAGAATGCATATTTGAGTGAATTGGTCCAATTGATCTGTGGTGTTATTTATTCACAGTAGTTTTACATTGCCCAGTGATGGAGATCTTGGGACCAGCGCCATCTTTTTTAAATGAACAAGGAATAAAGGGGGCGGGGGCGGAAGGAGGAAAACTCTGGAGGTCCAGTGGAGTTCAGCCTTCTGACCCTAAGCAGCTAATAACTCCTGAAAAAAAAGTAGAAAAAAAGTCAGTTCCTGAAAAGCTTTCCTACCCCTGCTCTAACAAATGAGATGAGTACTTTTCCGAGCACAATTCAAAGTGTTGGTGCTGACCTTTAAAGCCCTAAACGGCCTCAGTCCTGTATACCTGAAGGAGCGTCCCCACCCCCATCGTTCAGCCCAGACACTGAGATCCAGCGCCAAGGGCCTTCTGGTGGTTCCCTCATTGCTAGAAGTGAGGTTACAGGGAATCAGGCAGAGGGCCTTCTTGGTAGTGGCGCCCACGCTGTGGAACGCCCTCCCATCAGATGTCAAAGAGATAAACAACTACCTGACATTCAGAAGACATCTTAAGGCAGCCCTGTTCAGGGAAGTTTTTAATATTTAACGCTGTACTGTTTTTAACACTTGATTGGGAGCTGCCCAGAGTGGCTGGGGAAACTCAGCCAGATAGGCGGAGTATAAATAATAAATTATTATTATTATTATTATTATTATTATTATTATGCATGTGCTTCTTGTTTATGGACTCATAGCCGGCTGCTTCCTTTTCTTATGTATTGTAGGCTTTGTGTCCTAACCTTGATTCATGGGATGAGCCTTGCACCAGCCCAAAGACTGTAAGAGCACCAATTCCCCTTCCTCTGCTGAATCCCACCGTGTCACCGCTACAGCTCAATTTGTGTCTGATTTCTCTTTCTGCAGAAATTGACTGCCACTGAATTTGAACTTGAGCAAGGAGACACCATTCAAGTGAAAGGGATGATCTTGCCAGGTGCCACAGAGTATGTTGTTCTTGTGTTCTTATTTCCCTCCCCGCCAATTTTTATTTATCGTTTTCATTTTTACACTTGAAACAATAACAACGCTTCACTTTTAAAAAGGAAAAACAAACCACAATTAATATCCACTCCACTTCCACCCCTTCCATTCTTCGTTTGCACATTCTAATTCCCCCCTACATCTTATTCTTTCTCAACTTTATATCTCAATATTTCTTACTGCTGAATTTATTTTGTTACTGTTAACTTTTTGATAGGTTTACAGTACATTTCCAAATAATCTATAAAATATTTCCAGTCTTCTTCGAATACTCCCTGCCCCTGTTCCCTTGTTCTATTTGTCAGTCTTGTCATTTCTATATATTCTATGAATAGAATAATTTAATCTATTCATCTGCATCTGCCCTTAGGGTGAAAGGTGGGTAAGGAATAAAGAACCAGCAGCATGTGTCTCTATTCTGTCATTCCTGTGTTTGGATGTGTTTTTCCACGAACTATCTTGGATCCAAATTCAGAAACAGAATGACCTAGCTTGAGGTTGAATCCTGACAAGACAGAAGTACTGTTTTTGGGGGACAAGAGGCGGGCGTGTGTGGAGGACTCCCTGGTCCTGAATGGGGTAACTGTGCCCCTGAAGGACCAGGTGCGCAGCCTGGGAGTCATTCTGGACTCACAGCTGAGCTGTCCATGGAGGCGCAGGTCAATTCTCTGTCCAGGGCAGCTGTTTATCAGCTCCATCTGGTACGCAGGCTGAGACCCTGTCTGCCCGCGGACTGACTCGCTAGAGTGGTGCATGCTCTATTATCTCTTGCTTGGACTACTGCAATGCGCTCTATGTGGGGCTACCTTTGAAGGTGACCCAGAAACTACAACTAATCTAGAATGCGGCAGCTAGACTGGTGACTGGGAGCGGCCACCGAGACCATATAACACTGGTCTTGAAAGACCTACACTGGCTCCCAGTACGTTTCCGAGCACAATTCAAAGTGTTGGTGCTGACCTTTAAAGCCCTAAATGGCCTTGCTGCAGTATACCTGAAGGAGCGTCTCCACCCCCATTGTTTGGCCCGGACACTGAGATCCAGCGCCAAGGGCCTTCTGGCAGTTCCCTCACTGCGAGAAGCCAAGTTACAGGGAACCAGGCAGAGGGCCTTCTCGGTAGTGGCACCCGGCTGTGGAACGCCCTCCCACCAGATGTCAAAGAGAAAAACAACTACCAGACTTTTAGAAGACATCTGAAGGCAGCCCTGTTTAGGGAAGCTTTTAATGTTTAATAGGTTATTGTATTTTAGTGTTTTGTTGGAAGCCGCCCAGAGTGGCTGGGGAAACCCAGCCAGATGGGCGGGGTATAAATAATAAATTATTATTATTATTATTACTAGCTGCATTTTAAGCCTGAGAAGAGTATTCCCAGAGCACTGACTAACTTTTAAAGCAGTGGATCCCTTTCGGAGGCCATCTTCCAACATGGGTGTAGTCAGGATTTGTGTTTTGGGGGGCAGGACCCCCCACCTGTCATCATTCTCTGTCTGGCTCTGTCTAGAAGATTTGGAATGAAATGTCTCAACAACCATTGTTTTAAGTTACTTTCTTTTGACCCCAAGTGTTCAGAAAAACCTGTCAAAATCTTTCTACCATTTCTACTGTTAGTTATCGTATTTTTCACTCTGTAAGACGCACCAGACCACAAGACGCACCTAGTTTTTGGAGGAGGAAAACAAGAAAAAAAATATTCTGAATCTCAGAAGCCAGAACAACAAGAGGGATCGCTGCGTAGTGAAAACAGCAATCCCTCTTGCTGTTCAGGCTTCTGTGATAGCTGCGCAGCCTGCATTCACTCCATAAGACGAACACACATTTCACCTTACTTTTTAGGAGAGAAAAAGTGAGTCTTATAGAGCAAAAAATACGGTAAGTTAGCTATGACACTTCCCCCTGAGGCAGTTTGTTCCAGCTCTTGCTGTTTCTAAATGTATGATGTGAATGTGGCCCTTCAGTCCCAAGTTCGAATTGTAGAGTTGGAAGGGGCCTTAGAGTCATCTAGTCCAACCCCTGCAATGCAGTCACCAGTAACACTTTCACCCTGAGTTCACGTTTTCCCTCCCTGCACTGGTCATCCTCTTAAAGGTTTTCCGTCAATCTGGGCGAAGACTGTGACAATCTCATCCTTCACTTCAACCCGTGCTTTGACAACCAGAATGACACGAGCTCCATTATCTGCATGTCCAAAAAACATGGGGTGTGGGGGAAAGAAGAGAGGATAACCGACTTCCCTTTTGAGAAAGGTGGCAAATTTAAGGTGAGCACTTAGCTGTATATCATAGAATCTTAGAATTGGAAGGGGTCCTAGGGTCATCTAGTCCAACAATTCAGGAATCTCAGCCAAAGCAGCCATGGCAGATGGCCACCCAACCTCTGCATAAGAACCTCCAAGGAAGGAGAGTCCACAACCTTCTGAGGGCATCTGCTACATTGCTGAACAGCTCTTAGCCTCCAGAGCAGGAGAACACAAGCTTGCTCCATCCTCTACACAACAACCCTTTTGATATTTGAAGATGACTATCCTATCTCCTGTTGACTTTGTCCATGGAGTTTTCTTGGCAGGGATACTGCAGTGGCTTGTCGGTTCCTGCTCCAGGTGGATCACGTTTGGTCAAAACTCTCCACTATGACCTGTCCATCTTGGGTGGCCCTGCACGGCATAGCTCATAGCTTCTCTGAGTTATTCAAGCCCCTTCACCACGGCCAGGCAGTGATCCCATGGACTGCAAGAAGACCAAACCTCTCCATTCTTAAGGAAATCAGCCCTGAGTGCTCACTGGAAGCTGAGGCTCCAATACTTTGGCCACCTCATGAGAAGAGAATCATAGAATCATAGAGTTGGAAGAGACCACAAGGGCCATCGAGTCCAACCCCCTGCCAAGCAGGAAACACCATCAGAGCACTCCTGACATATGGTTGTCAAGCCTCTGCTTAAAGACCTCCAAAGAAGGAGACTCCACCACACTCCTTGGCAGCAAATTCCACTGTCGAACAGCTCTTACTGTCAGGAAGTTCTTCCTAATGTTTAGGTGGAATCTTCTTTCTTGTAGTTTGGATCCATTGCTCCGTGTCCGCTTCTCTGGAGCAGCAGAAAACAACCTTTCTCCCTCCTCTATGTGACATCCTTTTATATATTTGAACATGGCTATCATATCACCCCTTAACCTCCTCTTCTCCAGGCTAAACATGCCCAGCTCCCTTAGCCGTTCCTCATAAGGCATCGTTTCCAGGCCTTTGGCCATTTTGGTTGCCCTCCTCTGGACACGTTCCAGTTTGTCAGTGTCCTTCTTGAACTGTGGTGCCCAGAACTGGACACAGTACTCCAGGTGAGGTCTGACCAGAGCAGAATACAGTGGCACTATTACTTCCCTTGATCTAGATGCTATACTCCTATTGATGTAGCCCAGAATTGCATTGGCTTTTTTAGCTGCCGCGTCACCAGAAAACTCCCTGGAAAAGACCCTGATGTTGGGAAAGATGGAGGGCACAAGGAGAAGGGGACGAAAGAGGACGAGATGGTTGGACAGTGTTTTCAAAGCTACTAACATGAATTTGACCAAACTGCGGGAGGCAGTGGAAGACAGGAGTGCCTGGCGTGCTCTGGTCCATGGCGTCACAAAGAGTCGGACACGACTAAACAACAACAACATCCTATCTCCTCTCAGTCTCCTCTTTCCCATGCTAAACATACCCAGCTCCTTCAACCATTCCTCATAAGGCTTGGTTTCCAGACCCCCTCTGCACACATTCCAGCTTGTCAACATCCTTCTTAAATTGTGGCACTCGGAACTGGACTAGGTCAGCAATATCAAAGGGTGTGTGTGAATGCAGCAGGCAGGTGTGTGGCTTCTGCAGGAGGTGGTCTCTGTGGTGGGAGTGTTTTGGGGGTGCTGAACCTGCAACCCTCCAGATGAAATTGCGCTCCCAACTCCCATCAGCCCCAGCTAACATGACCGGTAGTCAGACACAATGGGACCAATAATCCAGCAACATCTGGTGAACTCCAGGTTCCCCTGTGAACGGGGGGAGACTTCCTTGTAACATAGCAGGGTTCAGTTTATGTGTGCAGAACAACGGTTGGGGGTCTGGCATGTGTGAGCAGTACTTGTATGGGATTTGTAAACTGTGTGTTAAAAACCAACCCATCGTTGCCTATGGAAATCTAGCTTGTAAGTGGGCCTGTCTAATCTCTGTTGGGAGGGACTTTCTCAGAATTTGGGTCCCTAATATCTAATGTGTAGCTTTAGATACCACCTTGCCAACAAAGGCCCGTATAGTTAAAGCTATGGTTTTCCCAGTAGTGATGTATGGAAGTGAGAGCTGGACCATAAAGAAGGCTGATTGCCAAAGAATTGATGCTTTTGAATTATGGTGCTGGAGAGACTCTTGAGAGTCCCATGGACTGCAAGAAGATCAAACCTATCCATTCTGAAGGAAATCAGCCCTGAGTGCTCACTGGAAGGACAGATCCTGAAGCTGAGGCTCCAAGACTTTGGCCACCTCATGAGAAGAGAAGACTCCCTGGAAAAGACCCTGATGTTGGGAAAGATGGAGGGCACAAGGAGAAGGGGACGACAGAGGACAAGATGGTTGGATAGTGTTCTTGAAGCTACCAGCATGAGTTTGACCAAACTGCGGGAGGCAGTGGAAGACAGGAGTGCCTGACGTGCTCTGGTCCATGGGGTCACGAAGAGTCGGACACGACTAAATGACTAAACAACAACAACAACAACAAGCTTCTGGTGCAAACAAGCAACGCATCACTAGCAGAAAATCGACCCATACCAACAGGTTAACCTGGATTAATAGCATTTATTTAACTCTCTGTAGATAAGAGTAAAATGGGGGTGCAAGGCAATTCTGATGCGCCCTAGACTGCCACACTTGGGGTCAGAACAGCCTGGGGTGCCCTTGCAGGAACCATTCCTTTAAAAGCTTTCAAATGCTGCCTGGGACATGTGTTTTGTTTTTAAAGTGTGTGGTGTCCCCCGCTGGTCATGATTATTCCTTTTATTTCTTGTAGCTTTCCTTCATTCTTTACACTTATGAGATCAAGGTGCAGCTAGCAGCTGGCCATGACATCTTCTTCCCCAACAGGCTGGGCCTGGAGACCATCAAGTACGTTGCGGTGGAAGGAGACGTCAGGATCAAAGCCCTCAGATTTCTCAGATTATCCTAGTCCCAAGTCACTGTTGTCTTGTTACATGTCTGAATAAACACAGCTTGTTCTCTTCAACACATGTCATTTCACATGGTTTTATTTTGTAAGAGGGAGGAAGGGGGCAATTTTCAGGCCAGGAGCTGCTGCTATTATTATTATTATTATTATTATTATTATTATTTACTCTGCCCATCTGACTGGGTTTCCCAAGCCCCTCCAGGTGGCTTCCAGCACATATAAAAACATAATAAAATGCCAAACATTTAAAATGTTAAGAGTTTTCAACATACGATACAATAAGAACCCAACTAGCGTAAAAAACAACAACGGAAAATTAAGGATAAAGGAGCAAAAGAGGAAAGAAAGAAAGAAAAGAGAGAAATAAATTAATATAATAAAACACAAAGAGACGATAGAGAAGAAGAAGAAGACGAGGAGTTTGGACTTGATATCCCGCTTTATCACTACCCGAAGGAGTCTCAAAGCGGCTAGAGAGAGATATAGAATCTCCTATCACACTTGTTTCTTAATTTTCAATCTGCATACAGAGAATTTAATTCTCCCAGCACTTCCTCCTTCCTCAGTCTCACACACCCAAAAAATCACTCTAGCTTGCCTCTCAAACGGCTCCCTTTCTCTTTGGTCTATTACCTCTCTGAATCTACCTTCATTTATCCTGATTATATGTCTTCAGAGATCAAAACATTCATATGAATAACATTAATTGAGAACCATAAAAAATTAAAGATCTTTGGGAATGGGTGGGGGTGGGGGTGTTGAGGAAAAAAGCCTTTGAGGGCCACATTCCACTGGTGAGTTGGGGTTGGGGCCCAATATAGGTTGAGGAACAAATGGAAGTTTTTCCTTTATGGCTTCTGCGCGCACACAGGCAGAGCACTTTGCAGCAGTAGACCCTACCCCAAAGCGACGGGTCAGGCCGTAGCTTAGACATGGAATGCCTGCTCTACATGCACAAGGTCCCTGGTCCAATTCTTCGCTCAATTCTCCGGGTAGGACTAGGAATGTCCCTCATCCGAAACCTTGGACAGGCTCTGCCAGTCAGTCAGGGCTGGATTTAGGTTTGATGAGGCCCTAAACTACTGAAGGTAATGGGGTCCTTTATATGGGGCAGCTGTCTACCAGCTCCACCTGGTACGCAGGCTGAGACCCTACCTGCCCATGGACTGTCTCACCAGAGTGGTGAATGCTCTAGGTATCTCTCGCTTGGACTACTGCAATGCGCTCTACGTAGGGCTACCTTTGAAGGTGACCCAGAAACTACAACTAATCCAGAATGCGGCAGCTAGACTGGGAGCGGCCGCCGTGACCACATAACACCAGTCTTGAAAGACCTACACTGGCTCCCAGTATGTTTCTGAGCACAATTCAAAGTGTTGGTGCTCACCTTTAAAGCCCTAAACAGCCTCGGTCCAGTATACCTGAAGGAGCGTCTCCACCTCCATTGTTCTGCCCGGACACTGAGGTCCAGGGCCGAGGGCCTTCTGGCAGTTCCATCTCTGCGAGAAGCAAAGCTACAGGGAACCAGGCAGAGGGCCTTCTCGGTGGTGGCGCCTGCCCTGTGGAACGCCCTCCCATTAGATGTCAAAGAGATAAACAACTACCTGACATTTAGAAAACACCTGAAGGCAGCCCTGTTCAGGGAAGCTTTTAATGCGTGACATTTTGATGTATTTTTAATTTTTGTTGGAAGCCGTCCAGAGTGGCTGGGGAAACCCAGCCAGATGGGTGGGGTACAAACAAACAAACAAACAAACAAACAAATAAAATGTCCAACTGTCCTTTGTCAACAACCAATTATCACTGTTTTTTGTATTGAATATATGCTATATGGTAATTTATGGACCTAACAGGTATCTAAAGCCATTTGCATATGCAGATTGTAGACACCTTAGATATAGAAATGAGCAAACCCGTGATATTTTAGGGAGCAGGCAAGCAGGCGGGGCCCATTACTTACATCACAGGAGCCTACACAACACAAAACACTGTTGCTGTATGTAGGTTTTATTTTATTTGTTTTTTATCTTCTATTTTGGAAATGTACATCCAGTTTCTTTTTCCTTAAAAAAAATTTTGGGCCCCCAAAAGAGTGGGGCCCTAGGTTATAGCTTATTTAGCTTATATGTAAATCCGGCACTGCAAATGGAGCCGTGCACTGTCTACTCAGAAGTAAGTCCCACTGTAATCAATGGAGTTTACTCCCAGGTAACTGGGTAAAGACTGGGTAGCTTTATACTGCAATCCTAAGCATTTTTACTCAGAACTATTTCCCACTGAGTTCAATAGGATTTACTCTTTGGTATGTTCCTGAGCATTCTCACAGTTTCCATCATTTTTATTATTACTATTACTATATTCCACCTCTCTCCCTGACAGCGACTCAAGGCAGCTTTCAGCTAAAATTTGATTTCATTCCATTTATCTGCGGAAGCTGTTGTATACGATCCCTTCCCACATTTATTCCCTTCTTCACATTTATTCTTTACAACACTCCTGCTAGGTAGGTTACCTGGAGTGCTTGTAATTGGCTCAAGGTGATGTAGATGTGTGTATTCAATCTATGTGTTTGGCGAGATCAAATGCAGGAGTAATAATAATAATAATAAATATTTATACCCTGCCCATCTGGCTGGGTTTCCCGAGGGAGAAGAGGATGTCCACATTTTCATCAAAGAAATTAGCTAAGGCTGTGTTTAAAATAGTGCTTTTGCGGGCCCATAAAGTTTGTTGGAATAAGCAACAGACTGCAATGTCCACTGTGCTGAGAGAATATCAGCCACCAGATGGTTATTGAACCTAAGAACAGAAAGCCAAGTGGCCCTTCTACATTTTGTGCTTTGCTTTCTCTTTAAGCTTTCCTGCTTCTATCTGCTGTATCCCAGAAATGCCTGCTGAAATTAAAAGTTTACAGCAGAGAACCAGCTTCCAGCACCACCAATCAGGAGCACTTTGCTGCTGCAGGCCCATAAAAGCCATTTACATCTAAATCTAATTTAATTGGCCGGCCGGCCTTTGCTGCTTGTGCTGCTTTCCAAAATCCAAATCAAATCAAAGAAGCAATGACCAAATATTTCAAGGAGCCCAAGCCAGGAGGCTGCTGAGATCAATTGCACATTAAGAAGTAGCATCAGCTGTTTGAGTTTACGATTAGTGTTTCTATTCATTTGAAAGCCGCTAGCTTCCCACCCCATTGACTGATTTTTCCTGCTTGCATTTCTGCCGGTCTTCACTCAGAGGATAACCTTTTTGTCATGTGATGCAATTTCCCCAGATATTTAAGGGCAGCTGGGGAGTCTTTGCTGAAACCTTTTAAAAAGCAGCTGGAAGTGGCTTGATTTATTGAATCTCAGAGAGAAGAAAGTATTGCTTACTTGCTGGACCCTAGCGAGATTGTATCATGGAGACGGTGAGTCCGGGGTTCTCTGTTGCTGCTGTAAGACTAGGAGACAGTTGATATTGAGGTGGTAATACAAGCAACAGGCACTGAACAGCGCTGGAAACTTATCAGCTTGGGAATGAGTTAACAGTTATCAGCTAGGAAACAATCTACGTGTGGCACTTCTAGCCTTCCCTGTCTTGTTGCTTCTGGTTTCTTACTAAATTCTTTTTTTGTGTTTTGTCAGTGGGACTCTCCTCTGTTTTTGTTTGTTTGTTTTTTAAAATTTATTTAATCGTTTTTTTGATGCAAACAACAACCACAAAAGACACTACAACAAAAACCATAATAATAATAACACAATTTGACAGTTCAGATTTAAATACACCAATATACCTTTTAAACAATATTTTCCCACCTCTCTCTCCTCCCCCCACTTCCCCCCACTATCCGCCTTATCGCTGAAATATTCATTCCAGATTTCTTCATATTTATCCATTCTTAATTTGCGTCGACATGCAATTCGTTCACATGTAGCTAATCTGTCCATATTCTCAAGCCAAGCCATGTGCTCAATGGACTCTTTTTCTCTCCTCTGTTAATGACGAGACCGTATTATCAAAATGCATGGTGATTTCCAGCATAAATGAAATGATGAGTCTCACCGAACTTACAAACAGTGGTTTACCTGTGGGAGAAGCAAGTATAATGTGATTTTAGGGGATGGTGGTGTGCAAATGTAGCTTTTCATGCTCAAACTGCCCAAGGCAGGTAATTCCCTGTGAGGGGGCCCAGACTCTGAGCTTCTATTTTAAAAATAGAAATCTCTAGCCCACTAGAAGGAAAGTTATAGAGCAAAAGGTGCAGGTACCATTCTAAGCAATTTCTGCAAGGTAATGTTAGCCTGGCTCCTGCTGCCTTGCAGTGTTTTTAACCAGTGAGTGAAGTCATTTTTTTATTATTATGTCATAAAATTTATATACTGTTTGATTGTAGGAAACTTTAGTGTAGTTTACCCTGCTCTGCCCCTCCTATGACAAATGAGATACAGTGGTACCTCTGGTTAAGTACTTAATTCGTTCCGGAGGTCCGTACTTAACCTGAAACTGTTCTTAACCTGAAGCATCACTTTAGCTAATGGGGCCTCCTGCTGCTGCTGCTGCTGCTGCTGCGCCACTGGAGCCCGATTTCTGTTCTTATCCTGAAGCAAAGTTCTTAACCTGAAGCACTATTTCTGGGTTAGCAGAGTCTGTAACCTGAAGCGTATGTAACCTGAGGTACCACTGTATTACCTATGCTCTTGTCTATTTGTTTGTTGCTGGCTGCATCCTTTGGTCCTGTCTTGTAGAAATTAGAAAGTCTTCTCTACCCATGACTCATGGGCTCAATTTGTTTCCTGGCCAAAGATTGTAACGGCACTAATTTTCCCTCTCCTTTCCTCTGTCTCTCCTAAATCTCACCATGCTATCGCTATGGTTGAAAACCTGTCTGGTTTCCCCTGCCGTAGAAGCTGATTGCTACCCACCTTCAACTTCTGCACGGAGACACGGTTCTAGTGAATGGGAGGTGCTGGGAAGATGCCAAAAGGTAAGCTGAAAAGGCAGGAAGAGTGTTCCTAGGACTGCAGTAGTGAGGAACCCCAGCCTTGGGGCAGGATGAGACCCTACATCTCTCTCTGTCTCTGGCCCGCAGACCTGTCTCGGACTGCATATTTCCCTGGCCCTGCTCCACACCCTTCCTAAGTATTTTGGCCTGGCTGGAATGTGTCCTTGAACTCCGATATGCCTCTTGCTTGGATGGAGAGAGGAGTGGCAATGTGTATAGAAATTATGTCACTGTAAAAGGTAAAAATTGCAACCAACGTTTGCCTCTGGCATGTTGCGTTGACCTGGAAAAGGTTCATTCCCCTCCCTGCTGTTCTAGTGTGCACATGAAATCCTCCTCCTTGCAATCTGAACTCACTGGATTAATTCCCACCCTTTAGATCAGGCTTCCCCAACCTGGTGCCCTCCAGAACTGAAATCCCATCACTCCTGACTGCTGGGTATGCTGGCTGGGGCTTGTCCCAAAGGCCTGAAGGGCACCAGGTTGCGGAAGATGCACTTTAACCAACAAAATACAGTTGGGATGGCTGATCTGCCAATCCTTCAAAACATGTGCAGGTGGGGAACACATAGCCTCCTTGACTGCTTACCCTGCTCGGTCCCTTTATTACAATAATAATAATTTATTATTTATACCCTGCCCATCTGGCTGGGCTTCCCCAGCCACTCTGGGCGGCTTCCAACAAAATATTAAAATACAGTAATGCATCAAACATTAAAAGCTTCCCTAAACAGGGCTGCCTTCAGATGTCTTCTAAAAGTCTGGTGGTAGTTGTTCTCTTTGACACCTGGTGGGAGGGTGTTCCACAGGGCAGGTGCCACCACCAAGAAGGCCCTCTGCCTGGTTCCCTGTAACTTGGCTTCTCGCAGCAAGGGAACCGCCAGAAGGCCCTCGGCACTGGACCTCAGTGTCCGTGTAGAACAAAGGGGGTGGAGACGCTCCTTCAGGTATACTGTACCGAGGCCGTTTAAGGCTTTAAAGGTCAGCACCAACACTTTGAATTGTGCTCAGAAACGTACTGGCAGCCAGTGTAGGTCTTTCAAGACCGGTGTTATGTGGTCTCGGTGGCATCTCCCAGTCACCAGTCTGGCTGCCGCATTCTGGATTAGTTGTAGTTTCCGGGTCACCTTCAAAGGTAGCCCCACGTAGAGCGCATTGTGGTAGTCCAAGCGGGAGATAACCAGAGCATGCACTGCTCTGGTGAGGCAGTCTGCAGGCAGGTAGAGTGTCAGCCTGTGTACCAGATGGAGCTGGTAGACAGGACCCCACCCTGGACACAACTTTCTGCAAGTTGCTAGCCCTCATCTGCGGTAGAGGGATAAGAATGCCAGCTTACATTGCAAGATTGTTGTAAGTCCTGCATTGCAGGGGGTTGGACTAGATGATCCTTTGGGTCCCAACTCTACAATTCTATAAGAAGCTATTTAAGGGTGAATGTGGGGTTGTGAGGTTGACATGAGTTAAGTAACTTAAAAGCTACGCAGAAGGAAGGCACAACAAGCAGGGAGTGGGCTCTATCTTGCCACCGCAGCCATATACATCAGGCGTCAGCAAACGTTTTCAGCAGGGGGCCGGTCCACTGTCCCTCAGACCTTGTGGGGGGCCGGACTATATTTTGAGGGGGGGGGGAGAATGAACGAATTCCTATGCCCCACAAATAACCCAGAGATGCATTTTAAATAAAAGGACACATTCTACTCATGTAAAAACACGCTGATTCCCAGACCGCCCATGGGCCAGATTTAGAAGGTGAGTGGGCCGGATCTGGCCCCCAGGCCTTAGTTTGCCTACCCATGATATACATTCAACTCCAGGCAGACAAAGACTTCATTATTGTCTGCAATCTAGAACCTTGCTTTATAGTTAAGAGTTCTCACGAAACCTAAATCTTTGGGCTGAAGACTTCCTAGCTGCATAGCCCATATATATCAATACCTGGTACTGGGGGCCTGTATTAGTTGCTCTGCCGGTTTCACTCTGCATCCTTGCTTCGTATCTGTTATCCTCGCCAAGCTTTGTTGTGAATCTGGGCCAAGACTGTGAAAACGTCGTCCTTCACTTCAACCCCCGCTTTAACTACCGGACCGATGTGAACGTCATTGTCTGCAATTTCAAGAAGCTGGGGAAGTGGGGAAAAGAGGAGAGACTAAACTTCTTCCCTTTTGAGCAAGGCGGCAAAGTTAAGGTGAGAACTTGGCAGAAGTGGGGTGGGTGGGTGGGTGGGTGGTTTCTCTGCAAGTCCTGGTTCCATTATGGTGGAGGTATGCTGGGGGGGGTTTGAACCTGTGGTCCTCCAGGTGACATTGCGCTCCAAACTCCCATCAGCCCCAGCCAGCTTGCCCAGTGGTCAGGCACGATGGGGCCAGCAGTCCAACAGCACTTGGAGTGCCTAAGTACAGAACACCTGGAACCCCACTGTGTGTCGTCTTCTAAGATTTCACCTTCCCAGCTGTTTTTTAGCCAAGCTGGTGCCTTCCAGGGGTGTTGTCTCAGGCTGATGGGACTTGTCATCCGGAAGATGAGGTTGATGTAAAGGTAAAGGGACCCCTGTCCATTAGGTCCAGTCGTGGCTGACTCTGGGGTTGCTGGAAAAGCAAGAAACAGAACAAAACTTAAACTGGCAATTCCGTAGACCAGGACCATCCAATGAATATAAGTTATAGAAGGATTAGGGTAGACAAAAGGAAGTATTCACACAACACATGGTTAAACTATGGCATTCTATACCACCACTTTAGTAAAGGGACCCCTGAACATTAGGTCCAGTCGTGGCCGACTCTGGGGTTGCGGCGCTCATCTCGCTTTATTGGCCGAGGGAGCCGGCGTACAGCTTCTGGGTCGTGTGGCCAGCATGACTAAGCCGCTTCTGGCAAACCAGAGCAGCACATGGAAACACCGTTTACCTTGCCACCGGAGCGGTTTATCTACTTGCCCTTTGACGTGCTTTTGAACTGCTAGGTTGGCAGGAGCAGGGACTGAGCAACGGGAGCTCACCCCATTGCGGGGATTCGAACTGCGGCCTTCTGATCGGCAAGTCCTAGGCTCTGTGGTTTAACCCACAGCGCCACCCACGTCCCTGAGGTTGGTGTAGACTCTGCTAAACTCACAAGTTCACACCAAGTCAACCAACCCTCCTAGGCCATCCTGCCAGCTGCCCTAACAATACTTTGGCTTTTGAGGTCCCCTAATCTAGCTAGAGGGACGCAGGTGGTGCTGTGGTCTAAACCAGAACCATTCAAAAACCAAGATGCAGCTTCTGATTGGCTGCAGGGGCATCCTGCAGTCAATTGGAAACTGTGCCAGACGTTCAGCTTCCAAAAATTGTTCAGAAACCGGAACACGCACTCCCAGGTTTCGATCGTTTGGGAGCTGATTTGTTTGGGAGCCCAGGCGTTTCAGATCCAAGGTATGGCTGTACAGTCTTTTAATGTCCAGAGGAGGGCAACCAAAATGGTCAAAGGCCTGGAAACGATGCCTTATGAGGAACGGCTAAGGGAGCTGGGTATGTTTAGCCTGGGGAAGAGGAGGTTAAGGGGTGATATGATAGCCATGTTCAAATATATAAAAGGATGTCACATAGAGGAGGGAGAAAGGTTGTTTTCTGCTGCTCCAGAGAAGCGGACACGGAGCAATGGATCCAAACTACAAGAAAGAAGATTCCACCTAAACATTAGGAAGAACTTCCTGACAGTAAGAGCTGTTCGACAGTGGAATTTGCTGCCAAGGAGTGTGGTGGAGTCTCCTTCTTTGGAGGTCTTTAAGCAGAGGCTTGACAACCATATGTCAGGAGTGCTCTGATGGTGTTTCCTGCTTGGCAGGGGGTTGGACTCGATGGCCCTTGTGGTCTCTTCCAACTCTATGATTCTATTCTATGATTCTATGAATGTATTAACATGTAGAGTTAAGACAGGTCTGGCTCTTGGGCTTTGGAAGGGCACAAACTCGGCCGCCATGAAGAGCCCTGGGGTCGAAGCAGCTCATGATGCTCTTGCACAAGACCTGGACACTGAATGGTCAAGTCGGAACGTCTCCAGAATGACTGCCATTCTGCCAGAAGTCTTCAAACGCCATCGGGCTTTGTAAAAAGTGTTTCGTGCCCAACGCCAATTGTGATTCCTCCTTCTGCTTCTTTCAGATCTCCTTCACCTTTCTTTCTTCAGAGATAAAAGTCTTGGCAGAGGGCCATGAATATACCTTCCCCAACCGTGTGGGCCTGGATGTCATCAGCTACATAGCAGTGCAAGGAGACATTAACCTCAGAGTCCTCAAACTTGTCCCCCCTCGTCCTGTGGATGAATAAATTCAATTGTGTTATTCAAAGAAAGGCCGCATCACATGTTTTGATTTTAGAACGGGTATGGTGAACCGTTTTTCAGCTTGAGGGCCTCATTCTGTCCTAGACAACCTCCAGAGGGCTGCCATGTGGGAACAGTTGATTGGGTCAGAGGCCCAACACATGGGAATTTCACCTTTCAGGTTCTCTGCACACTCACCCCGCCTTTTCTGGTCCTCCATCCAGGCCACCAAGAGAAATGGTCAGATTTCAAGAACACATTGAAGGCAGGCAAAACTCATGGAATACAGAATAATAATAATTTTATTATTATTATTATTTACTCCCCGCCCATCTGGCTGGGTTTCCCCAGCCACTCTGGGCGGCTTCCAACCGAATATTAAAAACACAATACAGCATTAAACAATAAAAAATTCCCTAAACAGGGTTGCCTTCAGTTGTCTTTTAAAAGTAAGATAGTTGCTTATTTCCTTGACATCTAATGGGTTGGTGAGGGTTGTAGCCTGGGCATACTTCCAAGGGCCAGATAAGAAGGTCCTGGGGGCAACATTTGGCTCCCTGTTCTGAGGGTCCCCACCTGTATTTTATAACATCTTTTGGATTATGCTCTTCTGCTTTTGGTTGACAGCAAAGAGGAAGCCATGATCCCCTCTGCCGGGGTTTCCTGAGTCATTGACCTCAAACATTTCTCTCTCTTGGCTTGGTATCTATTCTAAACAGCCGTCTTGATAGGGAGGTCCCCTCTGTTGAAGCAGCATCAAAGGTTGTCCTCATCTGAAGTGGGAGGGGTGGTGTGTTTACTGTGCAAAACTGCATCAAACATACGAAACGGGATTCAGCCTTAGTTTTTTGGGATGTTTTGTTGTCCTCTTCAGTTAGCTAAGGCTTGCATGTGATGGCACATGCAAACTTAGATGTTCTTCTGTGACTTTCTGCTTGAATTGTGGCAGTTCAGTATAAATGGGAGGGTATCTTAAATATAATTCAGTTTGGTTTTACAAATGCATTGCTATGTTTTTAAGAGAAGCGAGGCCAAGATGCTGCTGCTGCTTTCTCTTTTCTCTAGAGTCAAAGAAGCTTACTATTAGTTCCTTTTGCTGCCCTAAAATTGCAGTTTACAAGGTGTGTTCTTGTTTTCTGAAACATAACTGCTAATAACTAATGCTGAGTGTGCCACCTATTGGCTGAAGCAAGTTGCAGGTCTTATTAAAGGACTTAAATATCAAGAACCTCAGATATGCAGATGACACAACCTTGATGGCAGAAAGTGAGGAGGAATTAAATAACCTTTTAATGAGGGTGAAAGAGGAGAGCGCAAAATATGTCCTGAAGCTCAACATAAAAAAAACTAAGATCATGGCCACTGGGCCCATCACCTCCTGGCAAATAGAAGGGAAAGAAATGGAGGCAGTGGGAGATTTTACTTTCTTGGGCTCCATGATCACTGCAGGTGGTGACAGCAGTCACAAAATTAAAAGACGCCTGCTTCTTTGGAGAAAAGCAATGACAAACCCAGACAGCATCTTAAAAAGCAGAGACATCACCTTGCCGACAAAGGCCCATATAGTTAAAGCTCTGGTTTTCCCAGTAGTGATGTATGGAAGTGAGAGCTGGACCATAAAGAAGGCTGATCGCCGAAGAATTGATGCTTTTGAATTATGGTGTTGGAGGAGACTCTTGAGAGTCAGGTGGACTGCAAGAAGATCAAACCTCTCCATTCTGAAGGAAATCAGCCCTGAGTGCTCACTGGAAGGACAGATCGTGAAGCGGAGGCTCCAATACTTTGGCCACCTCATGAGAAGAGAAGACTCCCTGGAAAAGACCCTGGTGTTGGGAAAGATTGAGGGCACAAGCAGAAGGGGATGACAGAGGACGAGATGGTTGGACGGTGTTCTCGAAGCTACCAGCATGAGTTTGACCAAATTGTGGGAGGCAGTGCCTGGCATGCTCTGGTCCATGGGGTCACGAAGAGTCGGACACGACTAAACAACAACAACAAGAAAGTTTTTATATTTTTGCTTCAGGTCTACCTATGGCCTTTCCCCAGTGGCTTTGGACCTGGAAAATAGTTGATGTGGGAGACCTAAACAACCCTCTCTTCCAGCACCACCTCCCTGGGGAGTTTTTAAGTAAAAATAAAGTAGTAGGGAGGAGTTCATCTGAAGGCTTACCAATAATAATATACCCCACCCATCTGACTGGGTTGCCCCAGCCACTCTGGGCAACTTCCAGCCCTCGTATCTACGGGACCGCCTCTCCTGGTATGCCCTGCAGAGGACCTTAAGGTCCATGAATAACCATAGTTTAGAGGTCCTGGACCCTAAGGAAGTCAGACTATCCTCCACGAGGGCCAGGGCCTTTTCAGTGATGGCTCCAACCTGGTGGAATGCTCTGTCCCATGAGACCAGGGCCCTGCAGGATTTAACCTCCTTCCGTTGGGCCTGTAAGACAGAGCTATTCCTGTAGAACGCCCTCCCACCAGAGAAAGAGAAAAATAGACATCTGAAGGCAGCCCTGTTTAGGGAAGCTTTTAATGTTTAATAGGCTATTGTATTTTAGTGTTTTGTTGTAAGCCGCCCAGAGTGGCTGGGGAAACCCTGCCCGATGAGCAGGGTATAAATAATAAATAAATTATTATTATTATTATTATTATTGAGAGCTGCAAGACTGGCCCCAAGCAGAGCAGTTAAATAAAAGAAGAAGAAGAGAAAATGGACGTAAGCTTGCAGGTGCATTCCTCTTCCTGTGTGTTGAATTCCCAAGGGGGTGATAATGTTCCAAAGATTGCCAAAAGATTCCAGCAAAGGCAGGGCAGAACTCTTCCTGGGAAACAATCCGTTCCTTCTCTGAAGGTGCTTTGTTGCTGCAAGGTCTTTTATTCCACAAACAACTGCTTCTTTGACTCTGCCCAGATATGCTTGCTTTTCCTGGACCGTTAAAATATCACTTTGCCATTTTTGCCATTTTTTCAGAATCTCTGGAGGGATCATTAAAGGGATGTTTATTAATTCAATTATCGAAAAGCCTGCCGGTTTAAGATAAGAAGGCAACAGCATGTTGGCTCAAATTCCACGAAGATGGAAATCTGGAAGCTCAGACCTGTGCTTTAGCAGATGTGTCTTGTGATCAGCAATGATGTTGTGCAATGTAATGAATTGTGCTTGCTTACAATTTGCCCTCATTTGGGGCAAATTTGGGCTTAGGCACCCCCAGTTATTATTTTAAAACTTATTTTAGATATTGGGTGTACTTACATGCCCTTTTCAGTGCCTTGCAGATAGAGTTGAGCTTTGGGCTGGACAGGAATCAACCCAGTCCTTCAGACAATACTCTCTTAGATGCAATGGGTGTATGATTTATGGTGTCCCAGAGCTAATTTTGGGGGTTACATCCTGATTTTCTTACTTGTTGTTCTCATTTGAGGTTCTTCACTAGTGTTGCACAAGCACAACAACCTTGATCAGAGAACGTTGGTCCAGTAGGGGTGGGCGAGTCTGTCCAATTTGGTTTCTCTCATTTTTACAGTGTCCAGTTCACCAGATTTCCACAGCAAACTACACTGAAAAAATATCCCCATGAAAATTCAACAGTATATTTGTGTGAATTTCTCACAATACGCACACTTTTGTATGCAGATTTTTAACATACAGATTTTTGCATGAAGCTTTCCCTAATATTGTGCATTTTTATGTTACGGTCACAATATATGCATTTCTGTACCACGTTGGCTGGAGAACTAGATCACAAAATTTGGAGAAATGCAAAGCTTGAAGGATTCTTGTGTTTCAGTTTATGTATTAGTTTGAGAAGTGAGAATTAGGTAGTTTCTGTCTTAAATGCAAACAGAATCTAATTTACCACCCAGAGTGGCTTGGGGCAACCCAATCAGATGAGTCGGGTACAAATAAAACAACAACAAATCCCTTTGCTTGTCTCCAAAGGGACAGAGACTTCCAACCACAGAGACATACAATATGGGGTATACCAAAGCATTCCTGAACTTTGGAGTTCAGGAACATATAGAATTTTTAAAGATTTCTGGTTAAGCTGCGCTTCCAACTTTTGCACAAATCTTTGTGAACCAGGAGCGTTGACCACACAAGGCTACTTTTGGGTCCTGCCCTACCTCACTGAAGGGACGCGGGTGGCGCTGTGGGCTAAACCACAGAGCCTAGGACTTGCCTATCAGAAGGTTGGCGGTTCAAATCCCAGTGACGGGGTGAGCTCCCATTGCTCGGTCCCAGCTCCTGCCAACCTAGCAGTTCGAAAGCATGTCAAAGTGCAAGTAGATAAATAGGTACCGCTCTGGCGGGAAGCTAAACGGCGTTTCCATGCACTGCTCTGGTTGGCCAGAAGCGGCTTAGTCATGCTGGCCACATGATCCGGAAGCTGTATGCCGGCTCCCTTGGCCAGTAAAGCGAGATGAGCGCCGCAACCCCAGAGTCGGCCACGACTGGACCTAATGGTCGGGGGTCCCTTTACCTTTACCTACCTCACCGAAAGCCAATAAAAGTGATTTACATCTCAGTCTTTCCAGTGTCTTATGCTGCCTGCTTTTCTGCTGGCATCCAAAACCCAGATCAAACAATGAACAAATGTTTCAGCGAATGCCAGCCAGGAGGTTGCTGGCATCGATTGCACGCAGAAATAGTGTCAGCCGCTTGTGTTTGTTATCAATGTTCCCATTCATCTGAAGCAGGTTAGGGGTTTGGGTTTTTTTGCCCATTGACTCTGATTTCCCCCAGCTTGAATTTCTGGATATCTGAGCAGACCCTCCACTCACAACACACACTTTCAGTCACGTGATGCAGTTTGCCCAGCTATTTAAAAACAGCTGAGGGGGGGTCTTCCTGGCTGAGTCGTTTAAAAAGGCAGCTGCCTTGACTTCTTTCGCTGAGTCACAGAGCTGAGAATAGAGGGAAGAGAGCCTTGCTGCCTTTATCCACTGGCTGGACACTAGCAAGACGGCATCATGGAGTGTGTGAGTCCTGGATTGTTACTGTTAGGACAGCAGGCTGTTGCTGCTGAGATTGTAAGATGTGCTACTGTAACTGAGCAGGGCTGGAGAACTAAGGGGCATTAATAAGAAGCCGGTCAGAGGCAGTAATGGTTCTGAATACCAGTTATTGGAAACTGTAGGAAGGGAGAGGGCTCTTGCGCCCAGGTCCTGCTTGCAGATTTCCACGGGCATTTGGTTGGCCACTGTAAGAATAGGATGGTAGATAGATTAGATGGGTCCTTGGCCTCATCTAACAGGTTCTCCTGATGTTCTCGGGTTCTTCTCTTTGGAGAAAAGTTAGTCTGTTTCCTGATAACTGTTGTGCGCAACTTGCATTTCTTCTTGTTTCTGGTTTCTTAAGTGAACATTCTTGGTGCTTTGTCAGCAGGACTGATCTCTGTTGATGATGCTGTGCCATCACACACACACACACACACACACACACACACACACACACACACACAGCTTTCTAAAAAAGATTGGTGTCTTGTCCTAAAGAGCTTATTATTTCAGGAGAGACAAAGGTAACTGAAAAGATGAATGCATGCAACAACAACAACAGGCTCAAAGGGGATGTGAGCAGGCTCAAAGGGGATGTGAGCCAAGGTTTTAAGTAAGGACCTCACAGAATAGACTGGGATTTCTAAAGCCCAGTGTGTAAACTCACTGTACTGAACGATGCTCTTAGCATTTAAATTTCACAGTGAATCTGGTGGCTTCCTTCTCACAGGATAAAAGGTAAAGGGACCCCTGACCATTAGGTCCAGTCGCAGACGACTCTGGGGTTGCGGCGCTCATCTTGCTTTATTGGCTGAGGGAGCCGGCGTACAGCTTCCAGCTCATGTGGCCAGCATGACTAAGCTGTTTCTGGCGAACCAGAGCAGCGCACGAAAATGCCGTTTACCTTCCCGCCAGAGCGGTACCTACTTATCTACACTTTTGATGTGCTTTCAAACTGCTAGGTTGGGCAGGAGCAGGGACTGAGCAACGGGAGCTCACCCCGTTGCGGGGATTTGAACCGCCAACCTTCTGATCGGCAAGCCCTAGGCTCTGTGGTTTAACCTATAGATCTAACTCTAAACACATTTAGGGTTCTGATTTGGACTGAAGGAGTGGTGCTGGGGAAACTAGCAACTTAGTGCTGAATTGGAACAAATGCTGGATAGCTCCGTCGGTTAGAGCACGGTGCTGATCATGCCAAGGTCTCAGGTTTGATCCCCATTCGGGACAGGTCCGTGCTCCTGCATTGCAGGGGGTTGAACTAGATGATGCCCAGGGTCCCTTCCAACTCTGATTCTATGATTCCTATGAAATGGCAGCCATGCTTTCTGCAGATTGCTGTTTGTTCCAATTTATCACTAAAGAGCGGGTTTTGTAGGGGGTAGTGGCGGAGCAAAGGCAAAACCGCTTGGATCTGTGCTTGCTAGGCATGGGGCAAGCCAAAGTGTGGACAAGCCCTGTCTATTCCTACCTGGCTTAGCTGTTGCTGCTTCCTTGGTCCTGTATTCTCATTTCCATTTTCCCAGGGACTGCATGCATCGGGGGTTCATTCAAGAGGGGCTGGCTGTGGAATCTGAAGACAAATTTTAACTGCTATGGCCATCACTTGTTTTTAGCTGGACAAAAGAGGATTGATCCAGATGCAGATAGCCAAGGCCATCTTGGTTTGGAGAGACCCGTTACACAAAAATCCCTGGAGGCCTTTGCCCACCTGGCCTGGGACGCCTCGGACTGACTCCAGCTGCAAAATCTGAGGCTGCTGAACCAACTAGGGTGTTGGGGTATTGCTTAGTGGGGTTTTTTTTGGGGGGGTGAGGTTGTTGCTGGTTTTTGATACTAATTTTTTTGTATCTTAACTTTAGATCTTATGTTGATAGTTCGAGCCCACCCAGCTGTGGGAGAGATTCCTGCGCTGCGGAGGATTGGAACATAAGGGTTGCCATATGTCTGGAATTTCCAGGACATAGCCGGGATTCGGTAGTCAGAAACAGTGTCAGGGCAGAAATAGCTGAAATGTCTGGGGAAATCCGGACATTTGGCAACCCATGTTGGAAGTGTAGATTTTGGTGAATTTCATTAAAAACAGCTCAAAAACAACTACTTCTTTTGAGATAAAACTCAACAACTTTGTGTCCGAATTTTCACTTTTTTAAATATGGCAACCCAATAATAGAGGAACCTGGGGGTCCCTTACAACTCAACATTTCTATGATTCTATGGTTCTATGTGGAAAGTGTTTAATTTTGTTGTGTATTTTGAAGTTTTATTTATTGTTTATGACTACTGTAATTATAGGGACGCGGGTCGCACTGTGGGTTAAACCACAGAGCCTAGGACTTGCCGATCGGAAGGTCGGTGGTTCAAATCCCCGCGACGGGGTGAGCTCCCGTTGCTCGGTCCCTGCTCCTGCCAACCTAGCAGTTTGAAAGCACGTCAAAGTGCAAGTAGATAAATAGGTACCACTCCGGCGGGAAGGTAAATGGCGTTTCCGTGTGCTGCTCTGGTTCGCCAGAAGCGGCTTAGTCATGCCGGCCACATGACCCGGAAGCTGTACGCCGGCTCCCTCGGCCAATAAAGCGAGATGAGCGCTGCAACCCCAGAGTCGATCACGACTGGACCTAATGGTCGGGGGTCCCTTTACCTTTACCTTACTTATTCTTACAGAAACTGCTCTGTCGTCATTTGGTAGTATGTGTTGCACACACACCTTTACTGTAATTATGCTTTCCCCCCCAAGGTTGTAAGCCGCCTTGCTCATGGCTTTAACTATGGAAAGGTGGCATACAAATAAAATTATGCATTTAAGGGGTGTGTCCTTAAGTTCTGACAGTGGCTGGTTGGCTGGAGGACAGAGAAGGATGTGTACCCCATTATGGCACTTTTGAAATTATGATGGTAGCTCCACCCACATTGGCCTCTGCCCCCACCCACAACTTGCATGTGGTCCCGGGAAAGTAACCACAAAGTAAATATGGCCCTCAAGCTTAAAGAGGTTCCTATTTATTGTCTATTTATTTATTGCTGGTTTGCTTCCTTTTGTCCTGTCTTGTAGCGACTGGGAAGTCTGCTCCTCCATGATCCATACTTTCTTTTCTTTTTTTAAAATTTTCAAAGATCTTTATTGAAACGTAACATATATACATAATAACCAAAATTCCCAATGATTCCCTCATAAAATATCTAAATTACAACAGCGGCATAATTATACACTTAATTATAACCCCCCCTCTACTTCCCTCCACAGGAATTCAACTTCTTTATATTTCTTTCTACCTTTCCCCCCTTGCATTCTATAATAAATTAGTTTTGTTAAATTCTAATTTTTCCTTCTTTATTGGTTTTGTTATTGCTTACATTTTTTATTCTAAGCCTATTAACGTGTCATTTTTAGAACAATATTTTGACATATCATCTTCGAAATACTTCCACTCCATTCTTAACTTTTAATTTGATTGATATCTTATCATTGAAGTTAATTTTGCCAGTTCTATACACTCACTTAATTTACAAATCCTTTGTTGGTGTATCCTGAGATTTCCATTTAGTAGCAATCACTACCCTGGCAGCTGTTGTTGCATATAAAAAGATTGTTTTTTTCATATGTGGTATGTCTTTAATAATACATGAGGAACTTAAGAAAATGCTTTAAAAAAAAACCTTGATAAAAAAACCCTGAAGCTTATCTGTTAGGGTTTCTGGGCAAAGACATGATCCATACTTTCAATTTGGTTTTCTTGGTTTAATTTCCACTCCTCTTTCTCCAGGGCCGTCTTACCCATAGGCGATAGGAGTGCAGGGCACCCGGGCGCTGGGATCTCAGGGGCGCCAGGCCGGGAGTCCGAGGCCCGAGAGTTGAGTCTGGGGAAGAGCCCACCCATTGGTCGGAGCGTCGCGGTGGGCTCTTCTGCTGCGGGCGGCTCTGCGCCGCGAGTTTGGGGGCGACCGAGCCAGTGAGATGCTGAGGCAGCCTGCTGGTTCTGCTCTCCTGTGCACCTGGGACTGGGCAACCTGGGGCTGGTGGTGTCGCCGGGCAGATCTTTTCACCCCGGCGCCACATATGCTTAAGACAGCCCTGCTTTTCTCTCCTGAATCTCAAATAAGTCTTTCCTCTCCTGCTGCAGGGACTAGTTGCTACTCATCTGAAACTTCAGCATGGAGAGACGGTTGAGGTGAAGGGGAAGATCTTGCCCGATTGCAAAGAGTAAGTTGAGAAGGAGGGGAAAGTGTCTCCAAGTAATACTGGGACTTGTGGTGCTTTTGCTCCTGCTTGTGGTGGGCTGAGGAACCTTAGGTTACAGGAGCCAAGTGGGGTCCTCCACACCTCTGACATATGGCCCTCGGAAGCCTGCCCAGAAGAGAATGCAGCCCTACCTTACAAGGTTGTTGTGAATTTATAAAATTTTTATTAGTTTTTTTAACATATGATTTCCAACAATCATATAACATAACTTCTTATCTTATACAATGTTTTAGACTTCCATCAACACCTCTGATGATTTTCCGTTCTTTATCACTTATTCTGCATTTCTTAATTTATCTATTACTCTTAATTATCATCAACTAATAATTCTCCTCATAGTCTTTCTTGCAATATTTCATACAGTCCTCCTTACAAAACTTCTTGCAGTCCTACTAGCGTAATCTGTTCATTACTATTACTTTTCAAATAGTTCGTATATTTACTCCAGTCTTCTAAGAATCTCTGGTCCTGCAGGTTTTGAATCCTTCCTGTTGATTTATCCAGTTCTGCATAGTCCATCAATTTCATCTGCCATTCTTCTTTCGTCGGTAATTCTTCTTGCTTCCATTTTTGTGCCAAAAGGTTGTTGTGACTTATTGAAGGGGGAATGTGGGGCTGGGGCATTGGCATGAGTTATGTATCATAAGTGTCATGGGGAAGCATGGTTTAGGCTCCATCATTTCACCTCATCTCTCAGGCTTCAGGGAATCCGATCCCGCCCCCAGTGGCAGCCAGTAAGCAGACAAACAAGAGGAAATCTTACCAAGTACCGTATTTTCTGGCATATAAGACAACTGGGCGTATAAGAAGACCCCCAACTTTTCCAGTTAAAATATAGAGTTTGGGATATACTCGCCATATAAGACTACCCCTCTTCCAACGCACACCAAATAATTTTTTTAAAAACCAGTCTCCAGTCCGGCTCAGAAATCCACTCCACTTCCCAGTGGCTGGCGGGGGGGGGGGGCATGGCCGGGTCTGTTTAAACAGAGGAGCAAGCCGGAGGGCTTCTTCTTTGGCTCGCTTCCTCAATTGCTAGGATGTCACTGAACTTCGCTTGGTTATTGCTTTTGTTGGACCTGCTGAAGCATTTTGGGGGGATTTTTTACTGCTTTTGTTAAGCTGCTCTCGTGGAATTTGCTTGGGACGTGGAACAGCTGACAGGCACAGTTTCAACCCAGGGTGGTTGGAAAAAAGCCTTTATTGGATGCCCTGATCAATTGGCAGTGGGTGAGTCCATCGCTGTGCGTGGGGAGCAGGGCATTTAAGGGTAGTGCTGCCTCAATTGCCGCTCTCGCTTTACAACTTTGTTGTTCACCTCATGGTGAAAAAGCTTCTGGGTTCAATTTTAAAGCGTATTTCTGCTTCCTCTAGAGAGCTTGGTGTCCTCTGATTTAATTTGCTGTCGTTTTGTCCTTTGGTGGGGAGTTGCTGCAGGAGCTGCTGCTGTAGCCAGCGTATAAGACGACCCCCGACTTTTGAGAAGATTTTCCTGGGTTAAAAAGTAGTCTTATACGCCAGAAAATACAGTAATTTATTCCATAGTTCACAGAGACAAAGGAATGCAGCCTCCCTAAAATAATGGCATTGCTCCAAATAAAGTCCAACCCCCTCCATCCCTCCTATTCTACGTCACCCTTATAATGGCTAATCTGAGCTTTCTGCTTATGAGCCTTCTGTTCTACAACCCTTAATGCTTGCCTGGTCCTGGGAGCGGGGTGGAATCAGGAATGCTCTCCAAAGACACTGAGTCTGTTAGTTATCTCTCCCCCAGTGTTTTTTCTTCCTGCTGTCCCTCTCCCAATATTTCCCATCTCCACTGCAGCCTCTGAACTATGGCCTTCTGCAAACCACTGTTCCAGATCTATACTGTCCTCTTGTTCTTGGGAAGGTTCAGGAGAAGGTCCCCCACCATTCCTCCTCAGTCCACCCCCTGACATCATCAGTCTACCTGCAGCTTGAGACATATAACTGCTGCAGAATACTCTGCAACAATGAGTGGTGTAACCTGGTTTTTTATTTTTATTTTAAAATCGAAGTGTTTTCAAATCACACAGAAGATATTCCAGCTAGCAGGTGTCTATGCCTAGTATAGGGAGCTGCATAGCAGTTGCTGCTTCTATGAAAATCCAATAAGCTACTCACACATGTGTTTCTTCTGAACATAGGTGTGTCAGTTGGAACTTATAATATGGTTTAGCTCTGTAGATTGCATAGTATAAGTATAAAGGTTGTCATAACTTAAATATGACATGAGACTCTCTCTCTCTCTCTCTCATTTTTATTAAATTTTCTTTTTTGCAATTTAAAATACTCATTTTAACATCCTTAAAATATCAATGACTTCCCTTCTTCTTTTTCCATGGTTTATTTTGCATATCATAAATCCCTGCATATTTTACAAAAACTAAACCATTCAGTATTCCATCATTTCATCCATCAAAACTTATTTACACTGTTTAATTTATCTTAATGCTGCCAACGTTTTCAGGGGTACACATCCCCCCATATATTCAATAAACATTTTCCAGTCTTTTCTAGACGTATATTCTTCTTGTTCTCTTATTCTGTATATTAAATCTGTGAGCTGCACATATTCTGTCAACTTAAGTTGCCATTCTTCTTTAGTTGGGACCTCGCTCGTTTTCCATTTTTAAATATGACATGATATTCTCCATCACAAACATGACTTGACATTGGTACAAGCCTCATTCCAGCCTCATCTCAAAACGTGCCCTGAAGGTATTCAGGGGAGCATCGTGAGTTCCTCACGCCTTGTATAAAGGTCAATGCATGTACATCAAGTTGCCAAGTAGAATCTATTCCAGGCATAGACAAACTCAGCCCTCCAGATGTTTTGGGACTACAACTCCCATCATCCCTAGCTAACAGGACCAGTGGTCAGGGATGATGGGAATTGTAGTCCCAAAACATCTGGAGGGCTGAGTTTGCCTATGCCTGGTCTATCCCAATTCTTGGATGGGGGCCATCAGTAGACCAGGCATAGGCAAACTCAGCCCTCCCGATGTTTTGGGACTACAATTCCCATCACCCAGTGCAGTCAAAGCTCACAAGGGTGAGTTTCATTCAAACTAATTTGCAAAATGGTTGAGCTGGGCGGAAACTCTGGGGGAAAGACAACAAGAGCTACTAGAATTGCTCGCCTCAAGCACCCCTCCATTCCCCACTAAGATGTATTAGCAAGAAATATTATGAATACACCCAGTTCAGAACAGCTGGTGGGCTCTCCTAGGTCCCAAGGAATCAGCAAACACCTTAAGGACAGATCTATTCTGTCTCCCACCCCCACCTCAATTTCTTAACTTGCTATTAGTGTGGGTTCTCTGGCAAAATTGTCAGGCCCATGCCAGGCTTTGAAAATAAGTTAAGGGTTCTGTCCCTCTCCAGATCAAGGTGTGTACGTATGGTAGGATTTGCTGCCTGCTAAAATTGTAATTTTACCGTCTGAAACAGCATGCATGGATTCTGCAATTTTCACTTTGTGTAATAAACTGAGCTTTCTTTTTTGATTTCCCTCTCAACCATCTTAAGGGTAAAGCTATTGGATTTTCTCCATAAAAATTATTGGGTGACCTGTCTGGCATTTCAGGTGTCTTTAGGATTGCCAGCCCAGAATAAAACGACGTTATTGGATGCCAGGGGTTTTACTTAGGCAGGAATAGAGGCAAACAATATTTGTAAACGGACATGTGTTATAGCGCTAGCAAAAGATCCCAAAGCTCTTGTTGTGGTGGGGTGTGCGTGTGTGTCGACACATGTGAGTGTTTGTCACGCATGTGAATTCTGACACATACAGCAACAGTTCTGTCTGCCATTCTTTCCAAGATTTGTTGTGAATCTGGGCCAAGACTGCGACAACATCGCCCTTCACTTCAACCCGCGTTTTGACTGCAAGGGGGATGTGAACACCATCGTGTGCAACTCTAAGGAGAATGGGGAATGGGGAGAAGAGCAGAGAGAAACCGACTTCCCTTTTGAGCAGGACGGCAAAGTTCAGGTGAGGGCTTAGCAGTGTATAAAGGTAAAGGTACCCCTGCCCGTACGGGCCAGTCATGTCCGACTCTAGGGTTGTGCTCCCATCTCACTTAAGAGGCTGGGGGCCAGCGCTGTCCGAAGACACTTCCGGGTCACGTGGCCAGCGTGACGAAGCTGCTCTGGCAAGCCAGCACCAGCACAGCACACGGAAACGCCGTTTACCTTCCCGCTATAAAGCAGTACCTATTTATCTACTTGCACGTAGGGGTGCTTTCGAACTGCTAGGTGGGCAGGAGCTGGGACCGAAAGACGGGAGCTCACCCTGCTGTGGGGATTCGAACCGCCGACCATATGATCGGCAAGTCCTAGGCACTGAGGTTTTACCCACAGCGCCACCCGCGTCCCGGTATACCAAATGCATTTAGCAGTGTATACCAAATGCATTTACTGAAGATGTGCAGAAAAATGCATATATTGGGGATGTTCAGCTTATTTTTTTAGTTGCTGTTTTGTTGTTAGTGTTTTATAGACTGTGATTGTTTTATTGATGATTATTTGACTGATGATTTGTTAATTATTTTATATGATCAATGCTGTGTTTGTGATGCTCTGTTATATTTTATTATGTCATTGCTATTTATAGTTTTTGAGCCGCTTTGAGATTCATTTGATTCATTCATAGAAATAAAATCTGCTCATCCACTCCAATGGAGGCGAGTGGAACAGGCAGGGAGGTGGCTTTCCTGGGATTCCTGGCATAATAATAATAATAATAATAATAATAATAATAATAATTACTTTATTTATTATTTATACCCCGCCCGTCTGGCTGGGTTTCCTCAGCCACTCTGGGCTGCTCCCAACAGAATATTAAAAACACAACAAAACACCCAACATTGAAAACTTCCCTAATCATGCATGAAGGCAGTATGTTGAGGTGATGAAGATGCGAATCGACACTCTCTGGACAGCCACTCGTACTGTCTACAAAATGGCTGCCATTCCCCTTTGGGGCATGTTAAAGAAAAAGAAAAAGAAAAAGGCGTCTCCCACACTCGCCATGATTCTTTCTTTTGCTTCTTGCAGCTTTCCTTCACCTTTCTTCCAGGTGAGATCAAGGTGCTTCTGGCAGAGGGCCACGAAATCTCCTTCCTCAACCGGCTGGGCCTGAAGACCATCGAGTACATTGCGGTGGAAGGAGACTTCAAGATCCGAGTCCTCAAATTTCCCTAATCTAGTCCTCCGTCGCCTTGTTACATGGCTGAACAAAACTCAGTTGTGTTCTTCCAAAAAAAGTAGGCCGCTTAACATGGTTCTGTTTTATAACTTGGATGGGGAAATCTTTCTCACCCAAAGAGTTGCATTCCCTCCTGGGCGACCTCCCAGTGCATCAAAAAACATCTCCATGGTGAAAGATGAATAAATTTTGGGGACAGTCAACTGTGTAAGATATCCCGTTCTTCCACTCGCAGATGGTTGGAGTGTTGTAAGGTAGTAAAATCCTGGCTGGGGCTGAAGGGAGTTGCAGACCAAAATATTTGGAGAGCACCACTTTGGTATCATCTGGTGTAGGGTGGACTTCAGGACAGAGCAGAGTTTGCTCTGAATCACCTTAAGGTGCTGACTGTAGGTGGGGCTGGGAAGTGAGAGGCACAAAACCTTAGAGAGCAGCTGTGAACATTGTGGACATTGTTGAGCTAAGGCAAAATTTTCTATATGTGAACACAAAAGCTAAGGGCTCTCATCACTTTGGGGCAGGGGAAGCAACCGTGAGAGTTGCCGTCTTCCCAACCTGTCCCCCACTTCATCCATGTAGACAGTAAAATGAGGTTTCCTTGGACTCAAAAGGTTTTTGAACACTTGTGCTTGTTTGAGCCTGAAGCAAGAGGAATGTAGCTGCTCCACCCTTCTTGGTTTTCACAAATCCTGATCAGTGGAAACAGCTGGGAATGTTCTCTCTCCGGCCAAGGAATCTCAAAGCAGCAGATGATCAGAGTGGGAACAGGAAACAGTTTCACTCTTTTATTTATCTGTAGGGTTGCAATAGCTGTGCATTGGCTACACAGCATAAGCGTTACTTTCCTTTTCAAATTCAGATAGGTAGCAGTGCTGGTCCGATGCAGTTGAAATAAAAAAAAAAATGCCCAGTAGCACCTTATAGAGTAGGGTTACCAGACGTCCCCAGATTTGCAAATCTGTCCCTGGACAAATTCCATCCCTGGAATGTCCCCAGATTTGCAAATCTGTCCTGGAAAACATGGCAGCGGCAGCCTCAGCAGCCCGGAGCCAGCCTGGTAGCGCAGTTGGCTCTGGCTGGCTTAAGGAGCTGTTCGCTGCCATGACGCCCGCCATTTTTCCTCGCTGGAAGTCCCCATATGATGTGTCTTGTGCACAACACATCATGTGGGGACTTCTGGAGAGGAAAAATGGCAGGCGCCATGGCAGCGGGCAGTGAGCAGCTCCTGAAGCCAGCCAGTGCCAACTGCGCTACCAGGCTGGCTCCGGGCTGCTGATTGCCACTGCCGCCACCACTGCCAAAGGGGAACCGGGGATGTCCAGTGGTACAGATCTCCTGGCCCCTTTCCCCTTTGTTTTGACTGATCAGGGGAGGCTTGGGAGTCACGGCTGGCCAGCCGTTGCCCAGTTTTTTTAAAAAAACCTGTGCATTTATGTTTCACAGGATATGAAACAAGAGTTTTGCACCTTGCCTGAAAGAGAAACCACGTGCCTTCTGCCCCTCCTGGGCAACAGCTGCCCACCTGTGACTCCTGAGCCTCCCCCAAACAAAGGGGGAAGGAGATCGGGGAAGGCTTGGGAGTCACGGGCAGGCAGTGCGCCATTGCCCCTTTTTTAAAAAAAACAACAACTCTGTGCATTTATGTTTCACAGGGTGTGAAAGAAGGGCTTGACACCTTTATACAGTATGCATGTGTGCTTGGGCCCAGGGTCTTTTGCCTCACCATCCCTACTACTGACTCCATGTTGCTACTCAGCTTCAAAAAAGAAAAAAGAAAAAGTGTCCCTAGATTAACTGAAAAAAATCTGGTAACCATATTATAGGGACCAACTATGTTTGTTCTGGGTATAAGCTTTTGTGTGCATGCACACTTCTTCTGAAGAAGGGATGCAGGTGGCGCTGTGGTCTAAACCACTGAGCCTCTTGGGCTTGCTGAGCAGAAGGTCAGCGGTTTGAATCCCCGTGATGGGATGAACTCCTGTTGCTTGGTCCCAGCTCCTGCCAACCTAAGAGTTCGAAAGCGGCGGGAAGGTAAATGGCGTTTCCATGCGCTGCTCTGGATTTGCCAGAAGCGGCTTAGTTGTGCTGGCCACATGACCCGGAAAAACTGTCTGAGGACAAACGCCAGATCCCTCGGTCTGTAAAGCAAGATGAGTGCCGCAACCCCAGAGTTGTCTGCGACTGGACTTATCTGTCAGGGGTCCTTTACCTAAGGTGCTACTGGACAATTTTAAAAATTTATTTCCTTTTAATGTCACTGTTGCCTGGGAACTCTTTGTACCTTACCGTGGGTGAAACACTGCATGGCGCAATCTCCCCCTACTAGATTTTACTAGCCCTGATGGAGGGCATGTAATAGGGTCAGGTGTCCTAGAAACATCTAGCTTAGAGCAACCACTAAGTATTGATAACCCAAATCCTGCAAAATTAACCCACCTCTTTTCTGCAGCAGGGATTCTTTGCCACACTATGCTCTGCTCTGCATAATTTCTCCTATACTAACTTTCCAATCTTTTCCTTCTCTATATTGACGTACCAATTGGCTTTTGAGAACTCAGGTTCCTGCTCTGTACGGTCGCTGGTATTGCTAAAGAAACATTTCAGTTGGCCTTCTCTCCATGCAAGTTTTGAGTCTCACAGATGGGAAAAAGAAACACCACCGCCCATTTCTGGCACCTTCTTCCCCCTACCCGCCTGTTTTGCAAGCACAACCAACCAGAATCCCAGCACCAAACAGCTGAGCGCTGTCTCTGAAATGCTTCATCCATTTATATCATGTAAGAGCTTGTCAGTGGACTTGAGCAGTATCAGCGATCTGCTGTGACGGTTGCAAGCTTGCATTTGTTACTCACGCAGGTGTGCCTTGGGAAACCTACCTACTCAAGGCAATCTGCATATCCATCCACAGACAGGTGGGTCTTCATCCAACCCCTGTAGCATGGGAAAGGTTCCCTGCTCTTCCAGAGAGGTAGGAAATGGCTCTGTGCCATCCCACCTCACTGTGGGGGGATCATAGGGTTGCTTTGTGACACTTGTGTACACTTGCCTAGTGACCAGGGGATCTGGGGTGCATCTACAGGTGTGCATGTTTGCTAAATTCTTGGCATCTCCTGGTAGGGTTAAATTCTTGGCATCTCCTGGTAGGGTTGGGAAGACTCCTGTCTGAACCCCCACATTGCTGCTGCTAGTCAATTTAGATCAGGGATTGGCAAGGTTTACCTTGCCTGGGCCGGTTCACTCCAGTGGAGATCTCTCCGTGGGCAGGATTGCGTGTGCGTGCCTGTGATTTTTGGCATCTGTGCAGACGTGGTTTCTGGCGCTGCAGAAGCGAGTCCCTGTACTGCACTGTGCTGGTTTAGCGCAGCGCGCAGAGACTCACCAAACGAGTGGCTCAGTACAGGGGCCGGTTAAACGACCCCCATGGGCTGCTTGTGGCCCATGGGCCTTAGGTTGCCCTCCCCTGATGTAGACGATAGTTCACTGAACCAATTGGGGGATCGCAGTTGAAATATTCCTCACATGTTTAACAAAGGCTTGTGCACATAGACATCCAGCGCATCAGAGAGAGGTTCTGGCTTCTTCCCACTGCACTGCGCATATATATATATATATATATATATATATATATATATATATGCAATGAATGTTTGTTTTATGCATAGGAACATTCCATTGGGTGAGCCGGTCAAAGGCTGGGCACAGATGTGACTGTTTCAGATTTGGCTACTTTACAAGGCGACAAGGGCACCAAGACTCTTGCAAATGCAGGATGAGCTACAACAGAAAAGTAGCACAATGCAGAGCTGACCATAGCCCCCATGGGTGCTCTAAGCAGAGGGGTGGGGGTGAGGATCCAGGGTAGAGGTCTGGCAAATGCCTGATCATGCAAACTGCTGACACAGCTAAGGTTTTAGGGATTTGTTATGGATACCAGTCATGACAATGCAAATACTGGGTGGCCATCTGCCATGTATGCTTTAGTTGAGATTCATCCAGGGGATTGGACTAGAGGACCCTCAGGGCTCTATAATTCTATGATTCCATGTTGGGATGGGAGATAGGGAGAGCAGAAGAAGGGGATGTGGTTTGTTGAGTATGTGGGATGGGTTTACAGGCAGAAATGGATCAAGTCAGGTTGCTGCTGGATCACCTGGAAGTTCAGCTATCAATGCACCACCATGTGGTCTTTTAGTGAAGAGAAAAGATAGGGAAGAAGGATTTGCTTCCAAAGCCACATCCAGATGACCTGCTTATTGAGAATTCATCCTGATTTTGTTTGCAAGGAGTTCAGATTATGTTGGCTGCTGAATGAGCATATATCCTCATTTGGTTGCAGGAGGTTTGATGATGCTGTGTCAAAGGAAGCACTATCCAACACTTTCCAGTCCATTTTTCTTTCACTTTCCTTATCGCGAAAGTCCCCTCTTTCGGAGAAGCAGGTTTGTTGGGTGGGATCTCCCAATAAACTACAATTGTGCACCCTGAATTTGCCCATGTGCGATTGAATCCCACCCGCAAATAGCAACACTCTTGATAAAGGCCAGTGGAGTTTAGCCCGAAAGGAAATGAAAGGATCAGAAGTCACACTCGAGGCAGGAAGAAACAATTGCACAGTGAACTATTAACCTTTAATTGTTTCCAAGTACACATCACCATCCTCTTTACCAATGTTGATCATTCATAAAATTAACAACAACCCAGAGAATCATGACAATCTTTAGATGAGGCAGTGCAAAAACAAACCAAACCCTTTTCTTTAACCAACCAACAACCCACGCAAAGCAGGAACAAAAGGGTGCTATGCAGGGCCGGTCAACCCATGAGGCAGGGTGAGGTGACTGCCTCAGGTGGCAGAATCAACAGGGACAGCAGAACCCAATGTAGGTCTTCATTCCCCCTTGTTCTTGATGTAGATCTTCACTTGACCCAACTTCCCTGGCAGGGAAGAGGGGTGCCGTTTCGTGGTTCACCTCAGATGCCAAAATGTCTTGACCCAGCCCTGGCATCTTGTCCGCACACGCACACAACCGGAGTCCCCTTGCCTGGCACAAAACAGACACAGATTTTTAAGGCCACCAAAACCACATTATTGTCAATAACCAGTCTTGCCCATTTGCTTGAGGGCATGCAAGAATAATTCCTAGGCCGCCAGCTTGGGAAGCTTATATAAATTTGATGAGTTGGTGGGTTTTCTCTTTATGCTCTCTGTATGCCACAAAACCCCAACAGAGAGCCGTGTAGGCAAGTGGGCTAGGACATTTTTAAGGGACTAGTAGTGATTATGGGCATATTGGAGTGTATTCAATGTAGTGCTGCCTTAAAGTCATTTAGTGGAATAGTGCTCCACGGGAGAAAAGTTTTGCACCAGTGAAGCATTGTCGGGCAAAAGAACGCATAAGCAAGTTGCTGGTAACTTTTGTTGCATAATAAGTGGAGCAGCCTGTTGCATGAAGGGTTTCTGCTAATGCAACTTTTGCACTGGATCCCTCAGTTGTGTAACATTAAAGCTTACCCCTCTACTAGCACAAGATCCCTTGCATTAGCAGACAGAGAATGTTGGATGCAGCCCATTGGCAAAGCTGATGCGAGTTTGCCCTGGGAGTTTGTCCTCACTCAGGTGACACTGTAAATTTTCAAACGGCACACCAGCCTTCCTCACTCGGCACTCAAGACTGCGTCACCAAAGGAGGCAGCTTGTGGTGGGAGGTACCTCAAGAAATACAAGGTAGTGCTGTACTATCCCATGTTGAACTGTGCTCTTTGGACCAGCAGCAAGCCCAGCTGGTCTACTGAACCTGCCATCCAGAAATGCCCTATGACAACCAGCTTAGCACTTAACCAGAAACGGGGTCTCCATCTTTCAGTGATAGCAACACCATTATTCCACCTCCTGTAACTTACCGGCTTTGTACAGCTTACCAGCTTAAAACACAGCCAAGTCCTTCGTTTTCTCAATTTGGATCAAAACTGGTTTGGGGAAAACGTCTCAAAACACAGTATTTCATAAGAAATGACAGGATAGAACAGGATAGCTTTGGATTGTATATATCGCTTCCCAAACCACTGGGGAAAACACACAGGATGCAGTGTAAACAGGAGCCTTACAACACAGCCTAAGGAGATATGAGGACCAAGACTTTTCCACAGATCATGTAAGCCAAAGGCAAGGATGCCAAGATCCCTCCTGCTCTAAGGTAGGCTTAGCCAACGTGGTGCCCTTCAGACAATATCTGACTACAGTTCCCATCAGCACATGCCAGCAAAGGCCAAAGGTCATGGATGATGGGAGTTGTTGGCCTGCAACCTCTGGAGGGCACCATGTTGGCTACCCCTGTTCTACTGGTCCAAAATCCTCCCAGAGCTTCACTGATGTTGTTAAGCACAATTATACTGAAACCAAGAAACATCCTAGTCGGAGCAGCATGGCAATTTATCAAAAGCATAGAGTATTACAAGTTATGCCTTGAGTATACAAAAGGCACCTACACTGCAAAACTGGTCTGATTCCAATTCTTAGAACTGCAGCAGAGCCTAAATTGTGAGGGGTTGAGATTCTGCACAGTGCTCAATAGGATACTATGGCTCTGAGGCCGAGTTGCTGCTAAAAGATGCATTTTAGACTTTTGTGCTTGCTTCTCTACAAAGAGCAAAAGGGAAAGCACTCCATGTGGTTTCTTTGGAACAAACTTTATCTGGCAAGATAAAGGATCAGAGCCAGAGAAGCTGCTTGGAGCCAATCAACATCCAGATAGCACAAAGCAGAGGACAAACCCCCATTGAATGGAGATGAACCAAATACCTCCTCGATTGTTGGAAGAAATGCTTTTCACACAGGCAAAACAAAATCACCACTGTAAGAGATTCGGCTTCACAGTTAGGCTAGGGAGCTTTCCCACGGGCAACATATGCTCTGATCCAGCGCACACACACAATAAACCAGCCTTTCTCAACCTGTGGGTCCCCAGATGTTGTTGGACTACAACTCCCATCACCCCTAGCTAGCAAGGCCAGAGCTCAGGGATGATGGGAGTTGTAGTGCAACAACATCTGGGGACCCACAAGTTGAGAACCACTGTGATAAGCATTCGGCAGACTTGCCCTTCTGCAGGGCAGCGTATAAAACTTTCAGACCTTGGGAAACATCTGGAAGTGATGCACCTTGCAGGGCAAATAAAGGCAGGGCAAATCTTGCCCTAGGCAGAGATGATGGTATTCGTCTCTCCCCACCATTCCACATACGGAAGCCAACCAGAGTGGCAGCAGACTCTTGCTTCAACACTAGCGATGAGACAACTTCCACCACGGCACCTGAGGCAGCGTGCCAGATCGTGTGAACTAAGGACAGGCAGGGTGGAATAAGCAGCTGTGTCCTCCAACACAAGGGAACAGCTAGAAGGTTGCCACAGCAGCTTCCCAGCATCCCACCTCATTCTGCCTAATGACAGCGCCGGCATTGCAAAGTAGAGAAGAGCCAGTCTTGGCTAAAGAAATAGTCCTATCTGTATGATGAGTCCCTGGCTGGTTTAACTTACCATTTTTTCAGCCTTGCCTCATGTTTGTAAGGAAGAGGAGTAAGAGACCTACTTGTTCATTAGAGAGTTGCCGTGAAAATGAACAGGCCTTGCATATTCGGAAAAAGCTGCCACAGAAGAGGTTAATGAAGCTTAGTGCAAGGATAAGTGTCCTGCAGCCTTCCAGATGTTGTTGGACAATTAGCCATCTTGACTGGGGCTGATGGGTGTTCAGCAACATCTGCAGGACCACAGGTTCCCCATCCCAGCTTCGTGGAAACATGTGGAGGGCACAGAAGGGGATGCATTCCAGATTGCAGGAGCAGCAGCAGCATCAAATCAGAGGTAGCCAAAGTCTGGCCAGCCACATCAAAGGTGACGCAACTGGTTTATAACCCAAGCTAAGCAACCACACTGGCCTTTAGCGTACAAGCTGCAGGTGAACAGAGTCTCAACAGCACCTCTGTTTTTCAGCCGATTCCCTGGGACACCTTTGGCAGTCAGATTGGGCCACTTCCATCAACAATTAAGCAAACCCGTGTGCTTGCTAGGCATGCATTTCTTTTAAACATCACAAAATCCCTTTGTTTGGAAAGAGAGGCCGGCTGTTTACCTTGCTGGCAATGCTGCAATAGTTAAGGCGAGCTACGAAAATGAAAACCTATAGGAAGAAATGCTCTTAAAAATAGCACTCCTGTTCCTTGTCATTAAACTCTGGGCAGCGCTGTGCATTACGAGTGAAAGGCAGGCTCCGTAACTCTGTGTTTCCACCATAATGCTCACCACGAGTGGGGTAGCTAGCAAGGGGAAGTTGGCAGGTGGCAGCTGACTGGCTCTATCCTGCCACATTGCCCACCCACACCTGCCGGCCATGATTTTTTAAACTTTCTTTCCCCCTAAAGAATCCGGGGGTGAGGTGGATCCGGGGTGTGTGTGTGTGTCGGCAAATGCACAAAGGGTAAAGTCTCCTCTTTGCAACCTCCTTGCAAATGCATTAATCAGCAGATAAATTTCTGGCGATATCCTATGGAGTTCTACCACTCAACGCATCTGGAAGCAGCCAGGTCTTTGCTGAACACTGGTCACTCAGCATAAACAGGAAGGATTCCCTCTCTCTGCCTTAGTAAAGTCTTAAAAGATATGGAGCAGAGCACATGGAGGCAGTCTTCTGTTTCATCAAAATCAGAGACGTTGAACCTCCAAGAGTCAATTGTCACCCTCTAGGCCCATCTGACCCAAAGGATTCCTTTTCAGTCTTTGCCTCTTATTCACTAGTGCAGGCATAGGCAAATTCGGCCCTCCAGATGTTTCGGGACTACAACTCCCATCATCCCTAGTGGACAGGGATGATGGGAATTGTAGTTTCAAAACATCTGGAGGGCCGAGTTTGCCTATGCCTGCACTAGGGTAAGCCCCTCAATGGCTGTGTCTTCCACAAGGGCTTTTGCCTGGCTGGCATAATCCTTGAACTGGGATTATTTGGAAGATGGGAGAGATGTGTGTTGGAATCTGACTTTTGCATAGCTGGAGTGTAGCCCACTTTTTGCTCTACTCATTTCTGCACCTGGACCCTCTCGCCCCTGCCCACCCCCCCAGTTACCCACAAGAGAATGGGGTCTGAAAAAGGTCTCCCATCTAAACAAAGGGGCAGTGCTTTTAGCAGAGAGTGTTGAAGAGAGTGTGGGATGGGCAACTCTACCTGTGCAACTTTTGTGCTTCCCACCTCAGTTTTGGGTAAGGATGGCTTTTGGGGGATGGCCAGTTCCAATGGGGTTTAAGCAAAGCACTGCTACATTTCAAAGAAACAACCAAGGCTAAGGATTTCATTTCCGTTTCCGTTTAAAGCAATCTATAAATAAGGACATTCAATGAACCACCTCAAGAAGTCATTCAAATAAGTTTGCAGGCTGCATGCAGTTCCATGCTTTCTCTTGTTACTGTTTTTCTTTTTGTAAAAAATAATAATATCACAGATCCCACAAGAGAGAGTCTCAAGGAGGAAGTATCTCTTTGCTTCAGTTTCACGTTGACTCCTGAGTTGTTTGGTTCACACAAGTGCTTGTTCCAACGGCGGCTGCTTCGCACTGCAGATCTGGAAGACGGGATTTTGCTGTGCAACGCTCTCGTGGAAAGGTCACTTACTGGCAACATTCACTGGGCACTGAGAGAGATAAAAAGATACAATCCAGTGACCGCCTCGATGGTACACGGGTGGGGACCCTGCTCACGGACTTGCACTGGATCCCACCATGCAAGGGAGAGGGAGGAAAAGGACAGAGCCATTGCACTCTGACTGGGGATCCTTGCCCAGGGAAAACGAGATGCCAAACTGCACCCACATCCAACGTCTGGGCTGACATTCACCAAGTACATCTTTCTGCATGCAAGCATCCTTGGATCCTGGCCTGTAGCTTTTCCTACTAGTCCTTTATTTAGATATGATGTGTGACTATGGGGTTTTTGGGGGGTGGGTGGGATCGAGGGTGTTCCTCTTTTCTTTTCCCATGTGAAGTACAAAAAAAAATATTTAACCATTTCCCCCCTACGTACATGTTGAAGTAGAATCGATAACTGGTTAGCGTATGTACAAAATCTTTACAGAATTCTATCACGTACCTTTAAAAAATATAAATATGGATATTGTTCAAGACAGCAGGTCTCTCATTAATATTTTAATTAAGGCTTCATTATTGTATATCCTTCATTATTTTAACGACCGTCAGGTGCTCAGAGGGGGGGGCAAAGACTCCTTCAGCAGGGACAGCTTGAGTTTATTTATAATTAGCTAACGACCTCCCTCATATAACCTGCTGCCAGTCTCTTCTGCATCTTGCTTGGCCGCAAGAATCCAATGTATTCCACACAGATTTAAGTCGTGATCTCCGGGAGAAGACGAAGAAGAAAAAGAAATCTTTCCGTGCTGTTTTATTCCCCCCCACCCCAACGTTAATTAAAAAATAATAATTAAATCCTCCCTCAAATCTTTTTTTTTAAAAAAAGTTAAAAGAGGTTTCTGATTAAATAATTCTGAGAAGAAAAGGTTTGACGCAGCCGCGTCTAGAAAGGTCAGAGCGAAGGTGCTGGCGCTGGAGGTCGGCTGGTCCCGGTGGATGTCGGAGGTTCTGCTCCCTTTCTGTTGCTAAGCACGAAGTCCGTGGGGAGGCTCTCCAGAAGGCACTTGAGCTGTTCCTGCCCTAGCTTGATCTTGTCGTCCAGCTCGCGCTGTTCTATGAGCAGCCCGGATTTCATCTTCACGAAATGCTGGTAGTCTCGGAGCTGCTCCCCCGAGAGGTAATTGCATAGGATGTCCAAGACCACGTGCTCTCGCCGGTCCAGGTTCTCCTTCAGCTCGCGGGCGTCTTCGTGCTGGCCAGCCAGCATCTTTCGCTTCTCGTTCAGAGAGCTCTGTCCCGCGTGGGGTGGGAGGGAAGGAAAAGGGAGAGGTTTAGCGCCACAGCTAAAATTCGCCCCCATCTATTCCCTTCCCCACTGTCGCAGTGCATTCCTTACTACGTCCGCTTAGAAGCAGGTCTTATTAAACTCCATGAGGCAATTCACACGAATGTCCGCAACCTATTCCTTTCATGCTTCCAAGAATAGATGCGGTTCTGTTCCAGAATCCCACACATGGGGGACGCACTGAATGGACCGTACTGACTTCAAAAGTTTCCGAGCACAATTCAAAGTGTTGGTGTTGACCTTTAAAGCCCTAAATGGCCTCGGCCCAGTATACCTGAAGGAGCGTCTCCACCCCCATCATTCTGCCCGGACACTGAGGTCCAGCTCCGAGGGCCTTCTGGCGGTTCCCTCATTGCAAGAAGCAAAGCTACAGGAAACCAGGCAGAGGGCCTTCTCAGTAGTGGCGCCCGCCCTGTGGAACACCCTCCCATCAGATGTCAAAGAGATAAACAACTACCTGACATTCAGAAGACATCTGAAGGCAGCCCTGTTCAGGGAAGTTTTTAACGTGTGACATTTTATTGTATTTTTGTCTTTGTTGGAAGCCGCCCAGAGTGGCTGGGGAAACCCAGCCAGATGGGCGGGGTACAAATAATAAATTATTATTATATATTAAAAAATCACTGCCCAGTGAATGGGATTAGGGCTGCGGTGAGAGAGAGAGAGAGAGAGAGAGAGAGAGAGAGAGAGAGAGAGATTTTCTCCCAAGAATGTGTTAGATCAGGGTTAGATCATGTTAGATCTAACATGTGGCCCTCAAGGCCTTTTGTGGCTGGCCCTCAGCAACATTTGATGCCTCACACCTGCAGCAGTCACACTGCCTTCCCCAAGCCAGGTAAGTGAGGTGCCAGGCTCAGACAGGGTCCTAGAGTCCTCACACTTCCTTCCCAGAGCCTCACTTAGCCAGCTTTGGGAAGGCAGGGAAAGGATTGGGGTGTGGGCTCACATTTTGGCCTCGCTCCCTCACCCCGCATAACAAGGCAGTGTGCGGCCGGCAGGTTCTAAGTATTCTTGCAACCCACTTGGTATGAAAAGTTGGGCCGCCCTGTGTTAGATAAAGCCAACCTGAGCTGATCTTGCAAAAAGAAAGAAAGAAAGAGAGAGAGAGAGAGAGAGAGAGAGAGAGAGAGAGAGAGAGAGAACTGGCTAATAATAAGAATAAGAAATTTATTTATATCCCTCCCATCTGGCTGGGTTTCCCCAGCCACTCTGGGCGGTTCCCAACAGAATATTAATAACACGATAAAAACTTCCCTAAACAGGGCTGCCTTCAGATGTCTTCTAAACGTCTGATAGTTGTTTATCTCCTTGACATCGGATGGGAGAGCGTTCCACAGGGCGAGCACCACTACCGAGAAGGCCCTTTGCCAGGTTCCCTGTAACCCAGCCTTTCTCAACCTGTGGGTCCCCAGATGTTTTTGAACTACAACTCCCACCACCCCTAGCTAGCAAGGCCAGAGCTCAGGGATGATGGGAGTTGTAGTCCAACATCTGGGGACCCACAGGTTGAGAACCACTGCCGTAACCTCACTTCTCGCAGGGAGGGAACCGCCAGAAGGCCCTTGAAGCTGGATGTACATGTCTGGATCACAAGACAATTGCCCTGTGCTGCCCCTGGATGCAAGAGCTTATGGCGCTTGGTTTAGTGGAGAGCTGTTTCAACCCACTTTCATTGCCGAAGATGCTGCTGTAGGGAAGCGCCACTCGTGCGCACTAGTTTTCTGAATCCACCTACCCGTTCTTGGTTATCTGCATCCTCACTGAGGCTGCTGAGAACATTCTCCACCCGAGCAAGGCGTCCTGAGAGTGAAAGCAAGAGATTGACCACCTTATCCAGGTCTCCGATGAACATTCTGTATTTTTCAAACTCATTGGGCTTGCATAGGCCACTGATTAAAGCTTCGACTTCCTCTCCCAAGGCATTGTTGAGCTTGATGTCTGCCAGCAGACTCTCCTTGGCTTCTTTCAGGGTCTCCAGCTTGTGGGACAAGCTCTCAATGAGTTCAGCCTGGTGGGGCAGAATTGAGCAAAAATCATCCTCTACTACTATGTCAGGCAGCCGTCAAAAGTTGGTGTTTGGAAGCTGTGGCCCTTCAGATATTCCAATGGACTCCAGTTCCCATCAGCCACAGTCAACGAGTCAATGAGGACTAGGATGATAGGAGTTGTAGTCCAGCAACATCTGGAGAACCCCGGACACCCAACACCTGTTTTAAAGCATGTGTCTGAACATTCCTTATGAATTCCTCCAGCCAATAAAAGTTATGTATACTGTACTGAAAATAATAAAATTTTAAAAAGCTATGTATACAAAGAAACTAATCAAGAATAAGGGTTCCATTATGGATGCTATTGTGATAAACAATTCACAATTGTTTGACCTTCTAAGAAACGATGCTGTGCAACGATGTTCTCAAGTAGTACAATACAGTGGTACCTCGGGTTAAGTACTTAATTCGTTCCGGAGGTCCGTTCTTAACGTGAAACTGTTCTTAACCTGAAGCACCACTTTAGCTAATGGGGCCTCCTGCTGCTGCCGCGCTGCCGGAACACAATTTCTGTTTTCATCCTGAAGCAAAGTTCTTAACCCGAGGTAATATTTCTGGGTTAGCGGAGTCTGCAACCTGAAGCGTATGTAACCTGAAGCATATGTAACCCGAGGTACCACTGTATAGGCTTCTTTTGCTAGAGAACTAGAAGGCAAGTTGGAGAATTTTGCCCTGGGGACAGAATCACTTGCCTTTGTGTAAATAAAGGGAAAATGCCTTGTCTTCTTCTGGCACCATGGAGTCACTGAATTAAGAGACCTCTTAAAAATGAAAATGAAAAGCCACCCAGACTCTTTTTGCTTGCACAGCACCAATCAACAGGAGGTCATAGGTACACACTGAATTAAGGAATTAAGCTGACCAATGGAAGCAGGTTTACTACAAATATCTGACTTGAGCCAGAGATTAAACTATTTCTGTTCTCAACAGATGACCGCAGATCTTCAGAAATCTTTTATGTTTCAAAAGGTGGTGTCAGGGAACTGACATCGGAGCTAGAGGTGGAGGGGAGGCTCTCAAATGATGCTGGAGAAGGGCCCAGCAGGGAGAGAGGCAGCTCCGCAGATGGGGAAGCTAATCAGCCCAACACCAGGGATAAGGAGGGGCTGATGGGGGAATCGGCGAGAGGGCTCCAGGACTCTTCACTGGACACCAGCGGGGAGAGCACGGGTCCTCCGCTACCCACGCCCACCCTGCGCAGAAGACTTCCGCGCAGAGAGAGTAGGAGGAGACTGGGTGTCAAACAACTTTTATGTTGGAAAAGATTTAAGAAACGCCCACTGACGGATTCTGCTAGCGACTGAGGCAGCCACGAAGTGAAGGGCTGCCCAGACTGAAAGGTTTACCAAGGCAACAAAGCCTGGAGAGGCGGCAACTTACGCACGAGCAACCCATACTCATTATAGGTGGGGACTTATAGGTGGGGACTCAAATTTCAACTAGGAGCACAAACCACTTAGATTTTGTGCATGAACATAACTGCCATTAATTAGTCTTAAGGGTTAGAAGGATGATTATTCTTGTTTAACTCTGCTCCTTGCACAGTGCAGTCACAGATCCCTGGGACTGACAGAGCTCTGGTTATGATCATGGCTGACCTTGCTTCCTTCTGTGCTGAGAGATGCTCAAAACTCACCTTTTTCTCATTGATTGCCACCTGCTCTTCATCGCCACCTGTTTCCTCTGGCAAATCCTTGATTTTGTTCAGGAGTTCGGCTTTGGGTACTGATACGTTGTAGTAAGCTGAGCACGAGGCCAGCATTGAGGCAGAAGCTTCTTTCTCATCTTTCCTAAACCACGGCAGAGAACAGATATGTATGTAGGAGTCTGGGACATACACGGCTGCCATTCTTGTACCGATGAAGAAACACGCATGCACAAACTGCAGAAGGAATTTTGAACTCTGCCCTCGTGCCTTGCTTTGAGATCCCAAACCTATGGCTTCTTTGGTACTTTCCCCACAAGTAAGTGAATTTAATTGGGGATTGCCACCAGATGGCGCAAGTTTAACTATTTTTAAAAATGGTTCATGCTTAATCAACATTTCCATGCATATACAGGTAGCACAAGACTGCCTAAACCGCTCCCTCCCACTAAAAATCACTGAGAGTCTTGGCAGACCACTTAATGATTTTTCTCCCTGGTGTGCAATGGGCTGTGCTATGTGGTGAATGATTTGTAATTTTATTTTTACTGCTCTTTTGGTTCTTACAATGTAATTTTATTCATAGCTGTCAACTTACAGATTTGAAAATAAGGGACCAGCAGCCTCGAAAATAAGGGATCAGCAGCCAAAATAAGGGATTTTCCAAGCACAGGTATGTTCAACTTCTGAGCCCCTCCGAGCCAAAGGCAGAAAGCCCAGCCAGCAGCCAAACGAAGCCTCAAGGAAAACCACCGTCCCTCTCTGCTGGGAAGCGCTGAGCAAAGGCGAGTCCCCAGGCAATGCAGCCGATTTGATCAGCACAAGTCATGCAAGCTCCACCCCCCCAGTCGTTCTTAGACTTCTTATTGGGTGAGCAACGCAGCCAAGCAACACAGTTGGAGCCTCCCTCCTCCCTGGCCGGGAAGGAGGGAGGGAGAGGAGCTGCTTCCTTTGAAACCCGGGAAATTTAAGGGACATCATCAATAAGGGACAGCAGCGGGACACGGCGCTGGGATAAGGGACTGTCCCGCCAAATAAGGGACGCTTGACAGCTATGATTTTATTGCATTGCCATTTAAATTCAGGAGAACTGCGATTGCAAGTGTTCTTTGCCAACATGCCATGGACCACCTGAATGAAGCGCATGGGCTACTGACAGTCTGCATCTAATGCCCAAATGCAGCCCCCTCCAGACCACACCCCTTCCCAGGCCACGCCTCTCAGTGGCCTTGCTTCAGGAAACCAAAAGGTCCAATCAGAGTTTAAGGACATGTTCCAGCGAGGCAAGAGCACGCCAGGAGATTGTGAAGTGGGATTGTTAAAGGCAGTGGCCTGGGAAGAGGTGGTGTGTGGCTGGCGAGAGCGTGAGAGTCCCAGGGGCCAGAGAGAGTGACTTGGAGAACCAAATTTGCTCCCTGCCCCACCAGACCGGAGGCTCCGCTCCTTCTGCACTCCAATAAGTTTCTGAGAAATCATAACTGTTCCCTGAATTGAACTCGAGAGCCACCAGAAGAAAGAGGCGCTATTCATTCTGCACATTCCTCTCAAGCTGCAGGATGGATTGATTCTTAGATATCGTGTGCTTTCTTTCAAAAGAAAGTCCTTGCAGAGATTATGTGACATCCTACCCTTGCACCATTAACACAGACAAGAAAAAATCAAGCTGTGTCCCTTTTCAGGGGAGCAGGTAGGAGTCTGGTATAGCTCTTTGGGTGCTTTGCAAAAAGAAAAGCCGGCGCTGTGTGTGCTTCTGTGCATTAAACCAGCAGGGATGGATTTGTTGTAGTTTAGTGGTTTAGTCGTGTCTGACTCTTCATGACCCCATGGACCAGAGCATGCCAGGCACTCCTGTCTTCCACTGCCCCCCGCAGTTTGGTCAAACTCATGCTGGTAGCTTCGAGAACACTGTCCAGCCATCTCGTCCTCTGTCGTCCCCTTCTGCTTGTGCCCTCCATCTTTCCCAACATCAGGGTCTTCTCCAGGGAGTCTTCTCTTCTGATGAGGTGGCCAAAGTATTGGAGCCTCAGCTTCAGGATCTGTCCTTCCAGTGAGCACTCAGGGCTGATTTCCTTCAGAATGGAGAGGTTTGATCTTCTTGCAGTCCATGGGACTCTCAAGAGTCTCCTCCAGCACCATAATTCAAAAGCATCAATTCTTCGGCGATCAGCCTTCTTGATGGTCCAGCTCTCACTTCCATACATCACTACTGGGAAAACCATGGCTTTAACTATACAGACTTTGTTGGCAAGGTGATGTCTCTGCTTTTTAAGATGCTGTCTAGGTTTGCCATCGCCTTTCTCCCAAGGAGCAGGCGTATTTTAATTTCGTGACTGCTGTCACCATCTGCAGTGATCATGGAGCCCAAGAAAGTAAAATCTCTCACTGCCTCCATTTCTTCCCCTTCTATTTGCCAGGAGGTGATAGGCCCAGTGGCCATGATCTTCGTTTTTTTGATGTTGAAGGGGACGACAGAGGACGAGATGGTTGGACAGTGTTCTCAAAGCTACAAACATGAGTCTGACCAAACTGCGGGAGGCAGTGGAAGACAGGAGTGCCTGGCGTGCTCTGGTCCATAGGGTCACGAAGAGTCGGACACGACTAAACAACAACAAACAAGAACATCAATGTTCCATACAGCCCATTTGCACTTCGATTTAAGCCAGCGACGCAAAGGAATATTTGAACTCACGGAAAGCCTGTTTGGGGCAGGCAGTAGCTGCCCTATGGAGGTCCTGATGGGTCAAGGGAACCCTATGATTGTTCCTGACAGAGAGCTCCACAATACACTCAGCACTGGTCAGCTGACTGGTGCTGACAGCAAGCTTTCCTTGCCAATGCACAACTGGGAACGCACTTCAAGGCTTCTGATCGTTCTTTGGCAGCTGCATCTCCACCCATCTGACGTAACAGTTGACATCAGCTGTGGGCGTGCTTTGGGGGAAACATCCCCATTGGGCAAACTGGAGAGAAGGAAGATTTTAACACCCAGGGGCGCTTCCAGATGGGCTTGTTTATGGAGCATTCATCCTGGTTTCCTTGCACAATATTTGCCTGGAGGTTATGCAACATTGCCATCTAGTGGTTTTTACTCTGTGAAATATCCCAACTATTTTCTAAATGTGGGAAGTCCGACAGAAACGACAGGAAACTTCACTGGAAGGTGCAAGATAACAAGGACCAGATGGCGACATCGCATAACCTTGCAATAATAATAATAATAATACACTTGCGATGAACGTTCAATGCGCAGGTAACGTCATAAAACCTCTGCACAAATTTTGTGCAGACATATCAGGATGGGTGCCTGATAAACAGGCAGATGGAGCTTAAAACATGCCCCATCGTGTAAGTGGAGTGTAAAAAATATCTGCTCTATGGGGTGCAAAAACCTTAAGAAAATGGGACTTACTTGCTATCACTGGGCAGGACAGAGCCACTGCCAGAGCTGTTGGCCCTTTTCTGCGTCATTTTCCTCTTCGAGTTCTCTCGAAGCAGCCTGGCCCCGCTGGGAAATATCCCTTCCATCAAGTCCATGGTGGTCTTCATCTTGGAGTCGGGGTCCAGGATGTCAGCCAGCGACTTGTCCTTGTGGATGATCTCCTTTGCCAAAGCCTCCTCCTTGATGTCCTCCGGGGTCTTCATCTTCCCTGGGTTACTCTCAGGGTTGAGGTCACTGTTTTCGGGCTCCCTGCTGGTGATGACAGGCACGAGAGGCTGGCTGGCAGGAGCTTCGTCAGGCAGCCCCTGAGCGGGCAGAGGCGGCTGTTGTGCTTGCGAGGAAGGCGTGACGCCATTCGCTTTGGGCCCTGAGGTTCCGGCAGGGGGCGGTGAAGCAGCCTGGCTGCTCTTGGCGTTGGCAGTGGAGGCAGCGTTTGGTCCCGTTTCCTCTCTGTCGCCAAAGTTCCTAGGAATCCTTTTGAAGTTTCTGCCGATAAGCAGGGGGAAGAGCTATTTTAAACCAGGGTTTCTGAAACTCTGTGCCAACACCCCTCTCCCAAGGCAAGAACAAAATCGTTTGAGCCTCTCGGTCATGTGCAGTAACCATCAAATATGGCCAGTCATTAAATGCATGCCTATGAATACGAATATGCCAACTATCAAAAAAAGAACAGTGGTTCCTAAAGTGGGTGGTACTGTTCCGGGGGGGGGGGGGGCCGGGATCTACCAGGCAGAGGGTGCTAAGGGGCAAGGGGTCAGCAGGGGATATAAATGACTATCAGACTTGGAAAAGCTGGCATCAATGGATGAAGTTCATCAATTTTGTTGAATTAGTTAAACTAAATATTTTTAATTTGAACAATGGGGACACTGCGGGCGAATTTATGGAACCAAGGGGGCAGTTCCCTCCAGTTTGGGAATGACTGAAATAGAATTAAATACTGCCTGGATATTAACTGCCATTGAACATCTACTGAGGTCAAATATAATCAGAGGTTACATGCCAAGGTTTCAAAAACTTATGTGAGCACTGGGCAATTTTTATTCAAAGAACAGTTGACCTCAACAGCTGTAAAGCTTTTGGGAGCAAATATATGGTTAGTTTGGAACAAACAGATCAAATAAAAATTGAGGCTCTATGCACCCTTTAAAGTTATTGTTGCTGGAATCCCAAGAAACCAAACACGAAGAATAACAACAACAATAATAATAAATTTTCTATTGGAAACTCAAGGCGCTAGAGATATAAGATGATCAGAGCCCCACCGAACTTGAAGCATGAGAAGTCCCATTTTTAAAAAATAATTTGGCAGAATATTTGGACTATATGATATGTATTTGTATAATTTGGAATATTCAATGTGATTTGATTGGATTGTTAAAATGGAAAATTTAATAAAAATTATTTTTAAAAAATATTATAATAATAATAAATTTTATTTATACCCCACCCCTCCCCAGCCAAGACTGGGCTTAGGGCAGCTAACACCAGGTATAAAAACAATTGCTTAAGATACAACTTAAAAACAAGATTAAAATACAACATTAAAACGCAGCCTCATTTCAAAAGAAACTCAAATCAAGAACTTTCTGGGGATGAAAAGTCAAATCTTCACCAAGGCCAACTATTCAGACTGGTCCTACGTGGGCCAGAAAAAAGACAAGGAAGTCCCCAAGTAGGAGTTCCATCACAGAAGGAGAAAGGAAAGAGGGGAGCGGGATCAAGTTGATTCCAAGCCAAGAAGGATTGCTTGCAAAGTAAGAGCAGGGAAGGGTGTTCAGGAAGAGCCTTACCTGAGTGCAGACCCTTCCTCTCCAAGGCTGGCAGCGTTCCCAGCTGCTGGCTCCTTCTCTTCCAGAATGTCAGCAGGAGGAGGAGGGAATTCTTCCATGGTGTTTTCAGCAGCACTGGGGCTCTGGGCGGGGAGTGGCGGTGGAGGGGGCGAAAGCTCATAGGCGGCATCCAAAACACGAGGCTGGAAGAAAACGTCATCATCGCCCTCTTCCTGAGGAGACACCTGCAGGCAGGACTCTGAGATGCGGAGGGACAGCCTGCTTTGGCCAGAAGGAGTCTCTGGCTCAGAAGAGGAGCTGTTCTGCGATGGAAGGCTTTGCCACCTCTGGAAGGCCTTCTGCCCAGATGTTTGGAAAGGCATCGCGCTTCTGGAGGGGCCGTCATCTTTGATCCGTTTAATTGTAGGCGGGAGGTGCCTTAGAGGCAGCGTCGCCTTCCATCTCCAGGTAATATCTTCCACTGGCTCTTTAGGTGGGCCGTTGGAACTTTCCGGAACCTGGCCCTGAACGATGTCATCCCTCTCAGGTCTGGGGTGCCATCTTGTGACTAGGTTTTCACTGGCAACTTGGAAATCTGGGGGAGCTGGCATGGGGTTAGCACCGTTAGATGGCGACCAGCCAAATCTGGAAGGGGTAGCAAGCCTGGCGCCTGGCTTAGGTTCAGGATGATGACCCTTCGTATCTGCTGAAGGTGAGGAAAATGCTGAGGTCCTGCTGAGGTGTCTGAGGAGATCCGGAGCTTTCTGTCTCTCATTCGGAATGAACGAGTTGCCGACACTCTCACTGCTATGGCGAGTGTGGGGTCGATATTGTGTGAACGCTGATTTCTCCTTCTGACTTCTTTCTTTGCTGCCAAATGATCTAGGACAGGGTATAAAACTAGTGAGTTTTCAAAAAAAAAAAAAAAAAAGGCAATCAAGCTGATGCATCAATTTTATATCAATGCGGGCTCCAGGCTTTTGCAATAATAATAATAATAATAATAATATTAATAATAATAATAATAATACCCCAAGTTCAAATGCTGCAAAAATTCAGCAAGGAAAATAAAACCTGCACAAATGGAGAACCTTTGTATGCACCCAATATTCTCATTATACTGCAATTATCTGTGTTCTTGCTGAACGTGTTATTTCTTTTATCAAGAACACAGGCCGTGGAGGAGGCAGGCTGAAAACATGCTGTGTGGGAGGGGAAGGTTTGGGTGCATGAAGTAAAAGCAGAAATCTTCTGTGCCAAGAACAACACATAGTCTGCTTCTGATCTCTGAGCCTCTATAACTATGTTCCTTATGCTTACAAGCAATTTTCTCCCCAGTGTTAAGGACTGGATGCTTGCTTTTTAAAAAAAATGTGTGTACACCTCACAGTCTCCACATGGCACCACGATTGCTATCTGATATTCATTCCTATTGCATATTTTTATCCCTTCTTTTTCAGATAATAACGCCTGTTTGTCTTTCTCTTGAAGTAGTTCCTTTTGCTTTAGCCTAACATTCACTATCTCCTGCCAACCTAGCAGTTCAAAAGCACGTCAAAGTGCAAGTAGATAAATAGGTACCACTTTGGCAGGAAGGTAAATGGCGTTTCTGTGTGCTGCTCTGGTTTCGCCAGAAGCGGCTTTGTCATGCTGGCCACATGAACCAGAAGCTGTATGCCGGCTCCTCGGCCAGTAAAGCGAGATGAGCGCCGCAACCCCAGAGTCAGCCACGACTGGATCTAATGGTCAGGGGTCCCTTTACCTTTAAGGAAAAGTGAAGGGATGTGGGTGGCGCTGTGGGTTAAACCACAGAGCCTAGGACTTGCATATCAGAAGGTCGGCGGTTCGAATTCCCGCAACGGGATGAGCTCCCGTTGCTCAGTCCCTGCTCCTGCCAACATAGCAGTTCGAAAGCACATGAAAGTGCAAGTAGATAAATAGGTACCGCTCTGGCGGGAAGGTAAATGGCGTTTCCGTGCACTGCTCTGGTTCGCCAGAAGCGGCTTAGTCATGCTGGCCACATGACCCAGAAGCTGTACGCCGGCTCTCTTGGTCAATAAAGCAAGATGAGCGCCGCAACCCCAGAGTCGGTCACGACTGGACCTAATGGTCAGCGGTCCCTTTATCTTTAACATTCACTATCTCTCTTTCTTCCAGCTGTTGCTTCCTGAAAATATGTTTCAACTTATACCATAAGGCTTTATGAAAAGCCTTTATCAAAGGCTTCCTTGGAAGCCCACAAACCTTCACTTTCTTACGGATGGCAAAGACTTATCTCTGGCTTATTGATACCTTCAGAATTCTGGCAGAGTCGTGAGCTAGGCTTTCTTTTCACGAGGCCCACCTTGACTCATCTTCAATAATGCCCAGTGCTCATTTGCATATTTAGCTAGTCTGCTGTGAACTATTGCTTTTCCAACTCAACCGGTTCCCTTCTTTGGAGCGGGGGTGGGGGAGAGAACTGTGAAACAATTCCTGAACGCAAAAAAAAAAGCTTTCCGCCAGAGGAATGCGCTTAATGTAACACATACATTGCTGATGCAGCAACAGCATTCCGAAGACCTTAAGACGGTAATAAGCACTTAGGAATGTCAGGCTTGGCTGTAAGGCATATTACTTAATAGCCCATATCCTGCTCCCGTTGGCTCGTTTCTCTGCAAGTGTCAGCCTCGTTACTTAAGAAGCTGCATGCAGAAGCCAACTCATAAAAAGAGTCTCGAAACACTGATTAATTGGGAAGGATGAGACGACAGCCAGGGTTGCTTTCACGCAAAGACCACTAAAAGCTATTCGAAAACTGCTAGATTCCCACGGGGGGAAAGTCTTGGCTCCTCTGGCTTCATAATACTTTCCTAGAAACTAGGCACCGAAGCCAAGGCTGGCTTAGCTGTTGCAATTCCAAGTTAATCACTCTTCTCTAGAACTCTTTGTTTTCAAAGCCATACATCAGCGTTTGCAAACCTGGTGCCCTCCAGACTACAGCTTCCATAAGCACTGGGCTGGAGCTGATGGCAGTTTTAGTTCAAAACACCAGGTGGGCACCAGGTTGGCAAAGGCTGCTCCAAGTGATAAGAGGCTATTTGTGGTGCATCAAAAGAAAGCAGAGTCTGTATCAGCTGACTCAGAATACATCGCGAGCTTGCACCTCCTTCACTGTAACCCCTGCGCCTCTCCTGATAATGTGAACATTTTCCATCAAACGGTTTAGAAGGGCCGTGTGGTTACGTATCACACCAATGAGGCACATAACCACATGATGTGTGCCAGCAGTGTGGGTGGGAGGTATACAAGCATTATCCAGAGCTGCTTTGGAACAACCATGGAGGCAGCAGCAGTAACCGTGGATATTGTGCTACGAGTGGGCACAGAAAATCCAATAATCTTTTGTCTCTGAGCAAGAATGCAGTTCACAGGGAAAACATACCTTTGAATTTGTTTTATAAGTTTTTGGTTAGTTTCTGTGCCTTTGCTAATCTTTTCAGATATATTCGATTCCCTTACTGCTTCGGAGTACACCTTGAAACAGGGTTTTGTTTTTGTACCAAAGGCAATTGTGATTTTTTTTTTTTTTAAACCTGCTTCTCTTGATGAAGATGTATGCAAGCTTTCCCCCCTCAGCTATATATGGGGCAGCTCACCTACTATTTTTAATGCATTTCCTCCCCCCCAATATAAGGTGATCAGAACCCTTTCATTGAACATTCATTATGCTATTATTAAGATGCTACAACTATCTTACTATTAGTTTCAATGTGTGCTGTGGTTTTTAATGGTGTAGTTTACTTATTCTTAAGGGACGCAGGTGCTGTGGGTTAAACCACAGAGCCTAGGACTTGCTGATCAGAAGGTCGGTGGTTCGAATCCCAGCGACGGGGTGAGCTCCCGTTGCTCGGTCCCGGCTCCTGGCAACCTAGCGGTTCGAAAGCACGTCAAAGTGCAAGTAGATAAATAGGTACCGCTCTGGCGGGAAGGTAAACGGCGTTTCTGTGCGCTGCTTTGGTTCGCTAGAAGCAGCTTAGTCATGCTGGCCACATGACCCAGAAGCTGTACACCGGCTCCCTCGGCCAATAAAGCGAGATGAGCGCCGCAACCCCAGAGTCGGTCACGACTGGACCTAATGGTCAGGGGTCCCTTTACCTTACTTATTCTTACAGAAACTGCTCTGTCGTCATATGGTAGTATGTGCCACACACACAGAGAGAGAGAGAGAGAGAGAGAGAGAGAGAGAATAAATACCTACCTGGTGCCAGCAGCCACGACATAGAAAGGATCTTTCACAAAATGGCTGAACTCACTACTTTCTCCCATCAGGATGTCCTTGAGGAGAAAGAGAAGCAAACAGAAAACTGAACATACTGCTTTAGAAGTATAGGATGGTAATTAATACGTGCATTTATTTGTTCAAATATTTATATTCCACCTTCTAACACAACCCATCATGCCACATTCTATAATTAAATAACCATGGGGGGTATTTAACTTTACGTTTTACCGCATGTTGAGATTCCTGCCATAGCTGTCAACCTTCCCTTTTTTTTGCGGGAAATTCCCTTATTTCAGCGCCGTTTCCCGCTGCTATCCCAGATTGTTAGATATCCCGTAGACTGTCTCCGGGACAGGTGAGGCTGCTGATCCCTGATTTTCAAATCTGGAAGTTGACAGCTATGATTCCTGCATGGCAGGGGGTTGGGACTAGACGCTCTCTCGGTGTCCCAACTCTATGGTTCTATGGAATATTAGCTGCTGGAAACCGCAGGAGGGGAGAGAGCTGTCACACTCAGATCCTGCTTGCGAGCTTTCCACAGGCATCTGGTTGGCCACCATGAGAACAGGAAGGATGTTGGACTAAATCAGCATCTCTGAAATCCAAAACATCTGACATCCAAGACACAGGGAGACTTTGCTGCCAGTTTAAATTCACCTGGACAATTACGTTCTTACCTATTAAGATATAGTGAATAGTTTTTAAAGCAGGAAAAGCCCAATTCTAGAACAAGACAAAGAGCCTGGGAATTTGCACACAAATATAGTTGCCAGATGTGAAGAGATGCATGTTTTGAGATCAAGGAGCTCACAACTCAATCTATAATTCTCCACTCCAAAGATTGTCCCCCCCCCCCCCAAAAAAAACCCCAAAGTTTGCCTTGCTTTGTTGTTAGATGCAAAGGCGGTAGCTGGGACAGGGTGGGGAGTTTAAAGTGCTTGACCAAATTTATAAGCCGGAGATTTACCCGGCACGCAGGCTGAGACAAGCTAAAAGAGGAGACGCAGAAGAAGATGGAGAATGTGTGGTTGAAGACAGATGGGCCAGCAATTCCGCATAGCTATCAATTTCCTCAGATCTTTAAACAAATTCCTTCAGTGACACTGCAGTGTAATTTATAGTCCGTCTGCAGGGAACAGTATATATCCCTTTTAAAAATATATAGCAAGCCAAAAGCTGAGGCACGTCTGCTGCTGCAACAGATAAAAAGGCTTTGGCAAACCTGATTTTTTTAAAAAGGAAACAGGGAACAAGGGAAAAAAAGAGAAGATCCTGTTTTGCTTTAACTGCTACTCTTTCTCTGTCCTCACCCCCTTCTCTTGTCCCCTTATTAAAAACATGTTGGGGTTTGCAGGAAAACATTCATATTCAAACCACAGGCTGGCTGCAATTAAAAAAGCAATGGATCCAAACTACAAGAAAGAAGATTCCACCTAAACATTAGGAAGAACTTCCTGACAGTAAGAGCTGTTCGACAGTGGAATTTGCTGCCAAGGAGTGTGGTGGAGTCTCCTTCTTTGGAGGTCTTTAAGCAGAGGCTTGACAACCATATGTCAGGAGTGCTCTGATGGTGTTTCCTGCTTGGCAGGGGGTTGGACTCGACGGCCCTTGTGGTCTCTTCCAACTCTATGATTCTATGATTCTATGAAATTGACCAGGCCTTGGAGAACCTGTGGCCACAGAGGCTTTCAAACCCTCCAATTCAACTTAGTTCCTCCCTCTTTGGTCACATATACACCAAACATTGGCTTCCCTCCAAAAAAACCACCCTGAAACTGAATCAGCAAGACAGAGGGGCTAGGATGGACTCACAGGTCTTTGGAACCAGTGGCTTGGGATGCATTTTGCCTCTGCAATTCAAGGTGCTGGCAGTAAGCCCTAAATGACTTGCAAACACTGACCCCCTACCATCCTGCCAGTGGGTGACACTCTGCAGAAGCTACCCAACATGTGGCCCCACCAGTAGGTGAAGCATGTGGTAGGGATGGTAGTACAAGAAAAAGCCTTCTCTGAAATGACACCCTATCTCCAGAATGACTTCCCCCTTGGATGTCCAACTCCCAAGAGACTGCGATCTACTCACAAAATAAAAAACTGGCAGTGATCTACCCCTTTGCGGGGGTCAGGTCAAAGTGGTTGAGCTTTTTTTCAGGGAGAGGGAAGGAGAAAGGCAGTAGAAGTCGCTCTCACCAAAAGATTGCCAAGAAAAGAAACAGCCTCGCAGCGACAAATCCGTCTCCTGTTCTAGCAATCATGAGCAGGAAGGAAAAGGAGCCCGAGATCAACCAAGATCGACCGAAGCCTCCACAGGATTGACCAGTCAATCCCGATCGACCTGTTGGACGCCCCTGATCTAGTGCATTGGTGTGTCTACGGCTGACACTGTTGACTTTTTTTCAGTTGGCTACCTCTTCATCCAGGTCTTTGGGATGAGAACTATAATGCTGTTGCTCGTTGATCTGAGGATGTTTTCTGCTTTTATTAACTTGTTTTATCGTTGGATTCTGACCTTGGGACCAGCTGGATGAAAGATGGGTCAGATATACCATAAATGAATAAATGAGATATTAACATGTAGAGTGGTGTTGCTCTATTCCAATATCTATATGGTTAAACCCCATATTATTATTGTTAATAATAATAATAATTTATTTAAACCCCGCCCTTCAAAAACCGGGCTCAGGGCGGCTAAATTATACTTGCAAATTATAGAATCATAGAATTGTAGAGGGGAACCCAAGCGATGCAGGAATCTCATACATGACAGATGGCCATCCAACCTCTGCTTAAAAACCTCCATTGGATTCCATTTATATTCCACATTTTTCTCCCAAGGAGCTCAAAGTGGCATACATGGTTCTCCCACTCCTCATTTAATCCTCACAACAACCCTGTGAGGTAGGTTAGGCCCAAGGTCACCCAGTGAGCTTCACAGCCAAGCGGGGACTTGAACCCTGGTCTCCCGGGTCCTAGTCCGACACTCTAACCACTACACCACACTGGCTCCTTAAAACGCCAGCTAGTTCAGCTTCACGCTGGATGTGCTCGTAAGGACTGCAGTGGCTCTCGCCATCAACACAGTTCCACAGAGTGAATTTAAAAGAGCCAAAATGCACAATGGACACCAAGGATGTTAGCTAGATAACGTGGCACAGCTAGAACATTTGCTTACAAACCAGGGACACACGAGCAAGTTGGTGGTCCGCAGCTGCTTAAGCATTTTGCCTCCTTCACTATTTTGCTTTGCTGTTTATTCTGTCCTGTTCTGAAAACACAAGCTTGGTAGGTCTGGTGGTGGCCTGACAGGACAACCCGATACACCCAGCACAAGAGCGCAGAGAAGCCAGCAGGAGAAAGAAAACAGCAAAAGGCCTCAGGCTAAGCATTTTGCAATCTGGCAGGGCTCTTGGGCTTTGCAAAGAGAAATCTCAGAGCAAATGGTTTTCCAGATTGCCTTATAAAATACCTGGTGGTGGTAATAAGAGGAGAAATGGTTTTTGTGAGTTTGTGGGGTTTATTCCCTCCAGAAACCCAGTTTTTTGTCTCTCTAAAAATCCTCAGCAGGCAGAAGCCTTCCAAAGAGAGCTTTGCACCAGCAGCTGGATGCAGAGTAAAACTAAAAACGTTTGCCCAAAGCCAATTTAAATTCCATTGTCAACAATAAAACAATATGACAGTCAGTTTGCGGTGTAGCGGGGTATTATAGCACTGGCTTTGAAATGGGGAGACCCGGGGTCAGATTCCCAGGTAGCCCTGTGAGGAGAAAATGAATGGGACACATCCAAAGTTGCCCTTATGTAAATAGAAGGACATTGCGAGATACAGTTTCCCTCAAAAGGAAAAGCAGGATGCATGTGAATAATAATAAAAAACACCGTGTTTCAGCAAAGATAGGATATACTACCAGCCAAACATTGAACAACCCACCTTTCCTTCTCTGGTCCCATGTAAATGAATAGAGCTGTGGAATAAGAATGCTTCTTCACAATTGCCTCTCATTCCTGTATTGCAGGAAGGGTTGGACTAGATGGCCCTTGGGGTCCCCTCCAACTCTACAATTCTATGGAGAGGTGGGGAGGGAAACCTCCATGCAAGTGTGAAGATTCTCATAGAATGTAGGGGTTATTGTGGCTTTTATACCCACCAAATTCCACTGCTCACTAGAACCTTTGCAATAATGGATTGAACCCACTAAGCTATGCTAATAGTAGACCCACTGGAATTAATGCCTCTATGGTTTAATTTCATTAATTTCAATGAGACCACAGTACTTTGAGCAGAACTAACAGTGTCTGCGCTCCAGCATAACCAGGGGGAATGAACAATAGATGGACCAAGGAAGTCCCATATCTTTTACATACCTGGCACATTTTATCCGCTGAGGGAGACGACCTGGATCGGATGTGGATGGCAACTGCCTGGTTTTCTGATCTCTCCAGCAAGTCCTCTGCAGAGGCCGACTTCCCGGGCTTCTTGGTGGGTGCCGACCTCTTCTCCAGAACTTGGTCATTAGCGTGGCATGGCTTGGTGCACATGTCAAGATCTGTCTGGGTGCTTTTGGTGAGCTCTGGGTCAGCTCTGCAATCCTGACGCCGGTCTGCTTTCAGCCAACTGGGAAAGGAGCTGCTCCTGCTGCCGTGATTTGGGCTGGTCACCTTCCTGCCCTCAGGTCCGCTGGGATCGAAGCAGCCTGTGAGCCCAGGAGGAAGAGTGGCAAAGCCACGCCCCGCTCTAGAGACCGGCTCCAGGGACTCCCGGCGATGGCAAAGACTCTGGTCCTGGAGAGAATTCATGCTGGATGAGGATGAAAGAGACTGCCCCTCTTGGGCACCTGTTTGCGTGCAAGAGGACTGAGAGCCCTCCTGCAGGAAGCTGGAGTCTTGGGATGCAGACGAAGGCCGCTTCCCAGTTTTGCGTTCAATGTAATCTGCCAGCGCGTTCTGCTGCAGCTGCTTCAGCTCCGGCTTGGAAAGATTGATGGTGGAGCACGCCTTGTTCTCCCTCTCAAATATCTTGCGGCGGTCAGCCACCGTGCTCTCTGGGAAAACAAACTGGAGGGCTTTCTTCTGGTGGGAGAAGGGCGACAGCTCACTGTCAGACACACCCACTTCGTTCATCTTCTCCGGCTCAGAGTAAGACTTCTTTTTCTGGTCGGGGTTCAGTCGCCTCCTGCCCCCAATGCGTGCCACGTGCAGAGGCGCAGGAAGGCTCTCTTTGTTGGGATAATCCAACTTGGTCTCTGTCGGTGTGATGCTATGCCTCTCCTTTGGGGTATGGGGAGACGCAGCCATGCTCCTCATCCCAACATGTGCTGAGGCCGGCCTTTGCACACTCCTTCTGGGCTCCTTCCCACACTGAGGGCTGATGTTGAGGTCCTTGCGGCTGAAGGAGGTGGCCCTCAAAACCTTAGACTGGGCATCTTTGATGCTGTTCCTGTAAGCCCTGCTAAAGGGGAGGTCCAGCTGCAAGCCGTTCGAGTCCTGGGTGCTGCCCTTCCACAACAGCTCTCTCTCGCGCTCCTCCGACAACTGGAAAGCACTTCTGCTTTGGGGCAGCTGCCCAGCCGGTTTTGGTGGCTCGCTTTCAGAGGTCCCGGCCTGATGATAGATGCTGTGCCATCCTGGCATCGCCACGGCAGCACTTGCTGCCTCCATCTGCTGCTCTGCACCGTGCCAATTAGCCCTCTCTGGTCTGCCAGCCCCACTCTCGCTTGCGCGCTGCATATATGCGGCCGGGTCTGAGCTCCTTGCGCTGGCCAGGCGGCTATGATCTCCAAGCAAGTGAAGATGCTCTTGAGAGTTCCGCCTCTTTCGGATGTCCTCAACATGGTTGAGGTTGGGCTTGCCTGAGCTGAAATTCTGGCTGAAGCTGTTAGGGCTGACACTCTGCAGCCACTGGCCGCCTTGTTCACGTTGCTCTATCTTGCTGACCTTCTCCAGGACAGAGCACCGGGCCTTCCGAGAGTCCAGTTGCCCATACTGAGAGTTCTGGAGGTTGCTAGAACCCAGCTGGTGAATATTTAAGTCTGACATCTTAGGGGCCATCGGAGAAGAGGGCTCCTTGTACTTTGGCTCCACCCCATGGAAATGCTCTGCGCTGGGAATGGTGTCCTGGTACCCTTCTAAGCTGTGCCACTCGCCATCCTGCCAGTGCCCAGGGATCTGCCCCTTCTCCGCTTGGCTGCTGTAATTCACAAAATGCCACTTGGCACCGGAGTAGCCCTTGCACTGTGGTACCTCCTTCAGATCCGAGCTGTTCTGCAGCTTGCTGCTCTCCGGGATGTTTTGCAAGGAGGAAAAAGCGTGCTGCTTGGCCTTACTGGGGTTCCACTGGTTTTGAGCTGTGGGATGCAGGTTTGCGTTCTTATCTTCCTTCTGCTCTCCTGCCCCGTACCCCTTTGAGTGGCAGAGGCCTTTGCTGTCAATCGCATCCCTCGGGTGAGGCAGGCGTGCCTGAGAGCTGTGGTTCGAGTGCTGTGCGTTTCTTGCACTTTCCTGGATCGAAGCTGTGGTCATATACGGCGGGGCCGACTCATCCTGCCTGGGAGACGCGGGGTAGGCTTCGGGATGCATCCTGTACAAGACGAACTTTGCAGCTGCGTCTTCCACCTCCTGCTTCTTCCCTGGCGCGTACTCAGGCTGGTAGAAGATGGCAGCCTTGTTCGGTGGGCTTTGGTTTCCGTTCTCGTCCAAGCCAGCATGCTGCCTGCAGGCTGCAACGTTTTCGTACGAGGATGGAGAAGACACAGGGGCGTGTGCGTACCCACTCTCTTTGGCAAGCGCTGGGTAAAGCATCCCGCTGTTGCTTGCGGAAGGGTGAGGAACCTGGGCAAAGTGGGGCTCAGGAGAAGGGACAGGGTAAACACCAGTAGGAAGCAAAGGCTGCCCTGGCTGAGCTGCCTGCGAGTAAACCTGTTTGGGCTTCATGGTGGGACTGCTCTCTGGGCTCTTCTCCATCACAGTGTGGAGCTGTCCTTCTAGGAATGCAGGTTTCTGGAGATGCCCTGGAGGAGGGGTGCCCTGGCCTAGGTGAGGCCAGGCACTTTTGGGGTGAGTCCTACAGGACTTCCTGTGCTCAAGGCTGGACCAGGAGCTGGGCCTCTCGTGGTGCCTGGTTGCTGCGTAACTGTCACTACGGGTCGGTGGCATAGGGGGCCCCTTCATATAGTGGCTATCGCTGTCAGACGAGCTCCGAGTTGGTAGTCCCTTGCTGTAGCCATGCAACCTGCTGTAGCCGTATCCTTTAGCCTGGGACTCACAGCTTGGCGAGAGAGCAGAGGACTTTACTTCGTATTCCTCCGAAACGCCTCGCTGGGCATTGTAGACAGTTTTAATGTACCTGATATCAGCCTGCCTCATTCCCCCTTCTTGCGGTCTGCCCCGGGAATGGACGTTCTCCATGGAATAGGACCTCTCCTTGCAGAACGTGGGCGCCAGGTATTCGGGAATGCTGGAGCTGGTTGAGAAAGAGCTGTAGGCGGAATCCCTCTTGCTGTGGAGATGGGCAAGCTGGTCAATACTATTGGTGGATTTGGCTGGCGAAAGGTGGCAGGGGTGATGGGTATACCCCGCAGGGGTATGGTCCAAACTCTCCATGCTTCCCCTAGAGCTGTACTGGTCAGGACTTCTTCTTAAATAGCCATGCTCATAGCCGGAGAGATCGCTTGTGGAGGAACTGGAGGAAGGAGCGAGAGAGAGAGAAGCGAAAACTTGTTAACATGAGAGCAAGAGAGAGTCGTACTGGCTTATAAAGGGACTCTGAGGGATATGTTTAGTTTTTAGAGGAAGAGACGAAAACCCATATTTGGGCCTTGTTCTGTTCTTAGTCTGCAGTCATCCTGGTTTGCTCGGAAGGACCGCTTGACATTGCAACACATGTCTCTTATTTATCACTAGGAAGGGAGGGGAAAAAATAGATGGGAGGCAGGTCGCAAGCAGGGGAGGCTTTGCAGGGAAGTCCAAGCATGTCTACTCCACCCTCGCAATCCATCAAAAGCACCCTAAACGTCACCAGAATACCCAGACATCCACGAGTAAGAGACAGAGAGAAAGAGGGTGAAAGGAAGAACAAGAGAGTAAGAGAAGCTTGAGGACAGAGAGGAATTTGCCCCCTCCTCCATGTCTCTCTCTCTCTCTCTTTCTTTTTTCGCTTCTTTTCTTTTTATGGAGGTGAAGGCTATACGCTGGCAGTGTTCCTGGAATCTCCAACTGAACTGGAGACATTTTGTTTGCTGTGAGAAAACTAAACAGACATGACAGGGAAGGAGGCAATGAGGGATGGGGTGGAGATGGGACAGAGAGCAGCGGAACCACAACAGCTTCAATAAGTCCATGGCAAGAGCTTTTCATCACGGACCAAGCTGACGAAAAGTCAAAGGCTGCTCCAGAAAGGATATGACACAGCTATTTGTCAAGGAGGCTCAGTTGCAGGCATAAACCCTCCTGTTGTTGCTGCTGCTGCTGCTATTTGGAGGGGAGAAAGCTGGCTAGGTTGATTCCTTGACATTATTTTCCCTCATACAAGCTGATGAAGACGTGTAGGCCTTAAAACCAGCCTGGTTCACTGTCATTATTACTCAGCTACCCAGTGGCTCAAGGGACCCCAGGTCCATGCTGAGTCATTATTACTCAACATCAGCAAAATGGAATAATACATTATTTAACTCAAAGGAAGGTGAATCCTTCACACTGACACCAGGAAGCTTAGGAACTACATTTCCCAGAGGGCCTGAATGCTGCTGCAAGTGCCAGCAATGGAGTTGAGACCTCAAGCCTGAGGCCTACGATTGCCACCTCATCCTTTCGGTTAAGAAATGGGGTGGCAGGGAGGACATGGGTAAACTGTGAGAGAGGAGGGGGAAATTTAAAAAATGGTTCTCTTCTGAATGATGCCCACACTCAATCAGCAGTGGGCTTGGTTAATAGAGCTGGGCATTTGAAATTCATTCAAAAATGGCAACCCACAGCCCCAGCCTGGCTCTGGCACAGTCAATTTCCCCTCAGCCCCGTGACAGCATAAACTTGGCCTCCTCAAACCAAGTTGCTCTGGCCACTGAAAACCCCTCCATTTCCTTATAAGCCCATCTGTCGTGTCTCCTGCTGTGACAATGGCAGGGCCTTGGGGAACCAAGGTCTCGTTCACGAATTGCTGTTTGCTCCAATTCAGCAGTAAAGAGCGGGTTTGTGTGGGAAATGCGCCTGGGGGAAAAAAACAAAAGTGCTTGGACGTGAGAGTTTTAAAGTATGTGCTAAGAAAGAACAGTGCAAAGCGTGGATGACCCTTTAGTGTCCCAAGGCCCAACTGTTGCCTGGTTTGTGTTGTTCTCCTGCTCGACATTATCTTTTCTCATGGTACCTCCTAGCCTAAGGATAATATCCCCACCACATGGAAGCAAAAACATAAAGGCAAAAGGAAGGATGCTGCAAAGCAACTATCTAGGGACTGAGCTGTTTGCCAAGTGAAGAAGTACAGTGGTACCTCGGGTTAAGAACTTATTCATTCTGGAGGTTCATTCTTAACCTGAAACTGTTCCTAACCTGAGACACCACTTTAGCTAATGGGGCCTCCCACTGCCCCCACAGCACGATTTCTGTTCTCATCCTGAAGCAAACTTCTTAACCTGAGGTACTATTTCTGAGTTAGCGGAGTCTGTAACTTGAAGCATATGTAACCTGAAGCATATGTAACCCGAGGTACCACTGTACAGAGAATGAGAAAGAACCAGATCACAGAGAATAAGGAGGAGGAGGAATGGTTTCAACAGAACTGGCCATTTTTCTGGTTTCATCTCCTCAGCTGCTTGTGCCATTTGCTTTCCTTTTTAAACAAATGATCTCCCAATTTGACCACTCCGGCCCTCACCTATTACCAACAGACAGCGACAGAAGAAGGCTGGCAATCCGACCACTAGATGCCACTGGCGTTCTTCAGTGTTGAAACACCTGGAGTGATGGCTTCTATGCCAGCAGAGATGCGACAACAGAGACGGCAGAAATCTGGGGCTTGGAACTCTATGAGCTAGGCCATAGCAAAGAATAATTTTTAAAAAAGGCAGCTCCCTGGGAAGGAAGGAATGCTGTTGCCAGATGATTTGTGTTGGGTGTCAAGGAGAGAAAGAGAACACACATCTCTGTTGGAATGGTTTCTTTTTTCATTTCTTTTTGTAATCCTAGAGTTTCTTCCTGCTTTCCCATCCCATGCTTCCTTTGATCTCAATAAATTACTATTGGTGCCAGTATTTAGGTTTCACAGAGGTCTTGAAATTCCAGCGGCTAAGTTGGGGAGGAGGAAACTACTGTGCTGATGCGGAGATTGGGAATCTGCTACAAAGATGTTCAAGGAGATTGAAAGACTGGGGATTTGTCTATACATCAAAAAAGAAACATCACTAAGAACTTTCCGGTTGTGTTATGTTCCATCTTTCAGAACAGATACAGAAAAGTGGAAACACATTGTAGGGAACAGGCCGAAGCTCTATATGATCAGCTCCTTTAAAAAACATATCCGTGTGCCACGAAAAGCTGAATCCTGAAACCTGTATGTATTCTGCAAATGGAACAAACTTGAAAGGGATAGAGCATGGGTGGGAAAACTAAGGCCCGGGGGCCTGTCCAGCACAATTGCTTTCTAAATCCAGCCCGCAGATGGTCCGGGAATCAGCGTGTTTTTACATGAGTAGAATGTCTCCTTTTATTTAAAATGCATCTCTGGGTTATTTGTGGGGCCTGCCTGGTGTTTTTACATGAGTAGAATGTGTGCTTTTATTTAAAATGCATCTCTGGGTTATTTGTGGGGCATAGGAATTCGTTCATTCCCCCCCCCTTCAAAACATAGTCCGGCCCCCCACAAGGTCTGAGGGACAGAGGACTGGCCCCCTGCTGAAAAAGTTTGCTGACCCCTGGGATAGAGCAAGCAGAACAGATGATGCAAAAGCAGCAAACGAATGAAATCTGAATAATGTGCAAAGGCTATAGAATTCAGAATTTTGATTTATCTGCTCTTTTCTTTTTTTTAGCGCAGAGCCTGTAGAATTCTACAATCAGCATGGAAATTCGGGCAAAGTTCACTGCTTGATAAGTCCCCCGCTCCACCACCGTGGCCGCACAGCTTTTGCAAAAATAGCTGAGAGTACCTGCCTGTTCAACTTGATACACCATTGTTTCAGATCCATAAAGGTAGCGCGGCACCTGGCAGAGAAAGCTCAGCAGCTTTTAAAAGACTGTGAGGTGAATGCAGATTACCGCTGAGGATTATGCTTTCAGGGTGGAGCATAAATTGTTCTCTTCCTGGAATGGGAAGCACACAACACACCAATCCTCGGATACAGGGGTTGTTGTTTTTTTTGGCCAAAATGCTGTGAGGCTTACCTGGAATGGTAGGCTTGGTGCCAAGGAGTGCCAATCATGCCAGGAGATATTTGCATCATGCTGAGATCGGGCTGGTTCTCTATGAACTTGGCAGAATGCCAGGAGTGCGGTCGGCCCACAGGGTCGCTTCGTCTGGAAAAAGAACAAAAAGGGGTAAAATAATTAGAGACAGGAACTTGCTCAGATACCCTGACAGGTGGGGCAGGAGCAATATGATTATTATTTAGCATTTATTCTGTGCCAGCAGCGTGACCCTGTCAAGAATACAAACACATCATGGTCTCTGCTCCCTAATGTTTATTACATTCTGCTCTGGTGCTATGCATCAGTGTGTTCCACTGAGACCATCGTGCTGAAAAACACACTAACCATTTTATTGGGCCTGGTGCAAGAGGATACCCTAAATGTCAAAAATGTCATTAGATTAAACCTGAAGCTTTGGTGGCAAGCTTAAGAGGAATGTGGCTTGGAATCTACTAGAGAGCCTTGCTTCAACCAAGGGTACAGAAACTGTTTCAATCTGAGGGCCACATTCAACCTTCTGGGGGCCACGTGCAAGTGGTGGGCAGAGGAACAAGTGCAAATTTTGCCTTTGTGCAGTAGGCTAGTTTCTGCACATGCTCTCACACCCTTCTCTTCGTCCAGGGAAGCAAGAGGACTTATCAGAGTTGATAGCACATTGTTGTTGTTTAGTCGTGTCCAACTCTTCGTGACCCCATGGACCAGAGCACGCCAAGTACTCCTGTCTTCCACCGCCTCCTGCAGTTTGGTCAAACTCATGCTGGTAGCTTTGAGAACACGGTCCAACCATCTCGTCTGCTGTCGTCCCCTTCTCTTTGTGTCCTCCATCTTTCCCAACATCAGGGTCTTTTCCAGGGAGTCTTCTCTTCTGATGAGGTGGCCAAAATATTGGAGCCTCAGCTTCAGGATCTGTCCTTCCAGTGAGCACTCAGGGCTGATTTCTTTCAGAATAGATAGGTTAGATCTTTTTGCAGTCCATGGGACTCTCAAGAGTCTCCTCCAGCACCATAATTCAAAAGCATCAATTCTTTGGCGATCAGCCTTCTTTATGGTCCAGCTCTCACTTCCATACATCACTACTGGGAAAACCATAGCTTTAACTATATGGACCTTTGTTGACAAGGTGATGTCTCTGCTTTTTAAGATGCTGTCTAGGCTTGTCATTGCTTTTCTCCCAAGAAGCAAGCGTCTTTTAATTTCATGACTGCTGTCACCATCTGCAGTGATCATGGAGCCCAAGAAAGTAAAATCTCTCACTGCCTCCATTTCTTCCCCTTCTATTTTCCAGGAGGTGATTACAGCCAGGTAAAAACACTCTCACAGAGGGTACAAAGAAGGGGCAGTAGGGAGTGTGCAGGTCGGTAAATCACGCAGTCCAAAGTTGGAGTTTAACTCATTATTTGCAAAAACACGATCTCCACATACTTGGCTGAGTGAGCCCTAATGCACACAGGAGCTCATTCCCTGTGGGTCTTACTCCATGAAATCAGTTGCCCCACCTCCCCACAGCTGTCATGTTGCCTCCTCTCCATGGCATTTCCCAAGCAATTGGAGACCGTGCCTGCGTTCCACCAATCTCTCCTCTGCCCCTTTCATGCCTCTCCTGGTCCGGAGAGATGGGAGGGGAGCTTGTCACAGTAGGTGAGGGAGACACCAGTGACTCGTCTCTGCCTCTTGACCTCCTTCCTCCCACTTGCCAGCTTCAGCTTCTTGACTGCCCCCTGCCACCGACTTTCCCAGCTCACTAAGCGCTGTTTCCCCTTCAGCTTCCGACACTTCCTTCTCCCTCTGACTGCTCATCATCATCTCACCACCACTCCCTGGGGTCTGAGCCTTCTTCCCTTGCTGGTTCCCCAGCTGGTTTCTACCACCATTCCTCGGCATTCAACCAGTCCATGACAGTGTGGCTGGTGTGTGTGTGTATGTGTGTGCGCACGCGCGCATGGCCTGGGGAGTCTCCCAAGAGCCAGGCAGGCAGGGTTGGAGTGTCACATTTGGTCTCTGGACCTGAAGCTCCCCACCCCTGCTTCAGACTGATGTTGACAATGCACGTGGCACCATCAACATTGTGTTTGGCTTAAGTTTCATTTAAAAACAGGGGAAGGGAAAGATCATGGGAGAGGGTGACCAGATATACAGGAGACACAATCCCTTTGTGGGTTGTTAGTTCCCTCCATGCAAAAGGGAGCAGGGATAGCCTCACTAACCCTGCCCCACTGTTACACCCACGTGCGCAGCCCTCCACCCTCCGTGCACTGGAGTGAACATTTGCAACAGGGAATCTGCTCTCCATGGGATTAAGAACCATGTTGGTGTTGAGCCTCCATGAGTACAACTGTCTAATGGGCACAGACAAGCAATGGAGGCAGAAGGGCAAGCTAACATATCCTGCTCTCCCCGACGTGATTCTAATCACACGGGGGAATTGAATACCCACACAACAGGGTTAAAGAATAAAGGAAAGCACGGTTATACTGAAGCACAATGAAGTACATGAAATAATAATAATTTGTACCCTGCCCATCAGACAGAACAGGGAAGATGCAGGAAAATTGGCTTTTAATAGGTAAAAATTTAATGTTATATTATATTAAGATTAAGCATTGGGATTAAAAAGGAGGGGAAGGAATTGCTGGACAAACAAATTGAATTGGAATACAAAAGAGGGAGGTATGAGGAGGTCCAGGAAATAAGTAAATCTAAAAGTAGTGATGAAAAGATGGAATTGTTTTTAACTGCTTTTTCTTTTTTCTTTTTGTATTTTGTATTTTGTATTGTGTAGTTTTCTTTTTATCTTAAATTCTTTTTTTATTTATGTGTCTTTTTTTATGTGAAACTTTAATAAATATCATTTAAAAAAAAAAAAAGAACAGGGAAGATGCAAATAAGGCAGTAAAACGCTGAACTGGTTGCTATCATTACACTGCGAAATTTCATGGTCTCGATGGAAAACCAGCCCATTAACCTAATTCATGTGGAAAACTAGTCAGAGGTATATAGTTTTTGATAATGCTTCTTTCAACAACCTGCATTAGAATTCTGGCAAATGCGAAGAAGACTGGAAGAGGTTTAAGGAATATTTGAAAAAATATGTTAATATTTAAACCTTAGAATAGCTTTGGAAGTGGATATAGGTTGTAGGGTTAGAAGATAGGGTATTTTAAAACAGTATTATTTGTAAGTGATAAAATGTGAAGTTATTTTAAGTGTGATTTTTAAAAAAAAAAGATGGTTAGAAATTATGATATATGTAAACTGCTAAAGATGAAGTAAAATGAAAATCAGATAGGTGGGACTTGGGGAAGCCCAATTAACAATGTTTAGAAAAATAAGGATATGACAAGAATTTGTTCGTATTGTTTGTCTTTTCTGTTTGTGTTTTTTATTTGTGTTATAAAATGAATAAAAAAATATTGGGGGGGGGAATAGAATTCTGACAAATGCATCTTTTCTCATCATGACACGGGGCAAGCTACGTATGCCCACAGTCTCAGCTGTGGTTAATGGGACAGGAGCCCTTGCCTGCCTCTGCACCTGCTCCCCAAGAGGAGGGGAAAGTTGCATATATATGGTTAAAAACTAAGCAAACTTGAAGTGGCTTTCATTTTTGCAGGTTGGGCCTGAAACAAGTCACAGACTAGGAAGGGGAAGCGTTTTCACTGCCTCTACTGGTGGCTTCTAACCCTGCTCAGTTTCTTAACAACTCACTGTTGCAGGGTGATTCCTAAACAGTGTGGGTTGTGAGAGAATTGCATTCAAACAATGAGCATAAAAGAGGGTGCCTGTTGCCTCTCAGAGTGATTTACTGATCTGGGTCATTATTTGTCAGGCCATCATCTACTGGGTGTGGGTAATTTCTCTGCATGAAGGATCACGCATTCACTCCCAAAGAACAAACACCACAGTTGTCTGCTTTCGGAGGCAACAGACACAGTTCACTGACTCATGCAGAAACTCAGTGACTGTTTCATTTTTCTGAAGGTAGATAGCTCTTACTCTTAAGATACTCCCAAGTGCCACCTGTTTCAGTTAGAAGAATGAGAAGGATGCACCAACAGCTTTTATCTGTTTAATTTTCCATCCAAACTATTGTTATCCACATCCAGAAAGAATTGCAGAGATTGAGAGGGAGGATATAAATACTTTGCCTTCTAGCTGGGAAACACAGCCTAAGTCTTTGGGTTTCATGAGCCTTTTTGAATACCACCAAAAGAATGCGATTCTCTTACTCCTCACCACCCGCCTCTGTTGACAGAATCATATTAGTAAGGGGTGAAGGTTCCTAAGAGGAGCTGCACAAATTAAATATCATATATAGGTGCCTTTCAGACAGAGGCCCCTTGTAGAATCCTTTGCCAAGAAAACAAGGAAACTGAATGCCGTAGGCTAGGAGGCAGACAGAATGGGATTTAACTCAGCAATTCACAGCCTGATCTTCAGAGAGACCCTCAAGATGTCTCCACGCAGCACACAGAGAGGCCAGAGGGATTTAAAGATTTCTTTGTAGTTCTGGTCGAATCAAAACCTAGGACATTCTCATTTCTTGCTTGAGAAAGCACATTGTCTGACAGAAATAAAACACCCTCCCCCTCGAAGCAGCCAGCAACTGGCTTCTGAGGGCTGCCTTGTCAGGGTTTGGTTTTATTTTATTTTTTAAAGCCTGCAATATTTTTAAAGCACTTCAGCCAAACAGCCCCAGAACAAAGTAATCCAGTAAATAATTAAGCTGTGGACCTGAACCAAGAGACAAGTATAAATAGCTGTGGGGCAAAGCTTTGCATTGTGTCTATAGCCTACCTCTGTTCGGAAAGTGTGGATTAAGTGTCATGCGATGAGTGCTGCGATTTCCAAACAGGCCAGAACTTCCTCCTGTTGCAAAGGTTTGAACTGTATTTGTCTGAACAGGTGTGGCGTTGTTTGGTCTTCGGTGGATTGGGGAGGAGGAAAACGTAGGCAGTTCTACCTGGTAGTCAACAGAAACCTCTCATTGACTTCAAAATTGCAGATCTGCATGTAACCAGTCCTCAGCTATTGCCCTTCAACTGCATAAGCAGAATTGGGGTGAAGGGTAAATGGGAGAAAGAGGAAAGTAAAATGATGCTCTCAGAATACAGGTCCTTATGTATGGGGCATATCAGTTAGCAAACCGAAATTCGATCCTGTTTGGTTTCAAGGATTAGAATAAACCACAGTCCCTGAACCTGTATGCAACAGGAAACTGTGGTTTAGTCCAATGTGGAAGTGGAAACATTTATGGTCCTCCTCACCACCATAAATGAGGACAGCGTAATCTGGTGAACCAGGTTCGCATCTCCGCTCCTCCACATGCAGCTGCTGGGTGACCTTGGGCCAGTCACACTTCTCTGAAGTCTCTCAGCCTCACACACCTCACAGAGTGTTTGTTGTGGGGGAGGAAGGGAAAGGAGAATGTTAGCCGCTTTGAGATTCCTTCGGGTAGTGATAAAGCGGGATATCAAATCCAAACTCTTCTTCTTCTTCTTCTTTAGAGAACTTAAAAACTTGCTGTGGCTGTTTGGGGGAATTTTGAACGGCCTAATAATGGTATTGCCCTAGTATGGATTTTGGAGCCTGAACTGTGTTTCAGTGCCGTGGCAAAACTGTGGTGAAACTGAATCAAATGCTGGTGCATAAAGTGAGCAACTGAGTCACGGAAGAGAAGTGACCAGAGCACAAGTCTGTCCCAGGGCATCTGTGATGCAGACAGATTAAGCAGGACCAACTAAGCTGCCACAATGACTCTTTTTCTTCTTCTTTTCACGTTAAGAAAACTAGCAGCAATATAAACAACTATGCCGTGAAATTTCATTCTTTTCTCGTGCACGAAGTGGTTAATGCAAATTAACAGAAGTGGAAGGAAAGCTAAACCGAAGACAACCTATGTGTATTAAGTAGATTCTATGCTGTAACAGAATGTACCTTCCTGCAGAGCCACATCAACAATAGCAAACACAGACTCTGGGCCAAGTGAATCAACACACTCCAGCTGAGTTGTTTTGCTTCAGCCACATCAGTTAGATATAGACTCTCTCTCTCTCTCTCTCTCTCTCTCTCTGTGTGTGTGTGCAGACAGTCTTTCTCTTTCTCTTTCTCTTTCTCTTTCTCTTTCTCTTTCTCTCTCTCTCTTGCTCTCCAAAGAAATATTCAGGAATCAGATACCCATGCTGATCTACTGAAAATCACCCTAAGGTATACACCCTGATCTATCTTTTGCCCACCGCAGCTTTAATTTATAAAATGGCTAGTATTGCTTCTGAACAACTTGACCCAAGGAAGCTGCGTGCAAGGTGACACTTCTGGTCTGGCAGCCGTCCTTCTCAGCATGAACTGGGAGGACACCTCAGAGGCCTCTGTTAATACTACATCCCCGGATTAAGGTCTTGGGACCTGGGGTGAAGACTTCAAGGTCAAAGGTGGAAGGTGAGTATGTACCCAAGACCATTTTTCACACTTAAGATACTGCTGTTTCCCACCCTGGTTTGCTTGACTGCTTGCTTTTGAATATGAGTGCTAAATGCAGATCAGAAAGCAGATTCACCATATTTAAATCCAATGGGTATTATCTAGCTAAGGCAGCAATTGCATTCCATTTGCAAAAGCAGCAAATGGGAGAGTAAAAAAGCAACCCCATTTAAGCATCTTGTGTGAAAGTGACCATACATCCTAATCTCTAGCTGTATTCACTCAGAACTGCGGCAAGGCTAGGGAAGTAAGTCCTTCTGAGATCAGCAGGCTTCCTCCTGAGTAAATGAATTTATGGAGCAGGCATATTTTCACCCAAGTCTCCCTGTTCTGGATTGCAAATGTTGGCAGATATGAAGTTGCCTTGTGACATTCATCAACACTTTTGACAGCAAAACTCTGGCCAAAGCAATATCAAATGAGCTTGGTATTTGGCCCTAGGCGGTTTCCTCCTGTTCTTTGTGGCTTATCTTGTTTTTTCTTGGATTAGCATACTCAATAGCAAAGCTTCCTAGAAACTCCAGTTCTTGCATCACTTTGAGACACAAAACCTCAGTTTCCCTAACTGTCACATCTGAGAGGTCTGGAGGTAGGCATTTGATGCATGGAAAAACACACACACACAACCCTGCGAGGAATTAGGTCAGGGATAGGCAACCTAAGGCCTGGGGGCCGGAGACAGCCCAATCGCCTTCTCAATCTGGCCCTGCAGCCTTCAGGGGAGTAGAACCTTCAGACTGACTTTCTTTGTGGGACCATAAAACCCGGATGGTTGCTCCGGGGCATTGCTAAGTCGTCTTACTGCAGGATTGCTGGCCAAGGTTCTGAGATTTAGCCAGCCAGTGACCTCTGGATCAGCACCTCCAGTTCTGTCCAGGGTCCTGATCTGTGATGGATAAGGAGAGTAAGATGATTCACATGACACGGTAAAACAAGCTACGGTTTAGGAAGTCCATGCAATATGAAGGTTATTAGAGAGGAGTTTGCAGCTGCTTCCTGGTCCTTTTTACTGCCACACCAAGGTTTGGTTTAGCATGTTGTCCAAAGCAAAGCTCATGGTTAAGCTTTGCTAACCAAGAGTGTTAATCAAGGTTATAGCTTGTAGTTGGCTTAACTGTGAGTCCCAGTTCAGACAAGATCCTAAGCCAAACTTTGACTTAGCACAGCAGTAAAAATGGCCAGGGAGGAGGTAAGTGGCTGTGAGCTTCTCTCTGGGAGCCTACATATCTGCATGGTCTTGCTAAGCCATAGTCTGCCTTGCAGTGTGGGGCAAGCCAGATCACTGTGTTGCAGCAGACACCTAAATAGGTGTTCTTTCCTCTTGCACATAAAAACAGGAAATGCAGTCCTATCTGCAGCTGTTATAAGTTATATGAAAAAACCATTAACACCCTTTGAAAGCATTTTGCTCAATTAGCAAAGGGCACCTTCTTAGGCAATCAAAGGACTTTTAGTTGACACATCTAACCAATTAACTGACAGAATGCTGCAACCCTAGAGGCTCCTGCAAAACAGCCTACATAAACATCAGGCATTTCCCTTTCAAATGATCTATCGGTACCAGCGCACTCTCTTTGCTCAAAGTAAGATTTCAATAGTTCATTCTCCAGAGCCCTGCTGTGTTGATATTGTGACTCTGCTGCTATTTTAGTTATTTTAGCATATTATTAAACATGTCCTTTGCTCCTTGAGAGGAAAGATCGTACTGTATATAAATAAAATAGGAATAAGCTGTTCAACTCAATGTAAACAAAACAGAAAAGAGAAAGTCATTATTTGGGGAAATGGCTTGAAAATGGCCCGTGCTCCTTCCTCCTTAAGGAATCCTGGATTTTACATTCTTTTAGCTTTTATAGAGGTGCATTCAAAGTTAGTCGTACGCAGAGCAGATCCATTGAAATTCATGAACGTTACTAACTTGCGTCCACTCATTTCAATGGGTCTGCTCCAGTGATTCCCAAACCTTTTGCCCCATGGACCACGTGAAATTTGCTAATGACTTTTCTGCCTATTGTAGCAATTGTAGCTCACTTTACTAGATGTTGCTCCCCCCCCCCCGATTGTATTTGTATCACTCCTTTGATTTCTTATACTATATTTTAGTCTACTGCAATCTGAATTCTACGGAATTCAAACTGCAATGCAACAAAACAACAATTAAGAAATAAAAGAAGAAATAAAAAACACAATTAAAAAAATGGGCCTTAGCTGGAGGCACTGGGGATTGAACCTGGAATCATCTGCATTGAGCTACAGTGGGGGCAGCACCTATAAGGAATGTTGATTTAGGCCACCACATAAAGTTTGCCTTTACATAATTCTGCCAAAATCATACCAGAGGTTTGCAGAGAGGACAGGAAAAACTAAAGCACTTGGAAGCTTATTAGGATTTCAGTTGCACAAAGCCTCAATCCTCTAAAAAAAAAATTGTTGGTTGCAATCAAGATGAAGCCACATTGCTGACAATAGCATGCTGGGAATTAGGCCAAGCTACTGCAGCTTGATTCCTCCATCCTAAGCCTGTCTATTTAGGTTCCTAGAACTCTGTTACCATGTGCCAAGGCTGGGTTGGAAGGGAAATGTGATAAGCACAGCATTATTCCACCAAAGCAGCACCACTTCCAGAGGTGCTGTTTCACATTTAAGGAGGTGGGAAAGAGTGGTGTTTTTTTATCGAGACGAGTGGAGAATACAACAATGTTCAAAGGCCAGTTCTTGCTTATATGCAAAGTTAAATTGCAAAAAAGCAATGCAATAATAGCAAAGTTGTCATTGATACAAGCCAGTCACCTCTTTATTTAATGCAAAGAGATTTTTGCCTTTAGCAGGTATGTCTAACCCTCGTTTAGTGCTTTAAAGCAAGTCATTCAGTAGTTAAAACCAGTGGCTTGGTCAAAGACCCTGGTGTTTGCTTCTGAGGAACAGGGGTGTTGTTGTTGGGGTATTCTTCTTCTTCTTCTTCTTCTTCTTCTTCTTCTTCTTCTTCTGTGATCACTCATAGCCGAGTAAGATTGTCTTCCATAAACACAGTTTTAACCATGAGTCCCTAAGTGACTGTGGAGGCCAATTCTGGAACCACACATGCTTCCACAGTGGGGACATTGGTTTCCGGGCGAGAATAGATCACAGTGTGGATTTGCCAAGCGTGCCTTAGTACGTTTCTCCCTTGCGTCCTGAGTTCTTAGTACGTTTCTCCCTTGCGTCCTGAGTTCGAGTGTCTTCAAAGCCCATGACACCTTTGGTAAAGGCTGTTCTCCAACTGGAGCGCTCGCAGGCAAGTGCTTCCCAATTGTTGGTGTTTATACTACATTTTTAAAGATTTGCCTTGAGACAGTCTTTAAACCTCTTTTGTCGACCACCAGCATTACACTTTCCATTTTTAAGTTCAGAATAGAGTAGTTGCTTTGGAAGACGATCATCAGGCATCCGCACAACATGACCACTCCAACGAAGTTGATGTTGAAGAATCATTGCTTCAACACTGGTGATCTTTGCTTCTTCTGGTACATTGATATTAGTTCACCTGTCTTCCCAAGGCCTGAGACCTAGGTATTTTGCCCCAGGCCTTAGGTTTTCCTCCCCCCATTTTCAAACTTTGCTTACAGGGTGGATTTTCCCTCTGAAAGTCCATCTGATTTTGCATCTATACATAAATATTGGCACCTGCAAAGTTCATGCAAATTTGTGACATGAGCTAAAGCCCTTCTTCCTGAAACTATTTCCCTCCAGTCATTTTTCTCTTGGCAGGGATTCCTTCTGCTTTTAGAGAGGCTCACGGGTGGGGGGGGAGAGATGGGGAGCAGCTTGGAACTTTCCTCCAATCAACTCATGTTCTACTGCACATATGCTCTGCTTTGTAGGGATTTGACAACAATTGATGGGACTACCAGCAATACGCCTAGCTTGCCACAAAGTGCAAGCATGCACATCAGTGCCACCATCCAAATTAAATACAGTGTAATAATTTCCAATTATTGCTTAAATTAAATATGGCTATCTACTGCTTTGCATACTGAAAGTATCACACATATTTGAAGGTCTAAAAAAGGAGTGCATTGCCTTATTTCCCCCCCTGAAGTGTCCCTAGTGTACATAGGCATGTTGGGGTTTTGTGCATAAAATAATTTTTAAAATAAATAAATGAGTAGCATCTCAATTAATAAATCTTAGTAACAACTAAGCTGCATTGGCCATGCCTTGCTAGAGCATCCCTGCCTCTTTCCTTTTAATCTAAAAGCCTCCACAAAATTCTCCCTGGGGTATCATGGAGCACCAAGACAGGAACCGAGGCAGTGAACATGAAGTTAAACAGAACCATGCTGGATGTTGCCAGGTCATAGGCCATAAAGCCCCCAAGTTTCCCAGAAGACTAAAAACAGCTATTTTATCCTTTCCGCAATTTCACACATTGCTATGCCATCTCATTAATCTTTCTGTGTTTACACAAGTAAATGAGAGGCATGACTGCAGTCAGTGGCAATGGCCAAGGCTATGGGAGGCAAAGCCTGGAATTCCCTCCTACTCAAACATTCTTCTCCAGTGGAGCTGCTTCCTGTTTGCAAGCACCGCTCTCAGCAAACGTATAATCTCCATCCACATTGCAACACAGGGTGGATTTCAGAAAGGTGCCTTCCAAGGGCACAAACCAGAAAGCTACTTAGGTAAGCCAGAGTAGGGCATATGAATGGATGGATGGATGGATGGATCTATCTGTCTGTCTGTCTGTCTGTCTATCTATCTATCTATCTATCTATCTATCTATCTATCTATCTACAGGGAGCCAGCATGGTGTAGTGGTTAAGAGCGGTGGACTCGTAATCTGGTGAACCGGGTTCGCTTCCCCGCTCCTCCACATGCAGCTGCTGGGTGACCTTGGGCCAGTCACACTTCTCTGAAGTCTCTCCGCCCCACTCACCTCACAGAGTGTTTGTTGTAGGGGAGGAAAGGAAAGGAGATTGTTAGCTGCTTTGGGACTCCTTCAGGTAGTGATAAAGCGGGATACCAAACCAAACTCTTTTTCTACAGTGGTACCTCTGGTTAAGGACTTAATTCATTCTGGAGGTCCGTTCTTAACCTGAAACACCACTTTAGCTAATGGGGCCTCCCGCTGCCGCCGCCGTGCGATTTCTGTTCTCATCCTGAGGTAAAGTTCTTAACCTGAGGTACTATTTCTGGGTTAGTGGAGTCTGTAACCTGAAGCGTCTGTAACCAGAAGCGATTGTAACCCAAGGTACCACTGTATCTATCTATCTATCTATCTATCTATCTATCTATCTACAGAAGAGGAAAAAAGCAGCATCAAATGGTCCTGAATGAATATACTAAGAACTTTAATAAAATAACTGCATGTCCAATGAGTTCAAGTGGAAATCCTCCGAAAGAGCACAAGAATGCAATTTATTGAGCATTTCTGGTAAGGTAACATCTCACCTAGGATACTCAAATTGTTCTGAACCTGTGGAAAGTTTCCATTAAAATGCACTGGGCGTTTCACAATTGGATAAGACTTTCCTGTCATATCCAATCTGGCCCTTGGATTGTGTTCTGACAAGCACACTTAAAAGCGAAAATCAAAACTGGCAGGTGTTTTAAACTCCCACTTTGTTTTAATATTGTTCAGGATATTCAGCTGTTATTGATTTTTGAGCTGTTGACAATTCCACAGCTCCTTCTTTCTGTTTTTCAACACACACACACACACACACAGGCAACAACTGATTTATGCATGTCCCAATGAAACGCAATTGTGCATGTGCGCACGGCACTGAACCCAGAAGTGACCCAAAAACATCACTAAAATACCACTAAAAGGGTAGGACGGGTTGAAACAAAGGCAAAATGCTTTATGTGGATCCCGTCAATGCGCGCAGGGGTCCAGAATGTAACCTCTGTACAAAACAAGGATTGCCTGTACTTCTGAGTATTTAAGAGAAGCTCAGAACTGATGTAAATGTGTAGGATTTGTCATCAACCTAAAAAGAAGCAAAAATAATGCCAAAAGAAAACCAAAAGGCCACTTTTTTCTGAGTGAAACCTTGTGTCCTCAAAGGCCAAACCTGCACACAGAAAAAGCAACAATTTTCCATTTGCTGCCAAGTCTTGACACAAGGCTGGCTGCTTTTGCTGATCATTGTGCTTCCATGCACATTTAAAGCACCCAATATGTGAATCTGACCTGTGTCATACTGCATTAAAATCATCAAAGAATAGCCATTTGCAAAACCTGGCCTTTTTCTTTCTGCTGATGTTTTAACCGTCTCTGATGCAAGTGTCATATGCTCAGTGCTTTTGCATGCAAAAGTTGACATTTTTCTCTAGCAGTACAGACCCAGGTGACTAGAGTGTATGTATGTATCTAGAGCTTTTCAAACTTTTCATGTTGGTGACACACTTTTTAGACGTGAATCGTTTCGTGACACAGTTATTCAGTATTACTAGCAAATCGGAGGTTAAACTAGCCCCTTATAAGAGCATTTGCGCACCACACATACACACGGCAGCCGACACACTAACGTGTCGTGACAGAGTTTGGAAAGCTCTGATCTAGAGAGAGAAAGACCGACCAACCAAGACAGAATATAGATATATACTGTATATACAGTCATACCTTGGGTTACAGACGCTTCAGGTTGCGTTTTTTTGGGTTACGGACTGCCGAAACCCGGATGCACCGGAATGGGTTACTTCCTGTTTTCGGCGGTTGCACATGCGCAGAAGCACTAAATCGTTCTTTGCGCATGCGCAGAAGCGCCAAATCACAACCCGCGCATGCACATATGCGCTGCTGCGGGTTGTGAACGTGCATCCCGCATGGATCACATTCGCAACCCGAGCGTCCACTGTATATAGAAAAAGAGACAGACACACGTACACAACTGTACAATTCTCTGACTCAACAGTCACTTCTTCTCTGCCCCACCTCAATCCACACACATATCCAATGATCATATTACAGTGGTACCTCGGGTTAAGTACTTAATTCATTTCGGAGGTCCGTACTTAACCTGAAACTGTTCTTAACCTGAAGCACCACTTTAGCTAATGGGGCCTCCTGCTGCTGCTGCGCCGCCGGAGCACAATTTTTGTTCTCATCCTGAAGTAAAGTTCTTAACCTGAAGAACTATTTATGGGTTAGCGGAGTCTGTAACCTGAAGTGTATGTAACCTGAAGTGTATGTAACCCGAGGTACCACTGTATCAAAGACACTTACAATAAAAAGCAAACGTGTTTTGTCTTGGGAACAAAGTTTACAGACATTTACAGAAACTGCATCACAGAATTCTTTTTGTTTTTTCTTTCCATGCTCGTGCTATTGTAGTGCCCTGCCGGCTTTTACAAATATGCGAGTGTAGTTCTCGGGGTGTGGCAGGCAGACAAGCAAACGCCACCCACACATTCCTGCAGCCAAGTGCTGCCAGCATCTGCCAACATATTTAGACACAAGGAAAGAAAGTGTGGAGGAGGGCGAGAAAGAAAACAGGCACACAAAGAAAGAACCAGGATATCCTGCAGTGGGAAGGAGGCTTGGGGACAAAGTTGGTAAGGCGATTCCTTTTATTTACCTTATGGCTTTAAAGCTCTCTTATCTACTTGCTGCTGCAATATAAAGGACTCACGTTTCTTCCTTTGTCTCACCCATCTTCTAAGAACCTTATACCACAAACTGAATGCAACCATCAGAAGGCGGAATGTCTACACAAATAAGAATACAGGGAACATCAGCTGCCACCTAAGAAAATAATTCGCGCATGGCAGGCAGAAGTTCTTTTGAAGTTTTTCTCTGCTGTTCCCACTGCCAAAGAGGCAAGGTGATGTCCAGTTTAAACAGAAAATGTCACAGGGAGCTTGGGAAACGGACGCATCACAGCGTTTGAAATTTGCCAGGCGCCAGGCACATTTTGCACCTGGCTATTGTCCACTTGCGACCAAGTGAAGATGCCCGGGTGCAAGGATGGCGCATGGTGTCTCCACCATCTGGAAGTGCGTGCCTGGGGATCCCTGGATCGTGCCTGTTTTCACACACTAACAACACATCCTGAAGAATTCTATCTGTGATATTTTATCTGCACAATCAAGAATGAATGTCAGGAACCAAAAAGTCGTACTGAAGAATACAACCATCTAGCCCCCGAATAGCAACTAGACATTCAGTTTTGGCGACTGCAACCCTGGTTTAAGGAGCCATTTGGCACCAAGCTTATTTATCTGAGTTTGTAACACTGATGCATCACGTTACTCACACATGAAATCCTTCTTCGGGTAGCGGGCTTTAACATAGCTGTCAACTTACAGATTTGAAAATAAGGGACCAGCAGCCTCGAAAATAAGGGATCAGCAGCCAAAATAAGGGGTTTTCCAAACACAGGTATGTTCAGCTTCTGAGCCCCTCCGAGCCAAAGGCAGAAAGCCCAGCCAGCAGCCAAACGAAGCCTCGAGCGGTGGTTCCCACAGTGCAGCAACCCAGCAAAGGGGATGCAGCAAGGAAAACCACCGTCACCTCTCCACTGGGAAGCGCTGAGCAAAGGCGAGTCCCCAGGCAACGCGGCCAATTTGATTGGCACAAGGCATGCAAGCTCCACCCACCAGTCGTTCTTAGACCCCTTACTGGGTGAGCAATGCAGCCAAGCAACACAATTGGAGCCTCCCTCCTCCCTGGCCGGCAGGCAGGGAGGGAGAGGAGCTGCTTCCTTTGAAACCCAGGAAATTTAAGGGACATCATCAATAAGGGACAGCAGCGGGACACGGCGCTGGGATAAGGGAGTTTCCCACCAAATAAGGGACGGTTGACAGCTATGGGCTTTAATTTATAGGGCTCCAAGGGACCTGAGCACCATGTAGCAGCTAGATTCTTGATGAATCGCTGGACCACAAGTGAGGAGAGGACTGCTACAGTCAAGACCTGCTTCTGGGTTTCCCACTGGGGGCATCTGGTTGGTTGCTGTGAGAACAGCATGCTGGGCTAGATGGGTCTTTGGCCTGATCCAGGATGGCTCTTCTTATAACAAAATCATAGAACTGTAGGGTTGGAAGGCACCTTGAGGATCATCTAGTCCATTGATGGCCAAACTTGGCCCTCCAGCTGTTTTGGGACTACAATTCCCATCATCCCTGACCACTGGTCCTGTTAGCTAGGGATGATGGGAGTTGTAGTCCCAAAACAGCTGGAGGGCCAAGTTTGTCCAAGGCAGGAATATGCAGCTGTCCCATACGGGGATCAAACTTGCAACCTTGGTGTTATCAGCACCAAACTCTAACCAACGGAGCTATCCTGTTCTTAAGAATTGCATTCCCAACTCCACTTATCACCTTAAACTACATTGTTCAGTTCATACAATTAATATTCTTTCTCCATAGGGAAAGGGGAGGGCAGGGAAAACAGAAGAGGTAAAAGAATAAGAGAAGTAGTAAACAAACAGAGATGGAACTGGAAAACAACCAAGCCACACCTGAAACATCTTCTATTAGCCAAGCCTTTCTGAGGAACACCAGCAACCGGGATCTCAGGATCTCTCTTCTTAACCGCTCTTCTACCAAGGCAGCTGCAAAGAAGCATCACCAATGCCCAGAAGCTGAGCTTTGCCCACAACACAAGACTTGACTTTTGCACTGTCTCCTCTCTCCAGCCCTGTGCCAGAGGAGTAACAGGTAGCTGGGAAGGACCTTGGAGGAAGTGGGGTAATTGCCATGATCTAATCAGTGTCTTGCTGATTATCCTTGCCTCCTCCAGAAAAGGTGAGACTTGGTGATTTACAAGAAGAATATTTGGCCCACACCTCCAACAACACAGAACTGCATCCTCCGCTTCAACAAGGCTGAGCTGGTTCCGTATGTGTGCAGGCACAGAGAACAAAGGCACCTATTTTTCATCTAGTAATTCAGATTTTTCTCCCCACTCTTGGATGTTTCTGCTCTGTCATGCAGTAAGGGAACAGCCCCCATGTTCCGAACTGCAGGGATGTTTCAGTGTTGCTTCTGTTCAGTGCTCAGTATGCTTACGAGATGTAATAAAATCCAGAAAGTGGAAGGAGCCATATTACAGAGCATTCAGTAACAGAGTTTATGGAACCCAGGAACACTCACATACACTGTTGCAGTTAAACAGTTGATAGCAGATTTTCCCAAACTTGGGTCTCCAGCTGTTTTTGGACTACAGCTCCTATTGTCCCTAGGTAGCAAGACCAGGGGTCAGGGATGATGGGAACTGTAGTCTGGAAACAGCTGGAGACCCAAGTTTGGGAAACACTGGTCAATAGGATGGGAAGCAAGTCATTGCCTCCACATCAGCCGAAGAACCACCTGGACGATCCTGCACAATGACTCTATAGGTTAGCTTATTTGCAACCCTGGCTACTTCCTCCATGGTGGCTTACTTGTCTAGTACTGATTGGCATCAGCAATGTTTGGGAAGAACATTAAAATTTTTTCCGGTGCTTTGTTTTTCCCATGGAAAATTTTCAATTTCATAAATTCATTAGTAACAATGAATGCAATTCCAATTGCAAATGCAATATCGGGCAAGCCAGGCTGTTTCGAAGTTGAAGCACGTAAGTCCCAATCTCTGTGGTGTAGTGTGACAAAAAATAATAATCATAGGGTACTTTTTGAAAAAGCTGTGTTTCCTAAATACAATTAAGATAAATGCTAGTTAAATGATCTCTCTCTCTCTCAGCAGGAATATTTCCCCTGCAAACTGAAAGTTTCCTGATGCAAATTACCCTAATGGCCTCTTTCCCTAAAGAGAGAGCAAATTTTCATTTGTTACAGTTGAGTGCATATGTCTTCCCTTCTGAAAAAAAAAAGGAAATAAATCTAATGGCTTTTAGTAATTTCCTCCGTGTTCTAGCCCACAATCTATCTTGTGTAAGCATTTTCTTTCTGAGGATATTGTGTCAGCCACATTTTGAAGATAAGATGTATTGGGAATAAAAGTTGGGAAACAACGGCAACAGGTACTCATAGTACTACGTACCCTAATTTGCCCTGAAAACTGTAAAATCTTCCCATTCGAAATGGAAAACTGGAAAGCCCACATCACTAATGAGCTAGCAATGCCCTGCTATTGTGTGAAATGTTTCCTTACCAGCCTTGGGCTTCCCAAAAGGACAGCTGGTGCCAGCCAGGAAAATCTTCATGCAGCAGAAAGGAACCGCCACTGTTAAGTAATAGAAGGCTGGAGAGGAAAGTCACCCTGAATATGTGGCCAGTGCATATCTTAACTACCTTGTAGAGAGGCCCAAAGGAGCTGTCCATAGAAAGCATATATCTTGCATACATTGCGTGCCTCAGGCTGCAACGTGCAATATGAAAAGTTGCTTTTAGCACCCACCGATATGGTGCAGGAGAACAAGAAAGACATAAAACAGGAGTAGACAGAGGAAGAACATGTATCGTTCCCTCTGACATACTTCTGGTGGGGAAGGGACCCACAAGTTCAAGCTGCACGTTCTGTTAATGGAAGCCTTCAAATCTACACCCTCATTTGGGATTTCTTTTAAAGACTCCCAAAGTTATCGAAGTATGCTAGATCTAGATGATACAATAATCTTTATTGTCATTGTACTATACAGAACAACAAAATTGAAAAAACTACATAAGACATTCAAAAACCAACAAGCCTGCTATCCCAGCTATCCCAACCAGGTTAGCCCCCTAAAAACTATGATACCAAGACACTACTAAGCACAGACAAAAAGAATGGCTAAAATTATCTTGTATAGGGCAAGTGGCTCTAAAGCAAGGCTGGGAAGCAGGATCCGGCAGGTGGAACTAAATTTCTTGAGCCCCCACACCGCTTTGAGAAGTAAATGTCTATCGCCTGGTGTCAGTAAGAAGTCAGGTAACTTAGCTTCAAAGGAAATATTTGTGAGTGCAAACTTAAGAGTATGCTCCCTACTTCATTCCTTCCTTCCAGACCAGGTGGAGCTGAAGCAAGGATGCAAAGGGGGTTGGGCAGTGGAGCTGATTCCAGTGGGCCTTGCATTTGCTGCTAATTTTAAAGTGCACCCAAGGCTTGCAGAAGCACAATCTGGGGCACACTTCAATGTTCCCGGTGGTTCCTTTGCAGCTGCATCTTTAACTGCCCCACACATGACACCAGAGGTTCCCTTTGCCCGGCCTGAAGTATACAAGAAAGAATCAGTAGTGCAGCAACATTGGCAGAAATGTTCCACTCCTCACCTGTTCTTTAAGCGCAGTTTAACTCCAGCAGGCCATGGGGTTTTGCTGTATTGCAAGTCAGACCTGAGACACTCTGAGCTGAGGGAACAGGAAGCTGTAATCTCAGGATGTCCTTTTGCTGCAAAGGTATCCCTGGGAAAAGAAACAGACCAAAGAGAGGGAGCTTGAGGACGGTGCAATCACACTTCAGCAAGGAGAATTCAGGATGAAATAACTCCTCTCTTTTTAAATAAAATGCATTAGAGACCACAGATGCATATACCTGATGCTAATATTTATTTGAGTATTTCTATCCCGCCTTCCAGCATGAAGGCCACAGAGGTGTTAACAATACAATAAGGAAATACCGTATTTTTCGCTCTATAGGACGCACTTTTCCCCCTCCAAAAATTAAGGGGAAATGTGTGTGCGTCCTATAGAGCGAATGCAGGCTGCGCGGCTAAGCCCAAAGCCAGAACAGGGAGACGGAGCACTGCGCAGCACTCCGTCTCCCTGTTCTAGCTTGGAGTTAGCTGCGCAAAGCCTCCGCAGGAAGTTCCTGCTGTGCTTGGAAGGCTTGCGGATAGCTGCCTGAAGCCTGAAGCCCCTGGAGCGCAGCGCGAACTCCCGCTGTGCTCCGGGGGCTTCAGGCAGCTATCCGCAAGCCTTCGGAGCGCAGTAGGAGTTCCCGCTGTGCTCCGAAGGCTTGCGGATAGCCACCTGAAGCCTGGAGAGCGAGAGGGGTCAGTGCACACCGATCCCTCTTGCTCTCCAGGCTTCGCTTCGCTGGAGAGGCGCTGCACAGTTTTCCCCCTCCTATGGTCTGGAGTGTCCTACGGTCCGGTGCGTCCTATAGAGCGAAAAATACGGTAATCATAAAACAACCATTTAAAAGGAAATGGAACAACACAATAAAAAGCCACGAGACATAAAAGCAGCAAGATGCAGGTTTGATTCAAAGCAGGATCTTCTGAAAGCATGAGAGAGAGCAAAATCTGTACTTCAAAGCAAGTCTGTTGAGCTCAATGGGAGCTACTCCTGGGTGAAGCATGTGCAGGATTGTAGCGCTGCACTCCCAGAATCAGGTTGTCTAAATCCCACCACAGCATCCTGGATGCAGCTTTGCAATTATATAGCCTGATCTTATAGAATCATAGAGTTGGAAGAGACCACAAGGGCCATCGAGTCCAACCCCCTGCCAAGCAGGAAACACCATCAGAGCACTCCTGACATATGGTTGTCAAGCCTCTGCTTAAAGACCTCCAAAGAAGGAGACTCCACCACACTCCTTGGCAGCAAATTCCACTGTCGAACAGCTCTTACTGTCAGGAAGTTCTTCCTAATGTTTAGGTGGAATCTTCTTTCTTGTAGTTTGGATCCATTGCTCCGTGTCCGCTTCTCTGGAGCAGCTTGTTTGTGCCAAATCAAGTCCTACCTAAGTTCAAAGGGGAGGGGGATAACTCCCTAATAAATGTGCAAAAGCAAAAAGAAAGCTGTCTTCTGCCAGGCCAGACTGTCATGTTCTGACAGGCAGCAGCTATGCCAGGGAGAGGTTACCTGACATCTTTTCAACAGAAGACGCCATGGACTGAGCCTGAGAGGTATTCACACAAAGCATGGGCTCTGCTACCCACTGAGCTATAGTTCTTCCCCGTGCATCGTAGCTCCGGTCACAATAAAATAAAAAACCTGACAGAACGAATGCAAAGCCAGCAAAGGGAGAGAGTTTTCAGACATAAATTGCAAGACTGGCTCCCATAACTGAACCCATTAGTACAAGGAGCAGAGAGTTTGGATTGCAGTTTAAAGAGGAGTGCTGTGAAAAGAGCTGAATGCTACTTCCTTGTCCTATGCCACAGTTGCTATAGCTCTCGGTCAACTGAGATGGAGGTTTGTTATTTCCCCGAACTTAATAAAGTGGTACCTCAGGTTACATACGCTTCAGGTTACAGACTCCGCTAACCCAGAAATATTACCTCAGGTTAAGAACTTTGCTTCAGGATGAGAACAGAAATTGTGCTCCGGCGGCGTGGCAGCAGCAGGAGGCCCCATTAGCTAAAGTGGTGCTTCAGGTTAAGAACAGTTTCAGGTTAAGAACGGACCTCCAGAACGAATTAAGTACTTAATTGCTACCTGAGGTACCAATGTAGTAGAATAGGAGTTCAAAACAAAACAGAACAACCCTCTCTCATTCCAATCCTGGTTGCTCACACATATACTGCACCAACCTCAATGTGCAACAGACACATACCAATTTAGTATTTTCAGAACTGTTGATAATGTATCCCAACTTTATCCCAAAGTGCAGAAAGACCGTACCGCTCCAGATTGGGTGGGTTTTGTCTTGTCTTGTACAGGTGAATTATTCTGCAACATCTCACTGGTGCAATAATAGTGCATTAGTGGTAGTTTACATCAGACCACCCGCACAGCTGTTCTGTAATGCTTCCACGGTGTTACTGCACTATTGCCATTTGGAGGAGCACCATAGAGCAACAAAAGCGGGACAAAAAAATATATATCAGAATATTTGTGGTACAGGAGCTCAGAATGAAGTTACCAGACATGCACAGACTTGAAACAAAGCAGTATGTTTGCCCCATAACCTTTGCACGTATTAACAGTATTGAAAGTGAAACTGCATGTAACTGCCCCAATAACATCACAAGCACAAAAGCATCATGAATGCAAAATAAAAAGGATGGCAGGAGGGGCCTCTTATATATCTGTGGCTGTTAAGTTGTGGGTGAACATATCAGACGACACAGCGATTCTTCAAACAGCTCTTGTTTATTCACAGGCCAGAACAGAACTGAACTGAAGGGTTCAGCCAGCCTGCTTATATAGAGCTCCAGTACAACGTAACTGTAACAATTTTCTAAAACTATCCAATCACTGAACGTCACTTTCGATCCCTTATTTGCATAACTATCTACAGTATCCCCCTGCTGGCCCAGGGTGAGAACTTCAGTACATAACAGTGGCTACGTGTGGCTGCCATGATATCCTCAGAAAGAAATATGCTTAATACCAGATGGAATTGTGGGTTGGAGGGAGAAAATCACTTAAAGCAAATAGGGTTGCCATATTTCAAGAAGTAAAAAATCCAGACAGTTGTGTTAAGCCCCAAACTTGTTGAGCTTTTTTTGCACAATTAAGCAAAGGTTGGACGGCAGCTCTCCACAACTTCAAGCAGGGGTCTCTCCCTGCCAAGCCAAGCACTGAACCTGGGTCCTTCTCTGCACATAAAGCGATGCTCTGCCATTGAGCTATGGCTGCTCCCTGTACCTTCCGCAGCAAAAGGATGCGCATGAAAAGAGCGCAACCCACAGCAGCTCATCTGCACATGCACAGGTTGCGACTCGCTGCTTCTGCGCATGCACGTGGTGTCATTTTTGTGTATCTGCGCATGCGCAAGTGGCAAACCCCGGAAGTAACTCTTTCCAGTACTTCTGGGTCGCCGCGGGACGTATCCGGAAAGAACGTAACATGAAGCAAACGTAACATGAGGTGTGAGCGTACGCTGAAGAGCCAAAGCTCCTGATCCTCAAGATTGGAATGAAAAAGAACAGGGAAGGGAAACAGCGGAACAGAAAGCTGTGTGAGAGGGATACATTCTGTCCTTCCCTCCCCGTCAATAAAAGAAGAAAAGAGGGCTAATGACAAGGGTACTGGCATGGCTGTTCTATGTTTAGGGGGCTTATGGCTCAAGCCACATGCCATCCTGTGAGGCTTGGGGACGCTTCGGATAGCTGAGATTCCATTGCAGTGAGGGAAAAGAAAGAGCAGCCTTCTTTGAGGCAACCCAAACCCTCCCATCACCCTCACTCCTCCCCACACGTGCCAGGCCAGGAATTTTAAGCCGCCACACCGTCCGTTACGGCCAGGAAAGTGGCAGCACCCGCAAGACTTTCACCCACCAGAAGGGAGATTTGCAGCACCCGGACGGCATTCTTGCGCAAGCCTGTTGCCGTATGTCACGGCTGTGCTTCAAATCCTCCCTCAGCTGCTTGCCCTCGGCCTTTCCTCTAAATCCCAGCCCGCTTAAGCTTCCTTGCTCGACATGTGCTGCTTCTCCGCATAAGCCGGGAAGGGCCCTTTGGCGCGTTCGTGACTAAGGGCACACGGTGGTGGAAAATCACTTCAGGTGGTCATCTGGCGTGAGGATGGCTGCCTTTCCCCCATCAGCAAAACAACTAGCAGACCAGCGATCATGGAGCAGTTAAGAGAAGGGTCTGGCTTGCTATGTTTGCCATGAAGTCACACACCCACTTTCAAATTTTACCTCACAAGAGCCAACTGTGATACGAGGCAGAACGCGTTGGGCTGAACCAGGGAAAAAGGCCTGTGTATGAATGAATCCCTGCTGAGTTGAGAGACTCTCAAAAGTGGTCTTGAGCTTTTTTCATGGAAAAAAAGGCGGTGCTGGAGATAAAAAATTAATATGCAAAAGTTTATTTATTATTATTATTTTAATCATTTTTATTACTTTTCCCATTTTAACAATCCAATCAAATCACATTGTATCTTCAAATTATACAAATGCATATCAAATAGTCCAAATATTCTGCCTAAATTATAATTTTTTTGTTGGGACTTCCCATGCTTCAAGTTCGGGGGGGCTCTGATCGTCTCATATCTCTGCTGCCTTGAATAGTCTTTCCCAATATGCAAAAGTTTAAAAGGCGCAAGGAGATAGGATAACAATATATTAAAGATGGAATAACAAATAAAACTGAATAACGCAACAACAACAAAAATAATAGCAGGTAAAGAAGATTGCACACTGGTGGAGGGAAGTACTGGGCTGTGGGGGAGAGAGGTGAAGGGATGAATTGAAATTGTTAAAGATTGGTATAGGATTTAAGAGATTTCAATTTTCATATAGATTCTATAAGGAAAGCAGAAAGCAGCAAGAAATATCAAGTAAAGGTATCGGAGAGGAAATCAGTGTAAATGAAAACACGAGGCTTATGGTTTTGTTACATATGGTTTTATTTTGGAGTTGCCTGTTTATTTCGGAGTAGTTTGTTGTCAAGAATGTATATTATGTGAATAAAATAATAAAGGGATTTGAAAAAAACAGAAAAACAAAAACAAAAGTGGCCTTGAGCAAGTTGCTTCCTGCCACTCTGATCTGCCCCACAGGGTTGTTACGAGGATAAAATAGGATAATCCTTCATATGCTGCCCTGAACTCCTGGGAGGAAGGGCAGGATAAGCAAAACAATGCCCCTGTCGGATCCAATCTGTAATACAGGGATGGCAAGGCTAGTTTACAGGACTGCTGTCAAGGATTAAGGGTGACCATGTTACATGAAGCAGCCCTACCTGACCTGGAATCTGCATATCCTAGGCCAGGCATCCCCAAACTCGGCCCTCCAGATGTTTTGGGACTACAACTCCCATCCATAGCTGTCAAGTGTCCCTTATTTGAAGGGACAGTCCCTTATTCCAGCGCCATGTCCCGCTGCTGTCCCTTATTGATGGATGTCCCTTAAATGTCCCTTAAATGATGCTCCTTAAATTTCAAAGGAAGCAGCTCCTCTCCCTCCCTCCCTGCCGGCTAGGGAGGAGGGAGGCTCCAACTGTGTTGCTTGGCTGTGTTGCTCACCCAATAAGAAGTCTAAGAACGACTGGGGGGTGGAGCTTGCATGCCTTGTGTGTGGCTAGTTAATGCAAGCTGAGGGGGTTTTTGAATGCTGGACGCCATTTTGATGCACGTGCTGCTGCAAACTTTGCAGTGCAAAGCCAGGCCGGGGAGCCATCTTAAGTTGAGGCTGCATAGGCCTTGTGGTGCATGTGATTCAGATTCTATTTAGTTGAACCTCTGGTTACAAAGTTGGTTGGACAGTGTTCTCGAAGCTACCAGCATGAGTTTGACCAGACTGCAGGAGGACAGGAAGACTGGAGTGCCTGGAACAGGTGAAGCTGCAGGTCCCTTATTTTGGCTGCTGGTCCCTTATTTTCAAATCTGTAAGTCGACAGCTATGCTCCCATCATCCCTAGCTAACAGGACCAGTGGTCAGGGATGATGGGAATTGTAGTCCCAAAACATCTGGAGGGCCGAGTTTGGGGGTGCCTGTCCTTCTCCCTGCCATACATTTAAAGCACTCTTATTCCACTTTAGACAGTCAGGGTTTATCCCAAAGAATTCTGGGAGCTGTAGTTCATAATGGGTGCTGAGAATTGATAGGAGACAAGCACCCCCAGTTCCCCTTATGCAGCTACAATTCCCAGAGTATTTCAACCGTCAATCCCTCTTCCCAGTGGACTCTGGGAATCATAGCTCTGTTTGGGGAATAGGGGGTCTCCCAAAAACTTATAAAGAGGCTCCATTTTTCTACAAAGAGGTTATCAGATTGTCTATATGGTAAAGTACACAAATATTGTGAGAACCTGAGAATGTCCCAGATTTTAATGACCCCGTCTTTTATGATGGTGTCTTTTTATTTCCATCCAGTTGCTATAGGGAATCAATCTTGTAGGTATCACTAAATGCTGCATTAGCTCTCCCACCCTCTAATACAATTATTATTATTTATTAAATTCATCTATTTTACATAACCAAATCACAGAATTAAGGGATCCATAGCTAGCCTGTGCCCAGTTATTTATTCAATTTTAGTTATTACTTCTTCCCGTCCACCCCCTAAAATGGTTTGGGGGGCAGGCCCAAATAACCTAGCATCTCTGACTCTCTCCTTAGCACACACCCTACTTTTATGCAAACAACATCCCTTTACGGTAGGCTAAGTGGTAGTGATTGGTCCAAGGTCACCAGGGAAGCAGAACCCAAATTGGAGCACAGATCTTCATGGCTGGCCCAGTATTCCTACATGACCATATTGGCTCTCTTTGTGCCACAGCCAAAACTCAATCCAAATGTAACCTGGTGTGGGGAATATAAGAAGCATCACAGTAGAATTAAGAACTTGCTCTTTCCAAAACACACAATTGTTTTGTTTACCTCTCTCACACAGCCAAGAGATCATCCCTGAGTTGTTGAGCAAGATTTAGGACTGCTGATGTTCTTGATACGGAGCACTGGAAATGAGCCCTTTTAATTGTATGACACATTTTAAAAAAATAAAATACTAGTCTTGTCCTTCACCCGGGCATTAGAAAATTAGATGGAATGCTGAACAATAATGATTATAAGTAATTGGACCAATATTAAGTGCGATTAGAGAACAGGTAATTAGAGGTTGCATTCTTAGCATGAACCAACTTAAAGATGGAAGGAGAACCATTTCAGAGCCGCCTCTGGAATGTACCACAAATGGAATTTCACATGGGTAATGTTACTCAATTCCTCCTGTCAGGTAGCTCAGCTCTACCTTGATTTGCAACTACTGCCAGACTCCACTCATCCCCTGTTTTTCTTGTAGGATAAAGAGGTGAAAGTGAGCCTAGAGAGGTGAGGGCGAGACTGCCTCCTCCTGTGTTGCTGTTTTTTTGGGAGGGTCTTCACCAAAACATGGAAATATTGCTCTGCTTCACACGTGACTCTGGAGGGTTTTCAAATGTATTAATGACCCCATGCTGAGGAGACAGCATACCTAGAAATTTATTGGGGGACCTATCAGACAGACAGACAGACAGAATGTAACACAAAGGCAGCGAGTCCTAAAAAGCAGGGATCAACTATCACCTCATGCATAAACTTAGAAAGGGGACCTAGGCAAGGCATTCTCTATACAGTGGTACCTCGGGTTACATACGCTTCAGGTTACAGACTCCGCTAACCCAGAAATAGTACCTCGGGTTAAGAACTTTGCTTCAGGATGAGAACAGGAATCGCGTGGCGGCGCGGCAGCAGCGAGAGGCCCCATTAGCTAAAGTGGTACCTCAGGTTATGAACAGACCTCCAGAGCGAATTAAGTACGTAACCAGAGGTACCACTGTACAACTCAGCCTGCCTTCCCTGCTTCCAGCTCACCAAACGCGAGGAGGGGCACAGCTCCAGATGCCAACAGAGAGAGAGAGCAAGGAAAAGCACTCGCAAGCAACAGACAAATGCTAACAACTGAGAGACATACTGCCTTTGACCACGGAGGGAGGACATAGTCATTGTGACTTAAGGTCATAAATTTGCCTAATCCTCTTTTCAAACCAGCCGCACTGGTGGCCGTCATTGCATCCTGTGGAACTAAACACCATAGTTTTAACTATGCACTGTGCACTTTTTTTAAAAAAAATAATTTTTAAAAAAGAATTTCAACATAACAAATTATCAAAAGCATATCATCTTCATTCCCCCCCCCCCCGCATTTTTTCCTTCCCCACTCCCCAAGAAAAACCCTCCCTTCCACCCACCTCAGCTCCTCTCTCCGGTTTTTCAACACATATTATTCTCTGCATATTATAAAAATGTAAAGATCCTTAAATTATCCATCTGTTATGTTAACAATAATACATTTTGTGTGTAAGTTTATTCCAAACCTGCCAAGGAGTCCAATTCATTTTGTTTTTTAAAGTAATTTGTAAAAAGTTCCCATGCTTCTTTAAAGCCACAGTTGAGCTTGTCTCGCAGTTTGTATGTCAATTTCGCAAGTTCTGCATAATCCACCATTTTGCCTCTCTTGAATCGCCCAATGTTCAGCTTCCTCCGAAGAGCCTGGGTTCCCGGATTATGATAGAAGTACACCTACTGATGATATTCCCTCATCTATACAACTACTAAAGGTACAGAAGTCCTGTTATCTCTTGCAGCTGGCCACCCTAGTCCCCAGCCACCTGCAATATGCGGTTAATACAGGCCACACTTTGATTAAAACAAACCAGGTTATGTGCAAACCAGGTCAACGGCAGCCCTTTCTCTTTGCTCCATTAGAATGAAGAGGATGGGTTTTCATTCAGCTCACTTTCATGGAATGAGGAGGAAAGTAGCTACACTGGCCTGTAGCTCCTTGAATTCTGCTACCCTAGGCAGCTGTTTTTGGTGCCTACTGGGTTAGCCTGGCTCTCGGTGCATAGGTCTAATGCGAGCAAGACGTGGTCTTGAGTCAATCCCTGTTTATTACAGTTGGGTATGATCACTGCAGATGGTGACAGCGGCCACGAAATTAAAAGACGCCTGCTTCTTGGGAGAAAAGCAATGACAAACCTAGACAGCATCTTAAAAAGCAGAGACATCACCTTGCCAACAAAGGTCTGTTTAGTGAAAGCTATGGTTTTCCCAATAGTGATGTATGGAAGTGAGAGCTGGACCATAAAGAAGGCTGATCACCGAAGAATTGATGCTTTTGAATTATGGTGCTGGAGGAGACTCTTGAGAGTCCCATGGACTGCAAGAAGATCAAACCTCTCCATTCTGAAGGAAATCAGCCCTGAGTGCTCACTGGAAGGACAGATCCTGAAGCTGAGGCTCCAATACTTTGGCCACCTCATGAGAAGAGAAGACTCCCTGGAAAAGACCCTGATGGTGGGAAAGATCGAGGCACAAGGAGAAGGGGACGACAGAGGACGAGATGGTTGGACAGTGTTCTCGAAGCTACCAGCATGAGTTTGACCAAACTGTGGGAGGCAGTGGAAGACAGGAGTGACTGGCGTGCTCTGTTCCATGGGGTCACGAAGAGTCGGACACGACTAAACGACTAAACAACAACAACATCATCCAGATGAGTTGTGCTCAGTGCATTGTGCCCAGTGTCTGACTCTTTTTTAAAAAAAAAAACCTGAGCCCAAAAAAGCCCGAGATGTGTTTTTATTAAAAATAAACGAAAGCTGGCGTTCTCAGGATTCCAACCTTTGCGCCGGGTTCCGCGCATTCATGGCACGTGGCCAGATACGAACAGCCCTATTCATAGCAACGATTGCAAGTGTTCATCCCCAAAAAGAACAGAGGAGCATTTGTCCTGCCTTTTAACACACGAAATAAGGGCTTTCAGGAGCTATTTCAGACTGAGTTATATCCTACCGACCCATCTCGCCCCCCTCAGTGTTGGCAACAGCATTTGAAATGTTTTCTCTCTCTACAGAGATCACTTCTAGCTGTTCACTGTTATTTATACCAGCTGCTCCCATTGTGCCTTTGGAATTTCATGCCACACACATTTACTGTACAAACACATTCTGTAAATGCTTTCTTGGGCTTAGCTGTATGGGATGACATCCAGGGAAAGTTAGCCTAAATCCTATTGAATTCAGTTAAGCGCTTGTGCCCCACTGGTTTCTGTTGGTCCCGCAGTCCAAAGCTATGCATACCCAGAAGTAAGCCCCTGCAAGTTCCACAGTGCTGACTCCCGAGTAACTATGCAGCTGTCGATAAAGTTTTACTTTCTCCAGGTTGCAACTGTAGATTTTCAGCTCTTTGCATAGCACAAGCTCAGCCACAAAACAAATGCATATAATCCCTTCCTTAGAAGAAGATATTTGTTGTGGTAGTCATGGCAACTTTTAAACCCTTTCGGAGACCCCCTAAAGTCTCAGAACACCAATATATACTAATAAATGTACAAATATCAGATAAAAAGAACGTTTTGTTTAGAAAAGTACTGTGTTGCTGGTATAAGAGAACATATAAACTTGATGCATTTTTTTTTTACCAGTGGCACCCCACACCACTTTTCCCCCATATTGCTTCAACCCTTCCTCAGGTGACTATTCTACATCCTTGAAAACTTTCTTACATACTTACAGGCCAGAATCAGTTCACCGTTACATTTGCGCAACATTCCTGTCCTATTTCCCATTTTTGTTTATCGTTGCTTAATATATTATTATTATTATTATTATTATTATTATTATTATTATCATCATCATCATCATCATCATCATTACAATTTATTGCCTGCTATTTGTTGCTATTTTATTGATGTTTTGGGTTTTATTCACCTTATGCAGAACGATGGCGCAGGATATCGAAGTGCAAATACATAGAGTTAAAAAGATATGAGGGACATGAGCTCTGTTACAACGGCAATCTTTAGAGGGTTCACAATTCCCTCTTGCAAATTTCATCCAGTTGAAAACATTTGTGTACAAATGAAACAGCATTTTCGTCTGATACCTTACTAACATATCCCACCCCTCTATGCATTAAAAGATTCTTTATTAGTGCCATGTGCTACTGTGAAAACTGCGCATTTCTTAGCTACCAGCTGCACTTTGCAGGTGGTCTGTCATGAATCTCTGAAAGTTTGCAAATCATCAAGGAGGTCTACTCTCTAAGCACAGCCCCAGATGGAGCGGGAAGACCCTCTGAGTAAACCTGCATAGCTCCCAACTTCATGGGGAAAAACAATTCAACCATATCTTTCCAACAAAACGGCTAGACAGATCTCATCAGCAAAGGCATTATTTTCACTGGCGCCACATCTGGCAATAATATGGATAGCCCTTCAAAGGGGGAGTCCCTCCTGGACAAAATATGAAAGCAAGTAGTAGCTCTTTCCAGACAGGTTCTGTCGATGGCAACCCCTGTGAAGAGGGAAGTAGCAAGAAAAACTATATTGTGTGCATCAATTACTTGGCATTGGTCCAAAATCTAGGTGCTAATGTGTCCATGCCTCCATCCCTGAGTGCACTTAAAACATTGCACTATATATATATCTCTGCAACATTTCAAAAAGATAAAAGGGTCTATGTATCAAATCCATATGTGGCTGCATCCTGATCCGCATTCACTTCAAAGCCCGCTGCCAGAAGACTAATGGGACTGCAGGTAATTGCAAAGGCAACTGGCAATTTTTCAGTTTGTGTCCACTGCATTTCATTCATTAATGTTAAAAGCCTATGAATGAGGCCATCCGTGTTTCTAATCAATCAAAATTCTACCTGACAGCAGCCCCTCTTACATGGTTGCTTAACAGGAAGGCCATTATTTTTTCACTACTAAAATTAAATGCAAAAAGGAGTTTTCTCCACACTCCCATCCCCAATACAGATGGCTGGCAGGCGGCTGGAGGTAGCTGGGAGAGCCTGGGCAGATCTGCACACCATAAAGCACCTTCAAGTGCACAACTTCCTCCAAATAATGCTGGGAATTTGTAGCCCTAACAGAGCTACAAATCCCAGCACCCCTAGCAAACTACAGTTCCCAGGATTCTTTGGAGGAAGCCATGTGCTTTATGGGTTTATGGGGTGGATCTGCTCCTTGTTTCCAAAACTATAGTCCAGGGGTTCAGTGTGTCTGGCTGTTAACCAGAAGGTGGGTGATTTGAGCCCATCCACGGACAGCTGCAGGCAAGATTCCTGCATTGCCGGGGGCTGGCCTAGCACATCCAACAGCTAGCGATGGTAGAAACTAAAATCTGAAACCATATGGAGACCTACAGGTTAGTTTTAAAACACAGTTCAAACAGTTCAATAGAGTTCAATAAAGTTGTTTCAATTTTCTGTTACTTTTACTCCTTTTTAAGTGCAAACGAAGACAATGGAAACAATGTATCTCTCTTATGCTAGCTGTCACCGAACCTTCTATTCGCTGTCAATGAACCTTCCAAGACACGTCGGTCTTACTAGCAGCCCGTTTCCAGGTTCGGAATGGTGATATTTTAACTTCCTTCACTCACTCCTGCAGGGATACACAATCCAAAGCTTCCCCCCTCTTCTCCTGCTTCCAAGGGGGGTTTAATATTTTTTCCTGATGAAAATTTAGTCCTTTACAATAGGCTTTCCAAGACTTTAGCTTGCAGCCTCTTTGCCTCAGTCTTATTTACAAAAGGGGGAGGTGGACTTCCTGTTTTGAACCTCCCCGTTTCGGTGCCAAATTAAGACGTTTAAAAATCCAATTCTTCACTCTACTCACGGGTAGTTGCTTTAAGATCAAATTGTCCACAGGAAAAAGTCAGCGCTCTCTGGCAACAGCTATGCGGCTTCGCTCCGTGGAAGAAGCAATCGATCCGAAGCACCGCGCTGCTCACCCCACGTCGCTCCGGATCCCCGAACCCAGGTTTCCCCGCGAGTAGGGGAGGCACAAAAGGTGCCCACCGAATCCCACGTCCACAGGCTTCACCTGCCTGTGATTTTTAGTGGGTCTCTGCCTTCGCCGTGGCGGCCAGACCCAAATTTCCACGAGGCAGATTCCTCCCGATCAGAGGAATTCCGCCATTGCCGGTGGCGCCAACCCAGAAGTCCGTTTTTGTTATATTAGTTTTATGTGTTAGTGTTTTGTAGTGTCTTTGTATTGTATTGCATTGTGTGTTTTTTGTTTTTTATTTTATGTTTTTTCTTTTGTAGTGTTGTGTTTAAATTGTTGGAAAATTAATAAATACTATATATATATAAAAAAAAAGAGAGACCTACAGGTTAGTCACCCCTCTTTGGAGACCCGATGCAAGGTGTCTACTTGCCTCTATTATGCACTGCTTGAAAATGGACCAACAAAGATTACAAAGACATGCCAAGTCTCCAGTGTGATTCCGACGAAAGAAGAAATTAATGGACTATGCAGAATTGGACAAAATGACAGGAAGGATTCGAAACCTGCGAGACCAGAGATTTACCGAAGATTGGGAGAAGTATATGAATTATTTGAAGAGCAACTGTAATCAACAAATTCCGCTAGTAGGACTGCAAGACGTTTTGTAAGGAGAAATATATGGTGTTACAAAGTAGAAAAAGATAGCGATCTTGGTTATGAGTTTGAAATGTAATAGGGAAAATAAGAAATGCATATTAAGAGATTAGACTGGAAAATTTTCAGACAGGACTGATGGAAGTCCAAAAAAATTGAATAAGATGTAAAAGTATGTTTAACCACTGCTGAAAATGGTATGTTAAAAAACTAATAAAAATGTGTGTGTGTGTGTGTGTGTGTATGTGTGTGTGTGTCCAGTGCTCTCTGATCCAAGAGAAATCAAATGCTCAACACTTGGAACCTTGCCACTTGGGGGGAAAGGATGAGCATATACCAGAGGTGTTCTTCTATCTGCAAAGCTGTCCTCGTTCCATTAAAAAGACAGACTGATAAGGCCTTGATGATGCCTAGTGAAAATAGTGCATTATGGATCAAGCAGAACATCACCCATGGTTGCGAATGACAGCCCCCATTGACAGACACAAACACGTTCGCCTTCAACAATAAAACCTCTGCTGTCTGAATAATTCTGGTCCATGATAACCTCTAAACTGGGCACAAGGAACCTGTTGCTCTCCATCTATTGCTGGACTCCAACTCCCAACAGCCCCATCTGTCACAGTCAAAGAGCCAGGGATGATGGGAACTGTAGCCCAGCAAAAAATGGAAGACCACAGGCTTGTCCCAAGCACTGATTTGCACAACCCAAATCCAGAGCATTTCAGCCTTGCTATTGAGAGTCATTCACAGGTCACTGTTTCGCCGTGGAGCTGCAGATTCTTCCCACAAAGAGCCTTGCCAGTTTTGTTTGAAAGAAACTGGCCGTGCTCCTGCGCCTTTAATAGCAGCCTGGACCATTAAGCAGCCAAAGTTCTTCCCAGCATTTCTTTCCATGCCAGGAACGCCTGCTGAATGATGTCTATGTGCCCGGCAGCTGTAAAAAGGCACAGAGAGGAACAGCAATCCTACTTCACTATTCTGCCACTGCTGTTTACCCCTTAACTTCCTGGGGCAGATGGTTGTGGGAGACTGCTGAATGCACTATACTACTGCTGCCAACTAGGAGAGCATTCTTTGCCCTTTGGGTACATAGGATGTTGCCTTATGGCAAGGCAGACCATGGCTCCATCTAATTCACTACTGTCTAGAAGAAGAGGGGTTCTCAACCTGTGGGTCCCCAGATGTTGTTGGACTACAACTCCCATCATTTTAGACAATTTTCCCTATGGGCTTGCTTCGCAAGACGGAAACGTCTTGCAAGTTTGTTTCCTTTTTCTTAACACCGTTAATACAGTTGCGACTTGACTTCGAGGGGCAACTCATAGAACGCGGTGTGGTAAAATTCTATATATATATATATATATATATATATATATATATATATATATAAAATTCCTATGCCCCACAAATAACCCAGAGATGCATTTTAAATAAAAGGACACATACTACTCATGTAAAAACACAGTGATTCCTGGACCATCCGTGGGCCAGATTGAGGTGATTGGGCCGCATCCAGCCCACAGGCCTTAGGTTGCCTACCCCTGGTTTAAATGTTTCTTTGATTGCCCTTGAATCTTCCTACACGCTTGCCATCCTCTCGTGTCACCCCCTTTGAGAACCACAGGCCTACACTGACTTGCAGTGGCTCGCCGGGGTTGCATACAATCTGTCTCCCAACCCTGCCAGGAGCAATTGGGGATTGAACCCTGAGCAGATGCTCTGCTGAACTATACAACACTCTTCAGTGGCTAGAGTGGAGGTGGGGGAACTAATAGTCCACTTCTTGTCCTGCATGTCTAAATTACTTGCGATACTGAGATAGGGCCGCTCTATTCTTAGCAACTGTTGCTTGGCACATGAAACACAGAGTGAGCCAAACTGCACGGTGAAATAAGAATCTATTGCAGTTGCTAGCAGGAGCTAGGCCAAAGTTTCTGTCATTGGCATGTGCCATTATCTACAACCTCCCAGCAATCTCCAGGTATGCAGCCTGCATCATGCAGCAATGGCTCAAGGTTAACAGGTGGGCTATTACCTAGTTGAGAATTAGCTGTGTCTTCCATTCATACCAACATGTGTAGTTCAAAGGCTCACCTACTTCTGCTATCGGGGCATCTGAGCCCATGTAAAATTATGCAATGTACCGTTGGCACCTCTGGATGAGAACGGGATCCGTTCCAGGGCCCCATTTGCATTCTGAAGCAAACGCAACCTGCGTCTGCGGGTGCGCGGATTGCGATTTGCCACTTCCGCACATGCGCATTACGCCATTTTGAGTGTCTGCGCATGCGCAAGCAACGAAACCCAGAAGTAACGCACTCCGTTACTTCCGGGTCGCCGCAGAGCGCAACCCAAAAATATTCATCCCAAAGCTACTTCAACCCTATGACTGTATCTTTTTTACTTCCAATAGAGATTTTTCTTGGAGAAGCCACGTGTTGCCATTTATATAAATGGTTAAATAGGTAAAGGACCCCTGACAGTTAAGTCTAGTCGTGAACGACTCTGGGGTTGCGCCTCTCATCTCGCTTTACAGGCCGAGGGAGCCGACATTTGTCCGCAGTTTTTCTGGGTCATGTGGCCAGCATGACTAAGCTGCTTCTGGCAAAACCAGAGCAGCGCACGGAAATGCCTTTTACCTTCCTGCCAGAATGGTACCTATTTGCACTCTGACGTGCTTTTGAACTGCTAGGCTGGCAGGAGCTGGGACCGAGCTTCTGATTGGCAAGCCCAAGGCTCAGTGGTTTAGACCACAGCGCACTTCACATAAACACAAACAGATGATAGGTAAAGGTAAAGGGACCCCTGACCATTAGGTCCAGACGTGACCAACTCTGGGGTTGCGACACTCATCTCGCTTTATTGGCCGAGGGAGCCGGCGTACAGCTTCCGGGTCATGTGGCCAGCATGACTAAGCCACTTCTGGTGAACCAGAACAGCGCACGGAAATGCCGTTTACCATCCCGCTGGAGTGGTACCTATTTATCTACTTGCACTTTGACGAGCTTTCGAACTGCTAGGTTGGCAGGAGCAGGGACCGAGCAATGGGAGCTCACTCCATCGCAGGGATTTGAACCGCCGACCTTCTGATCAACAAGTCCTAGGCTCTGTGGTTTAACCCACAGCGCCACCCGCATCCCTGATAAGACACCCCATAAGAGATAGCAAATCTTTTTATACCTGGAGGGGTTCTGCCCTGTGGAATACCCTCCCATCAGATGTCAAAGAGTTAAATAACTATACAAACATCAGTAAACATCTAAAGGCAGCTCTGAATTGGGAAGTTTTTTTATTTTGTGACGTTCTGTTGTGTCTTCGCGTATTTGTCAGAAGCCGCCCACAGAGGCTGGGGCAACCCAGTCAAATGGGTGGGGTACAAAAAAGGAATTGCTATTTTTATGGGAAATGATACCCTAACCCAGGGGTCAGCAAACTTTTTCAGCAGGGGGCCGGGTCCACTGTCCCTCAGACCTTGTGGGGGGCCGGACTATATTGGGGGAGGGGGGAATGAACAAATTCCTATGCCCCACTGTCAGGGAACTGCCATCAGTGCCGGAGGGAGAGAGCAAAATCCAGAGGGATTCCGGAGAGCGTCCCGGGAGTGGGAGAGGCAGCCCATCTTCTGGGGAAGAGAATCAGCGTAGCACCAGTGGAAAAGGGGGGCAGATGGGGGAAGCAGCGAGGCGGTCCCATGACTCCTTGCCGGGGACCAGCGGGGAGAGTAGAGGTTCTCCGCTGCCTACGCCCTCCTTGCGCAGAAGGCTTTCGCGCAGAGAGAGTAGGAGGAGACTAGGCGTCAAAGAGCTTCTTTGCTGGAAGAAGTTTAAGAAACACCCACTGATGGATTCTGCCAGCGATTGAGACAGCCACGGGCGAGTGGCTGTCCGGACAGAAAAGGTTCACTCAGGCAATCCAGCCAGGTGTTTGCACCGGCTTACGCACGAGCAACCCCTAGAACCACTACACCCACAAATAACCCAGAGATGCATTTTAAATAAAAGGACACATTCTACTCGTGTAAAAACACCAGGCAGGCCCACATATAACCCAGAAATGCATTTTAAATAAAAGCACACATTCTACTCATGTAAAAACATGCTGATTCCTGGACCGTCCACAGGCTGGATTTAGAAGGCGATTGGGACGGATCCAGCCCCCCCCCTTAGTTTGCCTACCCATGCCCTAACCCTTCTCTTGCAGGGCTTTGTGTTACACAATGTCACTCACTGTCCTAATACCCCTGCCCAATCAGGTCTGGGTTCAAGCAAGTGAGATAAGGATAGAGCACTTTGGTGTTAACTCTCTCTATGCTCATGCCTCAAGGTTAAGGCATAAGGGACAGTGGGACAGATGGTGCAAGGACTGCTTTCACCGCTCTACTTTTTCTGAAGGACAAGGGAGGAGCATTTTGTGACACAGCAGGGAAGGGAATGGTAATCCCCCCTGACACAAGGGGGAATTAGAATCACAGGAGTTGGAAGGGGGCCCCCCCCAGGCATCATCCAGCCCAACCCCCCTGCAATGCAAACATCTCAGCTAAAGCATCTGTGATTTTTGAAAATGACCTTGGTTATGTCTGCAGCAGAACAGATTGAAAGAGCAAACAAATGTAAAAGGCAAAGGAAGCCTTTGGTGGTTCATAAGAGAGAGAGAGGGTAAAAAACCCCACAGAACAACAATATATTTATTGGGGACCAACCCAAATGTCATTCAGTGAGTGGCAAGCTTTTGAGTTCTGCAGAAGTCTTGGTCAGGCAAAGTGTTACGCAAATGGGAAATAAACAAGGGAAGTACAGAATTTGATCGTAGCCATGAGGTGGTTGTTGTTTAGTTGTTTAGTCGTGTCCGACTCTTCGTGACCCCCTGGACCAGAGCATGCCAGGCACTCCTGTCTTCCACTGCCTCCCGCAGTTTGGTCAAACTCATGCTGGTAGCTTCGAGAACACTGTCCCACCATCTCGTCCTCTGTCGTCCCCTTCTCCTTGTGCCCTCCATCTTTCCCAACATCAGGGTCTTTTCCAGGGAGTCTTCCCTTCTCATGAGGTGGCCAAAGTATTGGGGCCTCAGCTTCAGGATCTGTCCTTCCAGTGAGCCATGAGGTTAGCTTGCAGGAAAACCTCTAGAAAAAATGGGTCTTTCAGTCTCACTGGGCTGCCATTGCTGTTGTGTATAATAGCAATACCCTGTTCCCTTTAAACACCAGCCTGCCAGACATTAAGCAGGTGTGAAGCTTTTCTGAATGGCTTTGTAAACCTGCAGGAAGCTACAGGACTGCTATATAGCAGCAAGCCTTATTGCTTGCCTGACTGGCAAGGGAGAAAAAGAAAATAACTGGGAAACCTCAGCAGTGCTTTTCTGTCTGGGATGGTAAAAGTCTGCCTTTTTTTGTCTGAAGCTGCTTCCTGGTCTGAAACTGAACTGGTGCACAGTATTCGAAACTCCCATTGTTCCAGGCACATTTTGCAACAGGGAATTTCATTAGCATGAGTAGTTTCTGAGCTCTAGGCGCAGTACTGTGCCTAAGATTTCAGATTAAAACTGCAGAGTGGAAGGAAAGGAGGACCTTTTTCTGCCTCCCCACTTCCAGCTGCTCTCTGAAGACTGGAAAAGAGACCCTCTTAAGAATATCAGGGGGTGGGCAGGGGAAGGACTAGACCATGTGAAAAACAAACATGAATTTTAGCTGCAATTCTTTCATTTCCAGCTTTGTATTCTTGTTATAAAAAAGTGCACCTAGACATTGAGTTGTTGAGCCCATAACCTAGGTTAAAGGGGCCATTTAGCTCCTAGCTTTCATATTTCAGTTTCTAACACTGCAGTGGTACAGTCCTTGTGGACAGGATGTACCATCTCAATAAATGCTTGTGAGAAGAGACAACAATTTTATATAAAAAAATATTGTGCAACTTATCAGTTTCTTTTACTCTTTCTCTCTTCCCCCTCTAGCAAATTCGATTCAACACCTTTAAGGACTATGATTCATCAGTTTAATAATAATAATAATATAATGATAATTATTATTATTATTATTATTATTATTATTATTATTATTATTTATTATTATTTCCCCAGCCACTCTGGGCAACTTCCACAGAGAAGAAAGAAATTACAAAAAGAGAAACAAGATCCTTGCCCTAAGGTTTACAATCTACTAAGCATGAGGCAACAGAAGACGCTGAAGAGGTGAGAACGAGATGTTAAAATTGACTCCCAGCAAAAGAAAAGCAAACCTGGAAAACCCATCATAAAAAGGAGAAGCAACATGCATTTCCAGAGACAGGGAATCTGAAAGAACAAGTGCAATAAGGGAAAGCAGAGGGGGAACAAGAAAGCAGCAGGAAGTAACAAGATTTAGTAAGAAGATGAGAGCATAATCCCCCAAGCTAAGCATGCTAAGCAGTTCCCTTCGACCAAAGGAATATGGGAGGGGGTGTCTCTGGCCAATGCCTGCATCTGAGACAGGAGCAGGGAACCTTTGGTCCTCCAGGTGTTGATGAACTACAACTCCCATCAGCCCTAGCAAGCATGGTCAATGGCCAGGGATGGTGGGAGTTTTAGTTCAGCAACATCTGGAAAGTCAAGAGTTCTGCACCCTTAACCTAAGGCTTCTTGCCTGCTCCTTTAAAACTAGAGGTGCCGGGAATGAAACTCAGGGCTTTCTGAACACAAACTTTCTGCTCTCCCACTGAGCTGTGGCTCCACCAAATGCAGCCACCTCCGTCTGGAAACTTAGAAGTGCTTCCAGACAACCTGTTTACTGCACGTTCATCCTGATCTGGTTGTGGGAAGGTGAGACAACAGTGTGTTTCTTTCTAACACTTCTTTATGGCAAAAAGTCTGACCTTACAGGAAATCAGGTTTGTTGCACAAGACCTCCAAATAATTTTTTAATAGTGCAGTTTTGCATTTGCCAGTATGTGTCTGAACCCCACCCGAAAACAGCAACAGTCTGGAAGCACCCTTGATTTTTTAGTTGCCGCTATTTTAAAAGATATTCCCAGGATAATGAATCCCTTCGGTTTCTTGGCAAATAAGATTTTGTGAATATATAGAATCAGCAAGACTTACAGCAGTGGTAAGAGGCCAATCCGACCAAAATCTGATAGAGGAGTGGACTTTTAAGAAGAAATGGGTATAAGATGAGATAGTCAAAAATAATATTGATAACACAGCGAAAAGAAGAAAAGAAATGAAGGAAGCCACATATAGGTGGAGGGAAGTCAAAATTTATGTCTGTATGTTTAGTTTGTATGTTTGTTTTCTTTTTCAGTAATCTAAGTTGAGAGGTTGACCAAAATGTCGTAAGTTGACCAAAATGGTCAAAGGCCTGGAAACGATGCCTTATGAGGAATGGCTAAGGGAGCTGGGCATGTTTAGCCTGGAAAAGAGGAGGTTAAGGGGTGATATGATAGCCATGTTCAAATATATAAAAGGATGTCACATAGAGGAGGGAGAAAGGTTGTTTTCTGCTGCTCCAGAGAAGCGGACACGGAGCAATGGATCCAAACTACAAGAAAGAAGATTCCACCTAAACATTAGGAAGAACTTCCTGACAGTAAGAGCTGTTCGACAGTGGAATTTGCTGCCAAGGAGTGTGGTGGAGTCTCCTTCTTTGGAGGTCTTTAAGCAGAGGCTTGACAACCATATGTCAGGAGTGCTCTGATGGTGTTTCCTGCTTGGCAGGGGGTTGGACTCGATGGCCCTTGTGGTCTCTTCCAACTCTATGATTCTATGATTCTAGGTGTATGTATCTATGTATAATAAGTTTGTTTAGTGTTCTGGTTTGTGTAAATATTGCATTTATCAATAAAAGTTTTTTTTTAAAAATAATCCCATCGGTTTCCAAATTCCACAAATGCAGTGTAATCCTCTGGGAGTTTGTGATGCATACAGCTCTTCTAAGATAGCTTTGTGGGAGGGATATTTTTAAAAAAAATAATCAGAAAATGCAGCGTTTTGCCTTTTTTACTGTAATAAAGATTCCTCCTTCCCCTGTAAGCAAGAACTGCATGGGGCATGCAGTTAGACCAGATTCATCGTTGTCATTAGCACAGGATGTGTTTCTGCTTCACCAGGTACAGCAAGAAAAGATGGGGCAGTGGAGAAGCCAAAATCCTGCCTTGCCAAATACACATGCACAGAAGCATATCAAAGTAATCCCGCAAGCTCCTAGCTTTGCATGTGGGTGTGTCTTTTACGTGGTCTCTCTGTTTGATTAGATCTGACCTCAATTCCCTACACAGAGTTGCTGCTTTGCCTCTGTGCGAATTCAAGAAGGGAACCGAATGTGGAATTTCTCTTAATTATGGGGTGGGGCGAGGAGTACGTGAGTGGGAGGGGATTCTGTTCTCCACTAATTTGGCACCGGCGGAGAGATCTTTGAGAAAATGAACTCTGTTTTTGCAGGAGACCTAATAATCCTTCCTCTGCACTGGGGGATTACCGGGTACTTAGAGAGACACTCACATGCACATTTTTAGCCTGTGCCAAGCGTGTTTTGTGTCCACAGGAGCCAGGCTTCATTCTGCTCTTTCGCGGGGAGTGAATAGGCATTCCAAGGCATTTAAATACAGCCACAGACCTTCTACCCTAAGCTTTTCACCCTTTTAAAGTGCTCTGAATTGCCGGTTTGGTTTTTTTTTGTTTAATTCTGTTTGCAATGGGGGCTCTACATTTGCTTCCAGTATTATGTGGTGCTCCCCCCTCCATCCTCCCCTCTTTTTGCTCTGTCTGAGTGCATCGCTGTCCTGCCGCAACCTCTGCCCCTGGATCCTCGATCAGAACATACAGTCACAACTGTGGGTGCATCTTCGCTTTCCATGTGTCTGCACATGAGCCCTAAAATTAGCCCGTCACCCATAAATTGGGAGGTCAGCAACCAACCGCCTTGAGGTCAAATAGACCCTAGACCAGGGGTCCCCAAACTAAGGCCCGTGGGCTGGATAAGGCCCAAGGGACTCGTTTATCCAGCCCGCAGCACCGCCCGCTCTTACCAGCGCTGTGCTGCGCAGCTGCCCACTTCAGGGTCGGAGGAGCACTGGAAATAGCCTGTGCGCATGCGCAGGCGTTATTTGCGCATGCGCAAGCGTTATTTCTGGTGCACATCCGGGTTGGAGGAGGCCCGTGCACATGCGCACAAGCTATTTCTGGTGCTCCTCCAACCCGGAAGTGTGCCAGAAATAGCGTGTGCACACGTGTATGGGCACGCATGTGGGCACACGCACTAAGCTGCTTCTGGCAAACCAGAGCAGCGCACGGAAACGCCGTTTACCTTCCCGCCGGAGTGGTACCTATTTATCTACTTGCACTTTGACATGCTTTCGAACTGCTAGGTTGGCAGGAGCAGGAACCTTCTGATCGGCAAGTCCTAGGCTCTGTGGTTTAACCCACAGCGCCACCCGCATCCAAGGAGGAAAGGCTTACCTCCCCGCTAAAGAAGACTGTGCCCAGAGTTCCAAATATACTGACGCTTTTGGAGCAGTGGGTCAATCTATTTGCGGGCTGCTGTTGCAGGAATTAAAAATGGCCAGACAAATATTCCAAACCTTAAACTTAGTGAGATGCAGAACATGGGAGAGGAAAGCATTAAGAGAAACAAAACCCAAGAGCGATTAAAATTGTTTGCCAAGGTGACTCAGTGTGCTCCCCTGCCAAGCTTGAGTCTAAAAAAAGAAAGTTGGGATGGGGTATTTGCCAAGCACTAATGTATCTGGCAGCTGATGCTTCAATGTTAGAAATTATTTTTACAGTTTTAAATGATGCCATGAAATCTTCTCTCTCTTTTTAGGCTAGGGAACCCTTTGTCTGCAGGCTGATCACAGAGTTGTTATGTACACAATATAACTCATTATCAAATCCAAACTCCTCCTCCTCTTCTTCTTCTTCTTCTTCTGCAATGGTGGTGATTTTACTTTGATGTCATCTAACTCTTCTTTCCTCTGCAACTCTTCTTCAAGAGTTCTCACATACGCATAATCTCTAATTACAATAAAACTGGAGGTGATGAGTGTTTTATTGGTGTGGGGTTAAGCGAGGGTGGGTGTGGAGGAGAGGAGATTTATCAGCTGCCTGAAGTTAATGGCCCCTAACCCATTTCCTCCCAGGCAAGTGCTAAATTCTGGGATGCAAAAGGAATCTCAAGCCATGCTAATTTTAATCCCCACCCACCCACATATTTTTGAGACAACTGCTGAAATCCTCAATCAAAAACAACTCATTGACTCTCACCATTTTTAGCTTAAATGCATGCTAAAACACACTTCGCTGTGTTGTGTATTCTCCAAAACAGCAAAAATTCCAAGGATTCTCTGCCATTACATACTCCGAGAAGAACACATAATCATAGCAAGAAACTGGAACCATCAATTGTAATTTGATGGGAGAATGGCACAGACAAATATGAATGGTTGTCTCAATGGAGAAATTAACCCAACAAATAATAAGAATGAATCCAACCCAAAAAGAATACTTTTCATGTCAAATTGTATTGTTTTGTAGCTTATGTAGCCCAAAAGGAACACAGCTGGAGTCAACCAGAGATTCATGCTTCATTACAGAAGGATGTCTTGGGTTAACTGTTTGACAGCTTTAGAAATCTGTGTTTGTCATGTATAAAGTTAGTAATAAATGTTGGAAATGTAAAGAAAAAGAAGGATTATTTTATCATATGTGGTGGGAATGTAAAAAGGTGAAATGCTTCTGGGAGATGATATATAATGAGTTTTAAAAAATGTTGAAATATACTTTTATTAAAAAACCAGAAGCATTTCTTTTAGGTATTGTTGGAAATTATATAAACAGGAAAGACTGTAAGTTTTTTTATATGCAGTAACAGCAGCAAGAATATTATTGGCCCAAAAATGGAAGCAAGAAGAACTACCAACATTAGAAGAATGGAGGATGAAATTGATGGACTACACAGAATTAGACAAGCTAACAGGAAGGATCCGAGACCGGTGGGACCAGAGGTTTACCAAAGACTGGACTAAATTTACTGAGTATTTGAAAAGTATTTGTGATGATCAGATTACGTTTGTAGGACTACAAGAAGTTCTGTGAGGAGTAATTTAAGAAATATTGTAAAAATGGAAAGGGAGACATGATTTGTTAGAAAAGGTAAAGGCAATATTAAGTTAAGAATTGCAGGAGAAATAATCAAGATGGAAGGCTATCAGAGATGCTGAAGGAAGTCCAAACAAGGACATATGTATAATAATTTGTGTGGTATGTCTTAAAAAAAATTGTATGTTAAAAATTAATTTAAAAATATTTTAAAAAAGAAATCTGTGTTTGTCTATTTTTTGTCTTACAAAATTACAATGATTATTATTTTATGAGCAAGTTTAATTTTAAAAAAATAATACCGCATGGTGGTGAGGGGTCGCTAAGGGGGAATGAGAGGGAAAACCCTGCATACACAGGCAATTTTTTTGTGTGCAATGGGGATTGTGGTCCACAATACAAGAAGGAAGTGCATGTATCCTGCATAAGTAAGAGATGGGGAAAACCCACCCCCAGCGCAAGTTTGACCTCAGCTATAAACTCATCCAGCAACTACAGTGGTGCCTCGCAAGACGAAATTAATTCGTTCCGCGAGTTTTGTCGTCTTGCGGTTTTTTTCGTCTTGCGAAGCACGGGAAAGTTTTGGAAAAGCTTCAAAAATCACCAAAGTCTTTAAAAACCTCAAAAAAGGCTACCACACCGCGTTCTATGAGTTGCTCCTCGAAGTCAAGTCGCAACTGTATTAACGGTGTTAAGAAAAAGGAAACAAACTTGCAAGACGTTTCCGTCTTGCGGAGCAAGCCCATAGGGAAAATCATCTTGCGAAGCAGCTCAAAAAACAAAAAACCCTTTCGTCTAGCGAGTTTTTTGTCTTGCGAGGTACCACTGTACAGGCAATCCATTATTCTCTTAGCCCTCCCTGCCACCCCATTTGCAATGTGCAACCTAAACCTGCAGGGCTGCCATAAAAAAATACTGAGATAATAATATAATAAAAAAACAGATCAAGGATCAAGTGTTGCTATAATTGCTATACAGGACTACAGTTATCAGTGGTGACTGGCAACCATTGGAACTGTTGGGACAGAAGCCAGGGAGACCACAGGAAGGTGGAGCCAGAGCTAATGACACACAGAGCGGTTTCTACTAACTAGCATTCTCTAAAAAGTGTGAAATAAGTTATACATTACATTACTTGGTCCAACAAAGGTCCGTATAGTTAAAGCTAAGGTTTTCCCAGTAGTGATGTATGGAAGTGAGAGCTGGACCATCAAGAGGGCTGATCGCCAAAGAATTGATGCTTCGGAATTCTGGTGCTGGAGGAGACTCTTGAGAGTCCCATGGACTGCAAGAAGATCAAACCTATCCATTCTGAAGGAAATCAGCCCTGAGTGTTCACTGGAAGGACAGACCCTGAAGCTGAGGCTCCAATATTTTGGCCACCTCATGAGAAGTGAAGACTCCCTGGAAATGACCCTGATGTTGGGAAAGATGGAGGGCACAAGGAGAAGGGGACAGCAGAGGACGAGATGGTGGGACAGTGTTCTCGAAGCTACGAACATGAGTTTGACCAAATTGCGGGAGGCAGTGGAAGACAGGAGTGCCTGGCATGCTCTGGTCCATGGGGTCACAAAGAGTCGGACACGACTAAACAACAACAACAACATGACTGTTTAATGTGGCATCTTAGTGCTTGAAATGTATGGTGTAAATATGGCCCTGAGTTCCTCGAGGTTGTTTGTTTCTTCAAGGCTCTGATCTCTCTCGAGGGACAATGACTAAACAACACCACTTGGTCCATAGGTTTGCATCTGACCATCACAGAACTCTAGGCATTAGAAGGTATATCAAACAGAGGTGGGATTCCCATTTTTCAGTTCCAGCAGTGGGTTTTTAAAATAAAAAATAAAAAAATTGAGTCTGAGCAATTCCTGTTTGGTTTGCCATTTCTTCACTATCACCAATTTGTCACTTATTAAAAATCCCAGATTTGTGAGCTCAGACTTGCAAAGCATTGTGGGTTTTGTGCTATTCAGCTGGTATAAAACAGTTCTTCAACATGTGTTCAAGAGCAAGAGAATGAAGATTAAGATATTTTAACTCTACTTTGCTGCATTATTACTAAAAACCAGGTGATCCCGACATGCAAAGGATGAACTGCTACACACATTAACATACAATAGGTCTTTTCCAATTCACAATCCTATGATTCTATGACCAGTTCCCTAAAGCTATACCTCCCTGCTTCTGCATCCCAGTGCCTGATACAAGAAATTTTAATGTGTTCTTCCAGCCTCAAAACACTCACAGAGGATCAATGAATCTACAACTCATTTAGTATTGAGCTTTCCCTACACTTAAGTCACTTCCAGATTGAATTCTACCCGAAAAACCACTTTGAGGTCTTTTACAATCAAGTCGTGTGTGTAATTTCATGAAATACGGTAAATAAATAAATAAGCACATACTGGCAAATTCAGATGGCCCTATAAAAGTTGATTTAGTGCTCTTATTTATTTCATATTTAACAGGGTTTGTATGCTGCTTCATCATCAAAACCTCTAGGCTCATACGCAACAAACCTGCCACCCACCTGCCAAATTGTACAGTTTGCAATAAAAAAAGCGCACTCAAGAGTGTGGGATAACAGTTGCTTGATGAAAAGTGCCTCATCTCCCTGAAAATGAACCAGAATGAATGCCCACGTCATCTAACCTCTCCACAAACATTGTGCAAACAAATCAGAATGAATGCACAAGAAACAGGTCACCTGGAACCGACCTTAGTTTTAGAATCATAGATTTTGTCTTTCCATACTAAATGCTTAAGTGTCATTTACAAAACACAGGGGAAAAATACTATGAAAATTGACTTCTGCAGACTGAAGGGGGGAAATTGTTCAGTACTTCTTAAATACTGCTGCCATGATGCAGAAACCTATCTCTAAAAAGAAGGAGCTCAAACTCGCAGTTTTGCTCTGCCAAGTTGAAAAGCCTAAGAATTTGCCCTGTCCCTTTAAAACTTCAAAAATAATGAATTACAGTATAGGGTTCTGGTCTAGCAGGGCATGAATGGCCTAAGCCAGATGGGTTTGTTGGGCATTTCATGTTCCTTTTACTACCAGGAAGGTGGTTGTTGTAACTATAGGAATTGACATAAAGGAGCTAATTTTAGAAGGCACAGAAGGAGGGGCAGGAGTTGTTGGTTCTAATTTCCACTAAGTTCTAGCAAAGTAGAAAGTATTGGAAGAAAAATTAATGGAAATCTCAGCAATGGGACAAAGAAGCACAACTCATCAGAACCACCACAGGTCATAAAGGTGAAAAACTCCCCCATTTGGTTTTGATTCCCCATTGTCAGAAATCAGGGAGGTGGTAATCACATTTTCACACATTCATCACACACCCAAGTTTGCCTCCCCTTTCTCGTACTGTCCTCGAGGGTAAGAACTCTGCTGAAAAACCCACTAGGCAGCATGTGCGCTGATGGCTCTCTACAAATCATGTTGTACCATGTGGCATCTTTGCAGAACACTGGAGGGGAGAGCCAGCGTGGTGTAGTGGTTAAGAACAGTGGACTCGTAATCTGGTGAACTGGGTTCGATTCCCTGCTCCTCCACATGCAGCTGCTGGGTGACCTTGGGCTAGTCACACTTCTCTGAAAGTCTCTCAGCCCCACTCACCTCACAGAGTGTTTGTTGTGGGGGAGGAAGGGAAAGGAGATTGTTAGCCACTTTGAGACTCCTTCGGGTAGTGATAAAGAGGGATATCAAATCCAAACTCTTCTTCTTCTTCTTCTTGTGCTCAAATCCTGCTTGCTGGTTTCCCCCAGGCATCTGGTTGGCCACGGTGAGAACTGAATGCTGGACAAGATGGGCCACTGGCCTGATTCAGCAAGCTTTATTTACATTCTTATGCTAAATGATAGGGTGCAGTTCTCCATATAGCCATAAAGAAGATACAGTGGTACCTCTGGATGAGAACGGGATCCGTTCTGGAGCCCCGCTCGTATCCTGAGCAGAACGCAACCCACATCTGCGCGTGCGTGGATCACGATTCACCACTTCTGTGCATGCACGTGAGGTCGTTTTGAGCATCTGCGCATGCGCGAGCGGCGAAATGTGGAAGTAATGTGTTCTGTTACTTCCGGGTCGCCGCGGAGTGTAACCTAAAAACGCTTAACCTGAAGCGACTTTAACCCGAGGTATGACTGTATATAAGCAGGGCCGTCTTAAGCATATCAGGCGCCATGGTGCAAAGATCCCTCCAGCGCCCCCCCCCCCGGCAACTCCAAAACAAGGGAGGGGGCGGTGGAAAATGTCCTCTGCCACCCCCACCGCCCCGATTGCCAGCGTGGTGGCGACGATCAAGCAGGAAAACGTGCTGGTGGACATGTTTTCCGGCGTCAGGGTGCCCGGGAAGGCTGCGTGCCGCCTTTTGTCAGGAAGCAGGAGGAGACAACGACCAGGAGCAGGGCCATCTTTATCAGATACAGAGGCCTCTGCGGGGATCGCTCTCCTCCTGAGGAGGCTCAGGAAGGAAGCTGCATGCCTGCCAGCCATATAGTTGGCGGGGCGCAGCTGTTGGGCATGCAGGGAAAGGGGAGGCTGCCGCCAAAGCTGCGCAGCTCCCCCACTCACTAGGGCGCCCCTGAGAGGCCGGCGCCCTGGCGCAACGAACCACTAAGATCAATGGGAAAGATGGCTCTGTATATAAGGCGCCCACCCTTCTGTTAGTCTTCCCTTGTTGTGGGGAATACGCCTGCAAAGTAAGTTGGGCGTGGTAGTCGAGGACAGGGGAAGAGAAAGATCACACTTCTTGCTTGGCTTCTTTTCAAACTTTCTCATCCCTCATAGCTGCCAACTGCACTTAGAACCCTTCCCCCTCATTGCAACCTGCCAGCCAAATCCTATTAAGCAGCCATCACTGTCAGTGTTTATTTCTAGTAAAAGAGCAAGGCCAGTTTCTTAATAAAGTGAGAGGCAAAGCCTGCAAGGAGAGAAGAGAAGCAGGGTGGACACGAGGAAGATGACCAGGACTCATTAATTAGCAGCTGCCCTGCAAAACACTGACAGGAAGAAGACCCTAAACTCCGCTAAGCCACTTAAGATGCCAAAGCTCTTTGTAAACTACCTGGGCTGCTCTGCAGGTTGGATCCGGGTTTTATTTATTCGTTTTGCTAGATCAGGGCCCCAGTGAGATGGGGTAAGACTCCACCAAATCCAGATAACCAGTTCAGGACATGGGGTGGCTCCAGGCAGGCCTAGGGTAAAAAGTCCCAAAATACTGAGGTAGTGCAATACGTCTCAACTAGCAGGAGACAACAACCCGGGAAAACAAGATTGAGGCAAAAGCCAAAATCCCAGCAGAGCAAGACATAGTGAGCAGGGCAGGAAAGCAAAGGAACAAGCAGGAACAAACAGGTCTAAGGGGTTGGCCTGGGTTCCCCAAACCATGACTAAGCCGCATGAACCAGCGAGGGAAAATCGCAGCATCATGCTGCAAAGCCATGGTTTGCCTTAGTGGCAGTATTGTGCAAAGCAGGTCCATGAGCAGAAGCTTGTGTTTATCGCAATGGTGGGGAGCCCTTTTCAGCCGGGGGGGGGAAGGACCATAGCTGTCAACCATCCCTTATTTGGCAGGAAAGTCCCTTATCCCAGCGCCGTGTCCCGCTGCTGTCCCTTACTGATGATGTCCCTTAAATTTCCCGGGTTTCAAAGGAAGCAGCTCCTCTCCCTCCCTGCCTGCCGGCCAGGCAGGAGGGAAGCTCCAATTGTGTTGCTTGGCTGCGTTGCTCACCCAATAAGGAGTCTAAGAACGACTGGGGGGTGGACCTTGCATGCCTTGTGCCGATCAAATCGGCCGCGTTGCCTGGGGACTCGCCATTGCTCAGCGCTTCCCAGCAGAGAGGTGACGGTGGTTTTCCTTGCTGCATCCTCTTTGCCGGGTTGCTGTGCTGTGGGAACCACCGCTTGAGGCTTCGTTTGGCTGCTGGCTGGGCTTTCTGCCTTTGGCTTGGAGGGGCTCAGAAGTTGAACATACCTGTGCTTGGAAAATCCCTTATTTTGGCTGCTGGTCCCTTATTTTTGAGGCTGCTGGCCCCTTATTTTCAAATCTGTAAGATGACAGCTATGGGGGTGGCATTCCTTTCTCTAGGCTACCCTTTCAGGGGCCACATGCAAGTGGAAGGCAGGGCCAGAGGCAAAAAGAAGGTGGAGCAATGAAGCAGCATTTTAGCTTTGTTCAGTAGGCTCAGTTCTACACATTACACAACCCCCTATCTACCCCCCACCCAGGCAAGCAAGAGGCATCACCAGAGTACTTGCAAAAACACTCATGGAGGGCGCAAAGGAAAGCTGGGGAAGATGTCTGGCTGTGGAGAACCCTGTTGGCCAGGGGAGCATGAGGATCCTCATGCTTGGTTTATTAGATTGCTTGAGAACTTGCAGGAACGAAGATATTGGAGATAATTCTTCAGAAGTCCAGACTATGGGGAGCCCAGAAAAATAAATAATTAACAATTTGGAGTGTAATTTGGTTCTTTTTTATTTTAGTTTATTGTTTTTAATTGGATTATGATGTGGATATGTTGATTGGCTGTTTTTATTGGAAAATCAATAAAAAAGATTTTTAAAAAAGGATTGCTTGAGAACTCACAGTCCCTTCCAGTTTCTCAAAAGGGAACCTTTGCCAAGCTTTTGGAATCATCCAGATTATTTTGATTTAACCTAGTAGATAATTGATAAATTAGTTCGAAGGAAGATTTTAAAGGTCTTTCATAACGCTGGGGTTTTTTAAAATTCATGTGGGCTTTTTTGAGTATTTGTTCAGCTTTATTGTCAGTCACCCAGAAGCTGGGGTACACAGACATAAAATAATAAACGAAAAACTTGACAGCTCTAGTTAAACTAGAGCGGGGAAGGAAAGACATATAATGTGTTGCTTTGGGGGTATTTGTTATTGAATTCATATCCTGTCCTTCCTCCCGAAGGAGCCCAGGGCAGCAAACACCATGACAATCAAGGAAAGACAAAGTTGCCAAAACAAAAATTGCTACTTCTCCTTATGCTATTGAAAAGCCAATTGCAGCATTTATGAGCACGATACCCTTCAGGTCTTTATAATGATACAAAAGGCCCTCAATAACTTCAGGCAGCAGGTTATGTTCAAGTTTCATCAACCTACAATAAGGAAGGCTTAATCATAGAATCATAGAGTTGGAAGAGACCACAAGGGCCATTGAGTCCAACCCCCTGCCAAGCAGGAAACACCATCAGAGCACTCCTGACATATGGCTGTCAAGCCTCTGCTTAAAGACCTCCAAAGAAGGAGACTCCACCACACTCCTTGGCAGCAAATTCCACTGTCGAACAGCTCTTACTGTCAGGAAGTTCTTCCTAATGTTTAGGTGGAATCTTCTTTCTTGTAGTTTGGATCCATTGCTCCGTGTCCACTTCTCTGGAGCAGCAGAAAACAACCTTTCTCCCTCCTCTATGTGACATCCTTTTATATATTTGAACATGGCTATCATATCACCCCTTAACCTCCTCTTCTCCAGGCTAAACATGCCCAGCTCCCTTAGCCGTTCCTCATAAGGCATCGTTTCCAGGCCTTTGACCATTCTGGTTGCCCTCCTCTGGACACGTTCCAGTTTGACAGTGTCCTTCTTGAACCTATATGCAATCTTGCTAAGCTTCATCGGCTGCTTTGGGACATGCTTCCCAGTACAGTAATACCTTGGTTGTTGAACGGAATCCGTTCCGGAAGTCCGTTCGACTTCTGAAAACGTTCAACAACCAAGGTGCAGCTTCCGATTGGCTGCAGGAGCTCCCTGCACTCAATTGGAAGCCATGGAAGCCGCGTCGGACATTCAGCTTCCAAAGAACGTTCACAAACCGGAACACTGACTTCCGGGTTTGCGGCGTTCAGGAGCCATAACGTTCAACTTGCAAGGCATTCAGCTTCCAAGGTATGACTGTGTATGTGTACAGCAGTGGTTCCCAACCTTTTTTTGGCCATGCCCCACCTAAGCATCTCTAAAATCCTGATGCCCCTTCCACAAGACATATAATTCTTATTATTCAAAAAGTGAACTCCTATTTTCGTGGAGGAAGCCTAAAAGGCCATGAACTTAGTGGTCTAAACAAGTTTCCAAAGAACATGGCATCGATGAAAGTGTGTGTATATGTGTGCGTGTGCGTGTGTATGAACGCACCGTATTTTTCCGTGTATCGGATGAGGTTTTTTGACTCAAAAATCACGTCAAAAAACTGGGGTTGTCCAATACACGGACAGTGGCATGGGGGGGGGGGAGAAGCTGTGCGCCACCAGCCAGTTCGTTGGCAGGAGCGCAACTCCCCCCAATGCCACTTCGCACGGCAGGTGCTCCCTGGGTTGTTTCCCATGCGCGGCGGCATCGGGGGAGGTTGTGCTCCCGGAGTGCAACCTCCCCCGATGCTGCTGCATGCAGTGGGCGCTCTCTGGACTGTTTCCTGTGTGGCAGCGGCGGCATCAGAGCGCAATGGCTGGTGGGAGCACAAATTCCCCCAATGCCGCTGTGCGCAGGAAACGATCTCGGAAGTGTTTCCTGCCCCCAGCGGCATGGGGGGAGAGGCTCAACAACCTTGGGCCATCTCCCCTCATTTTCCTAAAATTGAGTCCCCCCAAAATGGGGGGGGGGTGTCTTATACACGGGGGCATCCTATAGACAGAAAAATATGATATATTTATACAGTGGTACCTCAGGTTAAGTACCGTATTTTTCGCTCTATAAGACGCACCAGACCACAAGACGCACCTAGTTTTTGGAGGAGGAAAACAAGAAAAAAAATATTCTGAATCTCAGAAGCCAGAACAGCAAGAGGGATCGCCACGCAGTGAAAGCAGCGATCCCTCTTGCTGTTCTGGCTTCTGGGATAGCTGCACAGCCTGCATTCACTCCATAAGACGCACACACATTTCCCCTTACTTTTTAGGAGGGAAAAAGTAAGTCTTATAGAGCAAAAAATACAGTACTTAATTTGTTCCGGAGGTCCATTCTTAACCTGAAACTGTTCTTAACCTGAAGCACCACTTTAGCTAATGGGGCCTCCCGATGCCACCGCGCCACCAGAGCATGATTTCTGTTCTCATCCTGAAGCAAAGTTCTTAACCTGAAGCACTATTTCTGGGTTAGCGGAGTCTGTAACCTGAAGCGTATGTAACCTGAAGAGTATGTAACCTGAGGTACCACTGTATTTATATTCGGTATACGAGGCCCCTAGAACCATAAGGAATGCATAAAATTCACTGTTAATAACACATTCTCAAATTGCCCCCTTTAAAAATCAAATCCCCCCCCCCCCGTGTGCCCCATGTTGGGAACCATGGGTCTAGAGGCTGATTTACAAATTTACAAATGCAGACACAAAATATAATGCACACATTCGGCATTTGGGAACTCTTTCCTGCCTTCCTTCCTAACCTGTTGAAGCACCTTCTCCTTCCTAGGCACCTTCCCACCTCCTGTCCCTGCCCCAAACATTAGCTGCAGCCTCCTCTTTGTGATCCCAGAACCATGTTGTAGTCCATGATCTCCATCACCCTCCAAAAAATGCTTCTTTTCCTGGCGTAGCTAACCGCTTGGCACCCTCTGTAGGTTTGCTACTTGGGACAAACATCCCATCAGTCCAAAACAGATTGGAGTGGCAACTCCCTCATTTCACACTCGCACACAAACACACTCCCCCTCTCTCTCCCCAGTGGGCTGAAATATTAGAAAATTTGTAGATTATGACAAGTGCTTACTGTAATCACGACACAGACATTTGCAACTAAGAGAGTCATCTAAATGAATCAAAAGGAGGAAATGTCAGGGGAAACAAAAGGAAAGGTATTCAATCACATCTGAGCAAAACTGTATCTCATTAGCCAGCCTTTCATGTGCAAATCCACTGGAAAGTATTTTAATTAAAAGCTTAATCTCGACATTCTTCCCCCGCACAGCCCTTGTTAAAACAATTGCAGGCCGTTGTGTGCACATTGTGTGTGCGCGAACCCAGTGTGCGCCAAGGAAATCCAAAACCTATGTTTACATTTATTTAAATCGAACTAATTTGCCTAAATTGCATTAATTTGCTCTGCTAGCCAGGCTGGAGTTTGTGGAAAATCAGAATATTTGGCAAGAAGCAAGAAAGGAAGAGTGCAGGAACTCAGTGGCCGAGCGCATGCTCTGCATTTAGAAGGGTCTTGAGGTGGCTCCCCAACGCTGCCAGATAAACTGATGTCAAGTAGCAGCTGATGGCAAAGATGGCTGCCAGAGACCTTAAAGAAGTGGCTCTCAAAGGAAGTGGCAGGAGAGGATGGCAAGGGTGGCAGGAAGATTCAACGACAATCAAAGGAACCTTTAAACATTTCAGTAAAGTGTAGCACCAAAATAATGTTTAGTATCAAACACAGTGTCAAAATAATGTGTATATACAACCAGAAACAGTATCCATACTTCTCTTCAAGAGCATTGGCTGTTCTTCTACAGTTCTCCATGATACAGTGGTACCTCGGTTTTTGAGCATTTCGGAAGCCAAACGTTTCAGTTTTTGAATGCCGGAAACCCAGAAGTAAACGCTTCCATTTTCAAACGTGCCTCGGAAATCGAACTTCTGAGGCGGCTTCCTGTTTGAGTTTTCCATACAGTCTGAGGCTTCGGTATTGAGTTTTTGGTTTTAAGACGTTTCGGAAGTTGAACAGTCTTCCGGAAGGGATTACGTTTGAAAACCGAGGTACCACTGTGTATTGTTGTGAACAGAGATTTTCAATTGTGACAAACATGGAAGATCAGAAAAATGGCATAAACAGATTGAACAAGCTTGCAAACCAGGGTTGGAGATACAGTGGAACCTCGGATTAAGTATTTAATTCGTTCCGGAGGTCTGTTCTTAACCTGAAACTGTTCTTAACCTGAAGCACCACTTTAGCTAATGGGGCCTCCTGCCGCCGCTGCTGCACAATTTCTGTTCTCATCAAGAAGCAAAGTTCTTAACCCAAGGTACTATTTCTGGGTTAGTGGAGTCCGTAACCTGAAGCGTATGTAACCTGAAGCATATGTAAGCCAAGGTACCACTGTACTCGTTTGGCCCTAGAGCCACATCCCCTTCTCAATGAGCTTCCAAAGTGGGCTGGGCCATTGGCAAAAGTGGGCAGAGCAACCAATATAAACATTATCTTTGTCCAGCGGGGTCTACACACACACACACACACACACACACACACACACCTGTCTCTAGCCTCCATCCAGACAAGCAAGTCCTTATAACTTCAAGGACACATGGAATCATAGAATCCAGCCAAATCCGTGGGCTGCAAAGCAAACCAGAGAATGGTGTGGCCTAAGGGAATGTTCCAAGGGCCAGGCAGAGAGGCATGGAGGGCCACATTCAGATCCCAGTTCTGGGGTTCTCCCCCCACAACACCTGTTGTAAAGCTTTCAGTAGGCAGATGACACATTAATTGCAACTCAGAAGCGGCATTGTTTGCACTGATTGCCAAATGCTAACAAACGAGTGAAATCTCAGACTATTTTGTTGGAAACTGAATTGTCTAATCATGTAGAGTTCTTAGGCTTAATTCAGAGGTGGACAACCTGTAGGCTGAAGGCTGTATGCTGTGTTCAGGCTATTTAGGGTGGATGGCAAGGGTGAGAGACCAGGAAAGGGGGCGGTGGAAGCAGAGAGATGTTCTAACATGGACAGTAAAAACAACATAGAACTTCCTATTGGGAAGAAATCTCTTGAAATCAATCCCAAAACACTTTGATACACTCCCATTACAAATTGTCAGACTGTTGAACTTGGAACTGGGAGATCAGACTTCACATTAGCTACTCAGCCACAAATTCACTAGATGGGTTTTGGCCAAAACAAAGCCTCCGTTTCCCACCTGTAAAATGTAACCAGTGACCTATTTTGAGGAATGGACAAAATCAGGCTAATAAAGCATTTCAGCAATATGCACATTTTAGCAAACTTCAAGAGGTTCAGTGAGTTGGGGGAGGTGGCGCTGTGCTTGCTGCTGCAATTCTAATCAAGTCTATTCATGAATAAACTACATTGTATTCAATGGGTATTACTCCAAGGAACGTGGAGTTTGGAGGACTACATAACTCTTTCTTATCTGTATCCGTGTGATTTGTAAGTGCCTCACTTTGCGTGGGTCGGGATTCTTCATCCCCTGGACAGCCTTGCGAGGTAGATCAGGCTGAGATCTACTGCTATGAACAGAAATTTCAACCAGTCTCCCACATCAAAGCCCACCACTCTAAGTGAGAGTGTGGTATCTTTCCTCTTTTTTCTTTTACAGTCTCCTTGTGCTTTCCTGTGGTTTTCCCTACAGTGATCTAGGCAGATAGCACCACAGACCTCACTCTGTGTAACGGTCAGTCCCCCACACACCTCCTATTATCCAGGCCCTCCCCCAAACATGAGGGTTGGACTAGATGACTCACAGGGTCCCATTCAACTCTACAGTTCTATGCACTGCCTCTGCCACTTGCTGCAGGCATGCTAGCCACTGCATCACTAACAAAACTCCTTCCTAACCCACATCCCCCACCCTAGAAAATGATCTCCTGGCCTCTCTTGCAGAAATGAAGCCTCGTTGCCCTTTTAGCAGCAGCAGAATGACTACCCCTAGCTAATTAAATGCATTCCTCCTGGCTTTTTTTTTTTTTAAATGCTGTCCTTATTGCATCAGTTGCAAATGCACTGCAAAAAAAAAAAAGAAATGGGGTATGGTATACATTCAATCTGTGTCCTCTAATTAAATATACACCTTTAAAAACCAATAATTAAAAGGTCATTTGTCAACTTGACCCACATTTACATTAGCAGGGTGGGCAGTTTGATTTGCTCCCCCCCCACCAAAAAAAAGGGTACTTTGATGAAGCCTCCAAGAGAAATCCGATAGAATTTCACTCTCATCTGCTAGCAATTCACCGGCGTTGGAAACTCTAAGGACTTCTACAGGTTTATATGTCTGATTTATTATCCCTGCACATGAAAGCAAAGAAGCCATGCCCGCAAGACGCTACGGGTATGATGAATCACTCAGCCGAGCAAGGTGCATTCCTCTCCCTCGCTCACTGTAGCAAAAGAAAAAGTGTTTCTTGGAAAGTATTTATACCAGAGATATATTTTTTTTAAAAAAACCCCAAAAATGCAAAATACACACGTGCGCACAAACACAACTAAAATGCCCCAAATCCTTCCCTTTGCCACGCATTGCATTCTAAATCCTGTTCAAATGAGAGAGGGGCGCCGCCCCCCATTTTTTAAAAATGAAAGGAATGCGGGAAGAAAGAAGGAAAAGCGAAAGTTGAAAAGGAGGGAAGGAAGAAACTGTGCTGAGAGAGAGAGAGGAACGGGGGGAGCGTGAAGAGGGGGAGGCAGAAAAGATGGGCGAGAAGGTGAAGAAGCGAGGGAGAAAAAGAGTGAAAGAGGAAGGGACCCGCGCGAAGGGAAAGGAGGAGCAATGGAGAGAGGGAAGCGGCTTTTTCCTCCTCCTCCTCCTCCTCCTCTCCGTCTCTCCCTCCCCTCCTCCAGCTCCAGCGGGAGCCGCGTCCCTAACCAGCCCAGCCCCGGCGGCGGCAGCGCAGCCACTTACCGCTCCTGCCGGCCGCGGCCCGTCGGCGTGCCCGGCCCCGAGGGCTGCACATGGGCCGCCTCCTGTCAGCAGCCGCCCAAGTTCAACGGCTTCCCCGGCATCACCCCGCGAAGAGGGAGAGACAGAGGAGCCCCCGGCGCCTGCAACAATAGCCGGCGCAGCGCCTCAGCAGCTCCCGGGTCGGCGCGCCCTCGGAGCGCGCAGCAGACGCCGCCGCCGCATCGCTTCTTCTGGCCGGGCTGCAGCGGCAGCAGGAGCCGCGGAAAGGGGAGGGGGCTTGGCGGCAGGAGGCGGAGAGAGGCGGCGGAGGGGCTCGACGCCGCAGAGCCAGGCCTTGCCCCCGGGGAGGGACGGAGGGGAAGGAGGGCGGACCTCGGCTCGCGCCCTCGACGGGTCTGCGGGGAGAGGAGGCAACTCGAGCGCGCGGCTGCTCGGCTCGGCCAGTCCTCCCTCCCTCCCTCCTCCCAGGTAATCCCTCCTCGGGCGGTAATCCCGTCCCGATTGGCTCCCGCCGGCCGGATTTGCATGTCAATGCCCCCCCCCCACCCCGCCCTCCAAGTTGGCGAAGGGATCTGGAGGAGGGGGAGAAGCGCGGCTGCGGGCACGCTGCGCAAAAGCGCGCCGATCCTCCGCCACGTGGGTCAGGGTTAGTGGTGGGTGTGTTGGGGGGGGGATCGGGGGCGCGCCAGAAATGCCCTGTGAGGATCGGAGCGCAACACACGCGGGAAGGATTCGAGGAGGGAACGCGCATGTGGGAACGGAGTTTCAGTTGCACGTGTTTCCCAGCAAGCGAGGCTGGGCGGTGTCATCCGTGGCGCAGAGGGTAGGCTCGTCCGCCGCCAGACACGTATGTGGGATAAGGAGCAGCAGGCGGCAAAACGGAACGCGTGACTTATCTCCTGGTTTCTCCTGACAGGAGATCGTGACAAGACACGTGAATACACCTTGCGCCTTGGCAGCCTGCACAACAGCGGGGCAAGGCAGGAGCTGCGCGGGTTGTCCCTAGAGGGAGATCAGAGCCTTGAAGAAGCAAACAACCTGGAGGAACTTGTGGCCATATTTACACCATACATTTCAAGCACTAAGATGCCACTTTAAACAGTCATGGCTTCCGCCAAAAAATTATGTGAGCTGTAGTTGAAGGGTGCTGAGCAGTGCTTAGAAGGAAAAGATGCTGGTACTCACTGTGAAATTCTTACAGTAAGGGCCGCACTTTTAAAATTGGGGGGGGGGGAGGTTGCAGTACTGCGTACCCTTGAGTACCCCCAGGGGCAAAAGCACTGGTGCTGAGAAGAAGAGGAGTTTAAGGGGTGATATGATAGCCATGTTCAAATATATAAAAGGATGTCACATAGAGGAGGGAGAAAGGTTGTTTTCTGCTGCTCCAGAGAAGTGGACACGGAGCAATGGATCCAAACTACAAGAAAGAAGATTCCACCTAAACATTAGGAAGAACTTCCTGACAGTAAGAGCTGTTCGACAGTGGAATTTGCTGCCAAGGAGTGTGGTGGAGTCTCCTTCTTTGGAGGTCTTTAAGCAGAGGCTTGACAACCATATGTCAGGAGTGCTCTGATGGTGTTTCCTGCTTGGCAGGGGGTTGGACTCGATGGCCCTTGTGGTCTCTTCCAACTCTATGATTCTAGGAGTTTGGTTTTGATATCCCACTTTATCACTACCCAAAGGAGTCTCAGAGCAACTAACAATCTCCTTTCCCTTCCTCCCCCACAAGAAACACTCTGTGAGGTGAGTGAGGCTGAGAGACTTCAGAGAAGTGTGACTAGCCCAAGGTCACCCAACAGCTGCATGTGGAGGAGCGGAGACGCGAACCCGGTTCACCAGATTATGAGTCCACCGCTCTTAACCACTACACCACACTGGCTCTAAGAATTGTTAGAAGACACCTGATTTCCTCTCCCAGAGCTACAATTCCCTGTGAAGAATAATGGTCAAACCACTCCAAGAATTGCAGCTCTGTGTGAGGAATAGGGGTCTTTAAAAGCTCTCAGCACCCTTAACCAACTACATCTCCCAGGAATCTTTGGGGAAAACCGTAACTGTTTCAAGTGGTATAGTGTTTTAACTGTGGTATGAATGGGGCCTTGATAACAAGCTCTCACTTCCTTGACGTAACTTGCACGATAACAGCAGGATGGTGTATTTCACCAGGATATGCAGGGTGACAACATAAGAAAAGTTTTGCTGGATCGAATCAAAGGCCTGTGTCGTCCAGCCTTCTGTTCCTGCAATGGCCAACCAGATAGCCATGGGAAACCCACAAGCAGTACTCTCTCATCTGTAATCCCCAACAACTGGTATTCGGAGACCTCTGATAAAATAACCATCGTGACTAGGAGTCATTGATCAGCCTTATCCCCCATGAATTTGTCTAACCCCTTTTATAGTCCTCCAAAGTATAGATGGTGGTATAGGGACATGGGTGGCGCTGTGGGTTAAACCACAGAGCCTAGGACTTGCCGATCAGAGGGTCGGCTGTTCGAATCCCCACGATGGGGTGCGCTCCCGTTGCTCTGTCCCTGCTCCTGCCAACCTAGCAGTTCGAAAGCACGAAGTACAAGTAGATAAATAGGTATCTCACTGGCGGGAAGGTAAACGGCGTTTCCGTGCGCTGCTCTGGTTCGCCAGAAGTGGCTTAGTCATGCTGGCCACATGACCCGGAAGCTGTACGCCGGCTCCCTCGGCTAGTAAAGCGAGATGAGCGCTGCAGCTTCAGAGTCATCCGCAACTGGACCTAATAGTCAGGGGTACCTTTACCTTTACTAAAGTGGTGGTATAGAACGGCATAATTTAACCATGTGTTTTGTGAATACTTCCTTTTGTCTGCCCTAGCCCTTCTATAACTCATATTCATTGGATGGCCCTGGTCCTGTCCTGTCCCCCATCTACTTCCCCCACCCCCTATGCTTACATGATACACCTCTTATCATTCCTACAGATCGCCACAAGTTTCGCTCTGTTTCTTGCTTTTCCAGCCTTAAATTCAGTTCTCCGTGTTACAGCGTAAGATTTTTTCTAATGTCCTCATGAAAGTTCATCATTTTAAGGCGAATCACTCCCAATCACATCTGCATGCAATTTTCCTTGGTACTCTTAAGTGCAAACTCAGTCAGATTTCTCCTCCATCCCTCTTCATGCCTCCCTTTGCCTTTTCTCCAAACTCAAAAGCCCCATGTGCTGCAACCTCACAGCAGGGGTGTTGATCAGCCCCTTTGAACATTTGGTTGTCCTTTTCCGCACCTTTTCCCAGTTCCACAATATCATTGGGAAGTGCTACAGTTAGAACTATGCACACTATTCCAAGTGTGGAAGCACCCCAAATTTATACAAATGCATGGAGATATTGGCAGGTTTATTTTGGTCCGTTTCTTAATTATCCCCAGCATGGAGCTTGCCTTGTTTGCAGCAGCCAAACATTGAGTGACTGCCGTCTGATTACCAGCCCCAAAAGTTCCTACCCCAATAAATCTGCATGTTTCTAATGCGCCACAAAACACTTTGGCTGCAATCCAGCACTTTTAAACACCATTAATTTCAATACGGAGAGTTTTAAGCATATGCTTAATGATTCTGTTGAAAACCAATGGTATCTTTACTGCTCACATCCTTTACCATTTTAGTCACAGCATTACACCAGCTTACTATAGTAAGAATGAGGACTGCTGGGGTAGCTCAGTTGGTAGAGCACAATACTGTTAATCTCAGGGTTGTAGGTTTGAGCCCCACACTAGGCAAAAGGGCTAGGATGACCCCTGTGAATCTATGAATTTTTCAAGGATCAATGCAGCTGATCTGAGATCTAAGGATGAAGGTCGGTCTACAAATTTAATAAATAACAATATCTACATTCTCCCTTGGGTGCAGATGGCAAATATCCAGGGGAAAATTAATTTATCCTGATGGAGTATCTCCACCCCTATCATTCAGCCCTGGCAATGAGGTCCAGCTCCGAGGGCCTTCTGCTGGTTCCCTCATTGCAAGGTTACAGGGAACCAGGCAGAGGGCCTTCTCAGTGGTGGCGCCCACCCTGTGGAATGCCCTCCCATCAAATGCCAACAAAATACGCAACTATCAGACTTTTAGAAGACATCTGGAGACAGTCCTGTTAGATGGGTGGCATATAAATAATAAATTATTATTATTATTATTATAAAGTAAATACTGTAAAAATAAAAAAGCAATGTGTAATGTATGCAAGTCAGGAAAAAAAGCTTTTTTCAGCAGCAAAAATCAGTTTGTCTGCCTGCCTTAATTTTTAAACACCGACTTAGCATTCGGGCTCGACAAGTGCTGCAAGTTTTCACTGAATCAGCACAGGGTAGGGGAGTGGAAAACAAACTTGCTATAACATTATGGTGAGTTTTAGCTTTTGGTACAGCAATTGCTCCCCTGAATTCTCCTGCAAAAGTTGAGCTCGAAGTAGAGTAAGCCGTAATCCCAAAACACGGAACAGGAAGAACCTGTGTCCCTCCAGATGGGAGCTGGAGTTGCTGGATTCCAGCTCCCATTGTCCCCAACCAGCGCCAGATTTACGTATAAGCTAAACAAGCTATAGCTTAGGGCCCCACTCTCTTGGGGGCCCCAAAAAATTTAAAGGGAGAAAAACCCGGATGTACATTTCCAAAATATAAGATAAAAAACAAATAAAATAAAACCTACATACAGCAACAGTGTTGTGTTGTGTAGGCTCCTATGATGTAAGTAATGGGGCCCCATGCATATATTCAACACCAAAAACAGCAACAATTTGTTGTTGACAAAGGACAGCTGGACATATAAAGGGCCCCATTACCTTCAGTAGCTTAGGGCCTCATCAAACCTAAATCCAGCCCTGTCCCCAACCACTGGCCCTGCTGGCTGGGGCTGATGGGAGCAAATGAGGGCCATTGGTTCTGCACCCCTAATGTAGAGGCCTCAGTCCTCAGCTTTCCCCAAAGGACATATGTTTCTGTGTTAAAAACTTCAGCTACTTTTTCAACTTCCAAAAGGTATCTTTTGAAATTGGGGTGGGTGTGCATGTAAATCCTTATGCCTATCTTCCAAGCCAGCCAGGGCCACACAGACGCAACCCAGCAGGTCAACTGGAGCATTGATTATTGGAGGTAAAAAGTTCACCGCTCGTAAAAAGCTCATGTTGCAGCAAATGGGAATTATCATCTCCCCTCTTTGCCTTGCTCTAATAATAACAAGCGAATGGCAAAGCCTGGCATCCGAAAGCCATTCCTCTTGTGCAGCAACCAAATGGTTGATTGGAAATAGGAGTCTCCAGGTGCATCTTTCCCCCAAAGAACAAACAAAAGACAGGGCAGGGCTGATAAAGGGACCCCGCTCTTGAGCTCTGTGTTCTGGATAGTAGTATCTCTCTGAGGCCATGCGTAGGCTCTGCTTCCCTGGGTTGATAGAGGATGCTCAGGATCAGTCTAAGATGTTTCTCTGCCTGAGGCAAAGGACATGATGGCACCCCATACACAGAAGCCAGCCGGGCTGGTGGCCAAATCTTCAGCAGTTGCAGCAGCATTCGCGGGTAGAGGGCAGGACCCTTGGTACACACAGCTCTCTTCTCTAATACCTTGCTACTGTTTGCTAACCACTAGCAATGACAAACCTAGACAGCATCTTAAAAAGCAGAGACATCACCTTGCCAACGAAGGTCTGTATAGTTCAAGCTATGGTTTTCCCAGTAGTGATGTATGGAAGTGAGAGCTGGACCATCAAGAAGGCTGATCGCCGAAGAATTGATGCTTTTGAATTATGGTGCTGGAGGAGACTCTTGAGAGTCCCATGGACTGCAAGAAGATCAAACCTCTCCATTCTGAAGGAAATCAGCCCTGAGTGCTCACTGGAAGGACAGATCGTGAAGCTGAGGCTCCAATACTTTGGCCATCTCATGAGAAGAGAAGACTCCCTGGAAAAGACCCTGATGTTGGGAAAGATGGAGGGCACAAGGAGAAGGGGACGACAGAGGACAAGATGGTTGGATAGTGTTCTCGAAGCTACGAGCATAACTCATATTCATTGGATGGTCCTGGTCCTGTCCTGTCCCCCGTCCACTTCCCCCACCCCCTCTGCTTACATGATACACCTCTTATCATGCCTATGGATCGCCACATTTGCCAATTTAAGTTTCACTCTGTTTCTTGCTTTTCAAGCCTTAAATTCAGTTCTCCATTCAGTTTGACCAAAATGCGGGAGGCAGTGGAAGACAGGAGTACCTGGCGTGCTCTGTTCCATGGGGTCATGAAAAGTCAGACATGACTAAACAACAACAACAACAACAAGAAGAAGCATTCACTGCCTGAGGCAGTTGCCTTCTGCCTAATGGCAGATCCAGCCCTGAGCTAAACAGAATTCATGTCGTGCGTGCTCAAGATCCACCGCTGTGTCCTCCTTGCTCTCCCTTTTCAACATACTGTGCCAAATACTGTTGGCACCCACCTGTCTCAAGAGGCAATGGGGTGCGCCTCCAGGGGTAAAGTCAAACCCCTGTGTTAGCAGCACCAAAGTGACCTTCCCGGGGCACAAGCCTGGGCAGTGTGTATGGAGGTTTTGGGCTGCCCAGACAATAAAAGCCTCCTCTCAGCCTCACTGATGTGGTCCAAAGGAAAGCAGAGCAATGCACTTCCTTGATTTGTTGTTTAGTCGTTTAGTCGTGTCCGACTCTTCGTGACCCCATGGACCAGAGCACGCCAGGCACTCCTGTCTTCCACTTCCTTGATGCTACCACATTATTGCTGTCTGGAGGGATTGCAGCGCAACGATAGCAGGACAAAACCCAAAATAAAATTCCAGAACATTTGAAAGATTACAGGATTTCAGCAGGAAGCTATGCTATATGCATGGACCACCCCAAAACATTGGCAGACTCAGACAGTGCGGAAAGCAGAATCGAATGTGACCACTCTGATAGCATCATGATCACAAATCATCATGAATGTGCAATTTAAAAAAATGTCTGGAGGGGTCCTTAGTCCTTGAATTTGTACTTTTTGCAGCCTTTCTGGAAATTGTTCCTGCAAGAAGATTGCCCAAAAGTGACATGAATAAGTATTGGAGTCGGCACAGCCCAACGCTTAGCCCCAGAGCCCAATGAGGTAGCTGGTGTGTATTTAAGCAGGTCAAGTTAGAGGCTAAGCAATGCCTTGAGTAAATGCAGGATGTCCTCCAAAGAAGGCTCAGTTCTTCCTACCACTCTGGACTCAATTTACAGGTCTTTCCATTCTATTCCCTGGTAGAGACTTCAAGCACCGGCCTTGCTATTTTCATGATTAATCACGGGGCTACGAAAGCCTTCCTGGGGTCATGAAGTTCAACCCCCCTTTGAATCCTCATTTGGCTGCTTCCATTTGCTTCAAGGGGTTTAATTTACAGCTGTTGTGATTGCTGGTGCTGTTTTCGCTATTGATTTGCTTTCGTTATCTGGTTTCGCCGTAAGAGCTCAGCTCCCAAGGTACCAGCGGCAGAGCCGGTGTCTTAATTCCGTGGGTTCCTCAAGATGTTACTGGGGGGAGAAGTCTCCTCTAGTAAACAGCAAACAGGCTGGATGATTAAATGGAATCAGGATCCCAGCCTTGTAGGGAAAAGGGGTACTGCGTTTTCTAATAAACAAACCCTCCTTGCAGCCATCAACAATGTTGATAGCGCAGGAGGAAACTGCAGGTAGTTTCTCCGTTCTGAAGGCAGAGGAGAGCTTGGCTGGGTTTCATTTTTGTGCAGTTAAAATGCACGTTTTCCGCCACGGTAGAAGTTTGTAATGGTATCGGTATGCAAGTCACATGGACACAGAAAGCCCTCAGCTGCAGGGATGGAGGGAGATGACGGTTTCATACAGGTTGGTTTGCAGCCTTACAGCTATACGATCCTAAACAAGCATTAAAGAGAGACAAAGCCTTAGAGCACAGGAAGTAGGGTGTTATTTATATATGGGCATCTCCTAGGAAGGATCACCCACCCATTTCTAGCTCTCTTCATTCTGGATGTTATTCAAAAATGGAAAAATCATAAGACGCAATAACTATTTTCTGTGTATTTCAGTGAAGTACTGTTAGTGAGCTGTCAAGCGAATTATCGACTACAGTTCAGAAAGCATGTGAGAGCTCACATCCTGTCTTGCTTACCTAAGTTTCCATTGCATCTCTTAAGAGACATACTCAGTATGTTGAGTTTCTTCATTTTCGGTCTCCCCTCCTGAGAGAGTCCTTGAATGCCGAATGCGATTTCACAGGCAAAGGTTATATTTAGACATCAATGATGGTTTATCATGCAGGAAATGAGTCTGTGTGAGGCTTGGGCTCGCACAACCCTCTCTGCCCTCCAGAACTGTCACAAGGAGGATATCAGAAGTTTCTACCTCCTTTTTTGATTGACTGCAGTTTAGTGTTTTTGAACCCCAAATTGTGGTTCATGTTAGTTATGGTTTGTGGAAACCATAACTAACATGGCTTGAGGTTGGATTGTTTCAAACAGACCATAGTTAAGACTAATTACAGTTTGCCAGGTTTGGATCAAATGACAAGCTGTGGTTAATTAAAAGTGGAAAGGCAAGCTTCCCAAAAGGGGGAATGGGGGAGGGAGAAAGTCCAAGGTTTCTGTAAGTTCATTAGCATCACAGTAAACTATGGTTTGTCATCGTGCCTCAAAGCAGTCAAAATTATATTCCATGTTTTCTGTCGCCCATTAGAATATGCATGCAGAATCCATCGCCTGGATTAAGAAAACCTTTAACATCTCATAACTGTTTCCTTTTGACCAAAGCAGTGATGAGAAGACAGTGAACCACCAAGGAAGGGAGAGATTAATATTCATTTGGAAACATACAGGTGAGAATACTGTGGAATTACAGTGGTGCCCCGCAAGACGAATGCCTCGCAAGACGGAAAACTCGCTAGACGAAAGAGTTTTCCGTTTTGGAGGTGCCTCGCAAAACGAATCTGCTATGGGCTTGCTTCGCAAGACGAAAATGTCTTGCGAGTTCCTGGTTTTTTCTTTTCCTTGTCCCCTCTTTTTCTAAGTCGCTAAGCCGCTTATCTGCTTATCCGATAAGCTGATAAGCTGCTAAAAGCCGCTAAAAGCCGCTAATAGCGCTAATAGCGCTAATCCGCTAATCCCGTCAATGGGCTTGCTTCGCAAGACGAAAAAACCGCTAGACGAAGAGACTCCCAGAACGGATTCTTTTCGTCTTGCGAGGCACCACTGTATTGGAAAAGTGGATGGAACAGAAATCCAGTGCTTGACCTGAATGCAGTACACTATATCACAGGTAAAAGGTTTGTTATGTGCACAGCAGAAAATTCCAGATACCTCAAATTTCAACACCCATGACCTCTGACTTTTAGACCCAGGGTACCATCGCTCACTAGAAGGATGGGGAATCCCCAAGGAACAATTCACAGCAGTTGGGAAGGGAAGAAATTGAACTGGCTTCAAACACAATAGCACTTAGCATTTCACATAAATTAGCCCAATAATCCTAAGAACAGCCCTGTAGGGTCAGACAGCATAATTATCAACACACTGCAGATGAGAAAAGGGAGCTGAGGATGGAGGAGCGAGGGGAGCGGTGCATCTGCATTGTTGAGGCAAAAATCAAACCAGGGACTTTAGTTCAGCCTTCGCCACTCCACTTCACCAGCTGCCCTTTCATGCAAATTTGTAATGCTGTACTGCGGGTTGGCCAAGGCAGCTGCAGCTTGCAATACTGATCTGCATATCGTGTTTCCCCCATCGCTACCTAACAGGCCAGGTGTCTTCCCATTTTAGGAAATGAGGAAAGCACAGCCTGCATTTTATAGGGTGTGTCCCACTGTAAAACTGGACAGCATCTATTATTATTCCAAGAATATTCCACTGACTGCCAGAGGAAACTTGTCCGAAACTTCCAGGTGTTAGTTGGTCCCATCCTGGTTTGGGGGATCCTGATTTGATCAATCAGCGCTGGCCTCAACAACGTCCCTGCCTAGTGCAGAGACACAAGCAGCCAGGTATTGTCGTCGTTGTGTGATGAAGTCTAACAAACGCCACCTAGCCTGTAAAACTGCCTTAAACCAGCAGGTATTTATTTCAGCATTTTCTAGCAGTGACAAAACAAGGTACAATGAGCAAGCCATCGCCTTGGCTCTTCCCATTCAGAAATATCCAGTAACGATCATAACAAGCAGTTGTTTGGAGTTATTCCCCAGTGTTGCATGAGGAAGACATGGTCCTGGTCATTTACTGCTTCAGGCTAGTGTTGTTTCATGCTTAACAGGCTGGAGCACAAACAAGAAAGCTCTGTTCTGATTATAGGTGTGCAGCAACGAACAGCAGTTGCTTTGGGGGAAAGGATATCTGCACATGCTTTTAAGACACTTGTATAAATGGCTTGTGTTCATGGTTCCAAGCCCAATCTACTTATTAGGGCTGCAGGAATGTAGCCCTGATCCTTGAAAGCCAAGCATTGGATCTGTTGTTGTTGTTGTTTAGTCCAGCCATCTCGTCCTCTGTCGTCCCCTTCTCCTTGTGCCCTCCCTCTTTCCCAGCATCAGGGTCTTTTCCAGGGAGTCTTCTCTTCTCATGAGGTGGCCAGAGTATTGGAGCCTCAGCTTCACGATCTGTCCTTCCAGGATCTAGACCCTACTAACACAGTTCCTTGACATAACATCATCAAAACAGAACATGAATTATAGCTTATTTCGCTACACTAACTCAGCCTACCCACAAACTCTATCCCAATTCACTCCCACTCCAACCAACCACCCATCTCCCAACAAACTCTCCCTTTGCCCCTCCCAGAGCTGGTTTTAGAGTCCCTCTGACTCCACCCCCTGGGTTCTGATTGGGTAACCTGTTTAACTATTTCACCTCCAGCACTCTCGTATGTTAATGTCACAATCTGACCCTGAACCTCTGATGCCTTGCGAGATATCTTTGGGAGAAGAGAAGGTTAAGGAGTAAACTGGAGTGGAGTCCCTAAGACGGTTCCTCCTTCCAGCAACTCCTGCAGCCAAGCTGGTGCTAAACATCTTGATCTGCTTTCCTTTGGTCCACATCAGCAAGGCCAAGAGGGGGGTCTTGTCGTCTGGGCAGCCCAGGACCTCCATACACACTGGCTGGGCGGGCACCTCGCTGAGGTCAATTTGGTGATGCTAACGCAGCAGTTTGACTTCACCCCTGGAGGCACACTCCATTGTCTCTCGAGACAAATGGGTGCCAACTCTGAAGGATGATTGCTAGAGTTGTCAGTCTTCAGGTTCCAGTCCTCCCTCAGGGTGGGTCCAGATAACTGCCATTAAAAACAACAACAAAAAAACCTGCCCACACGGCTTCATTTATGCTCTCAATCAGGGGCTGGGTGCTGTCTTTTCTTGTTTCTCTAGGCAAGAGCTCTTGATAAATCTTTTGAGCTTTGGTTTTAATTCACGGGGCTTCTCCCCCCTCCCACACCCAAGGAAAGGAAAACCTTTGCTGCAACATCAGGTAAGCAAGAGAATTAAAGCCAATAAAAACATATTATCTGGCGAGCTCATTGTTCTCAGAGTCCTGAGATAAGGCCAGTTCCCAATGTATGAGAAGTTTGAAAGAGGGCACCACATTCATCTCATGCTTTTTTCTTTCTTTCTTTCTTTTTTGCACAGGCTTTAATTTGGTGAGAAAATATATTTTCCCATCAAGAGAAGCTATTCTGCCTCATTAACTCTCATTAAAAAAGCCCTGCACCCCTCCCACACCTCACCCGGACCCCTAACCTTGAAACCTGAAAAGGAAGCATCAATGAAGAGAGAACTTTGTTGTTTGTAGACTGAATTAACAAACAACATTTAGGACAAAAAACAAAAGGGCCACAAACAGTCCTATAAATTAAATTTATGGGGAAACACAGAAGTCTCCGTTTCTCAGCCCACAAACATTTCTGAGGTGTTTGGTTTTTTCCCTTTCTCGAGAGGGATGTTGCCTGTTGAAAAATGGTGGCCTGGTTTGCTATTTTCTTCCATTGTTGAAGTTCCATGCATCCACCGCGCTAAGTTTTAAACTTCTCTGATGCTATCAATTAGGACTTAGAAATTTGCCTGCTTCCCTTCTTTGTTGTAGAAATGAAGTTCACAACAGAGTGCCTTGAAGTCACAATTAGAGAGTTAAGCACATGCCAGAGAGTCTCCATAGTGTTTGTAGTTTTTTGAGTATGAAAAATTCAGGGTTTTTAAATAAAAAAACAATCTCTCTCTTTCTCTCTCTGGGAAGAGAAAAATAGGATCGTATTCTCATTTCAATATTCTGCCATTTTGCCTTCTGGGTTCCTCACGCCCCTCAGGAAGGGAGCTGCTCATGGGCCAAGAAGGCCAAATCCAGATGTCTAATCCAATGTTTCTGGCCCTGAGGGACCCTACCAATTTTGGGGAAGGTGGCAGAAAGAAAAGAAGGTTTAAAGCAGACACACTGTTGGGGTGGGCTGAGGGGGGTCTTGTCATTTCAGCAGCCCAGGACCACCATACACACTGCCTGGGCTTGCAAGCTTAGGTGCTGCTTATGCAGAGTTTTGACTTCACAGTGGCAGAGGAAGAGGGGTGTGGGATGTGTGGGCCGCCCCGGGTGTCATCACTGAGGGTGGGATGTGATCAAATAACAAAAATATGAGGGGGTTTTTTAAAAAAAAATGGGCTCACGAAACTTTTTAGTTCAATCAACAAACGTAACAAAATGCGGCTGGCACTGGGCACCACACGTCCTGGGAGTGACGTGGTGGCTTGGGTGCCTGCAGGCTCCACACTGCCTGATACTGCCGCGTGGGGCTTGCGTCTGCCCTCCACTGCCCTACAGCTGAGGGGGAGGTGGTGGAGAGGCTCCACACAGCTGCCCCACCCCATGGGCAGCTCGCCCCATCCCCGGCTGTAGGACGTGCGCACTGCACCGGGCACCCGAGCGGCTAGCTACGCCGCTGCCCCCAGAGGCTCACTCTATTGTCTTTCACCCCCATCATTTTACCCGGACAGTGAGGTCCAGCGCCGAGGGACTTCTGGCAGTTCCCTCACTGTGAGAAGCCAAGTTACAGGGAACCAGGCAGAGGGCCTTCTCGGTAGTGGCACCCGCCCTGTGGAACGCCCTCCCACCAGATGTCAAAGAGAACAACAACTACCAGACTTTTAGAAGACATCTGAAGGCAGCCCTATTTAGGGAAGCTTTTAATGTTTGATGCATTACGGTATTTTAATATTCGGTTGGAAGCCGCCCAGAGTGGCTGGGGAGGCCCAGCCAGATGGGTGGAGTATAAATAATAAATTATTATTATTTCGAGACAGACGGATGCCAACCATACCAAGTGCCTGAGTGCCGCTCCAGACAGTGATAACATTGGAGAATCATCAGGGAATGAAGCTGTTCATAAAGCAGAGTGATGTGTGGATGGTCCAGTGTAGAAACATGGGAAGCTGCCCATTGGAAACCATCAACTCAAACCATTGGTGCATCCATCTCAGCACCAACCGGTCCTAGGCTTCAGACAGGGGATCTCTCCCAGCACATTCTAGAGATGTTGGGGATTGAACCCACAACCTTCTGCATACAATTCAGACGCTCTACCACTGAGCTATGGCCCTTTCCCAAATCTGCCGCTAAAGCACTATTATTGCATCCACGACATGTTGCAGAACACACCCACTGAAAAACCAGTCTGGAGGGGCTGGTGGAGCAAGACATCTGTGATACTGAAGAACATAGCAGCAGGCCTTTTGGCCACATCACAGTGGGGCGAAGGGGTCATAAGGGTGCAGCCACCCACACAAATCTGATAGGGACCTGTGAAGGTCCTCTTCCAGGCATTGCTCAACCCATTAAGGTCTTGGTTTTTGGAAGACTTTGCTTTGGATCCTGTCCCTCCCTGGAAATTCAACACACCCCCATCATTCAAGGTGCCTGCTCTATGGCTTGCAAATCCCCACCTTAGGGGGCCTGTGGCTTGGGCGGTGCCTTGGGGAGGTGGCCAGGAGATGTTGACTTGGCCTTGGATGTGATTCTACTACAGAGAAGCTAGCATTGGGGCCTGTCTGAATGGGCCTGTGCTTTTTAGGTGGTTTGCTTCGTCAAACCCGCGTTCAATTCTTTGAGCCCTTGGTAGGTTTCCTTGGCATTTTACAACCCGACTCCTTTCTCCCCCCAAACCCAATTGCCTTTTGTGCTGAGCCCGGTGGCAGAGGTTAGAAACCACCCTCCCCAAAAAGAAATCATCCTGATTAAAGCAGCTTCTATCTTATTCCAAAAGCAATTTCCTCTTTCCCCTTCTCAAGCCATGTCTGCTCCAGAGCCAGGCAGCCTTTGAATCTCACATTCGCTGCCAAGCGCTGTTTTACATGGCCTGGCTGCGGATTTACAGGAGTCAGGCAGCTTCACCAATACAAAAGCCAACAGATATAAATAACCCCTGCGAGGCAGCCCTCCTTTCACAAGGATTTGCCTTTGTCCTGTATAAAACTGATGAAATCTTTCTTGTTTTGTTTTTTGGGTTGCTTCATCGCTGTGAACTGAAAATAACCCGTCTTCCTCTTGTGATAAACGACAAGACTCGGAAGACAAAATATATCCCCCTGGATCTCCTGCTCTCATTGCCAATGCCAGGGCCATTCCGGCAGATGATTTGCACACCTTTGGCTGCGGCAACCCAAAAAACAAGGCTGCTTTCGCACGGCTCCCTTGATTTACTTCAATGCGGCATGTGTGGGGACAGGGAAACTGCACGTCCTCCTGCGCGCTTTAAATTTATTCCATTAAATTTACACCTCGTGCCAGGAGAGAGGCCATAGCAGAGCGCATGTTCTGCATGCTAAAAGTCTCAGGATCAGTCCCAGTTAAAGGGATTTTAGATGGCTGGGCAGGAGACACCCCCAGATTATCCGCTACTTGTAATCATGATCTGGCTCAGAATGGCATCTTCACAGGTTCAACTGCTGTTATGGATGAGCCGGAGTTTAGTGGCACAACATGCTCCAGCCTTTCCCAACCTGGTGCCCTCCAGATGATGATGGACTACTCCAGGGGTGGGGAGCCTCAGGCCTGGGAGCCATATGCAACCCACCCACCCCCTGGCCTCTCTACTGGACCCAGTGTTTCCCAAACTCGGGGGTCCTGCTGTTTTTGGACTACAACTCCCATCATGCCTAGCTAGCAGGACCAGTGATCAGGGATGATGGGAAATGTAGTCCAAAAAAACAGCTGGAGACCGAAGGTTGGGAAGCACTGATCTCACAATTCATCATGAGCTCCGCAGCGCTGTTGGGATTAGGGTTGGGTTGAGAGGCTCTTACGGAAGAAATGGGGGAAGACTGAATAATGGGAGCCTGGGTTGGAGATGGGGAGAGATCTCTCCTTTCCACTCCAACTTCAGTCACTTTGGAAGGGGGAGCAGGGTGGCAGGATAATAATAATAATAATAATAATTATTATTATTATTATTATTATTATTATTTATTTGTACCCCGCCCATCTGGCTGGGTTTCCCCAGCCACTCTGGGCGGCTTCCTACAAAGATTAAAAATACTGTATTTTTCGCTCTATAAGACGCACCAGACCACAAGACGCACCTAGTTTTGGGAGGAGGAAAACAAGAAAAAAAAATATTCTGAATCCCAGAAGCCAGAACAGCAAGAGGCATCGCTGTGCAGTGAAAGCAGCAATCCCTCTTGCTGTTCTGGCTTCTGGGATAGTTGCACAGCCTGCATTCGCTCCATAAGACGCACACACATTCCCCCTTACTTTTTAGGAGGGAAAAAGTGAGTCTTATAGAGCAAAAAATACAGTACATTAAAATGTCACACATTAAAAGCTTCCCTGAACAGGGCTGCCTTCAGATGTTTTCTAAATGTCAGGTAGTTGTTTATCTCTTTCACATCTGATGGGAGGGCGTTCCACAGGGTGGGCGCCACCACCGAGAAGGCCCTCTGCCTGGTTCCCTGTAGCTTTGCTTCTCACAATGAGGGAACCACCAGAAGGCCCTCGGCACTGGACCTCTGCGTCCGGGCAGAACGATGGGGGTGGAGATGCTCCTTCAGGTATACTGGGCCAGGTATACTGGGCCTTCCTGCAGAGTAGAGAGCGTCAGCGGGGGCTGGAGAGGGTTTTGATGAACTGAGGGACCTGAACAAGAAGGTGCAGGCTTGTTGCCTAAAGCCAGGGGGTGCTTTTGCCGAGGGCAGCAAACTCAGCTGTCTCGACAGAGCACACTCGACATTCCTGCAAGTCTCCACGCCTCATCTCTAAAAGCTTAGTGGGATGGGCTGAGGAAACTCATTTGAACATATTTGTCCTTTCTAGCTGTCCTTTCTAGCTGTCCTTCTTGCCTTGCTATTGAACTCTTGACTTGTGACTCCAGAGCTCTGGGTCTGCTGTTGAACATGTAGCATGAATTGCCTGAGTAAAGGTCTCTTTCTTATTCACATGTAAGGGTACTTTATTATTATTATTATTATTATTATTAATACCCCACACACCTGGCTGGGTTTCCCCAGCCACTCTGGGCAGCTTCCAACAGAATATTAAAATACAATAACCTAGTAAACATTAAAAACTTCCCTAAACAGGGCTGCCTTCAGATGTCTTCTAAAAGTCTGGTAATTGTTTTTCTCTTTTTTACACCTGGTGGGAGGGCATTCCACAGGCCGGGTGCCACCACCGAGAAGGCCCTCTGCCTGGTTCCCTGTAGCTTTGCTTCTCGCAGTGAGGGAACTGTCAGAAGGCCCTGGGCATTGGACCTCAGTGTCCGGGCAGAACGATGGGGGTGGAGATGCTCCTTCAGGTATACTGGGCCGAGGCCGTTTAGGGCTTTAAAGGACAGCACCAACACTTTGAATTGTGCTCCAAAACGTACTGGGAGCCAGTTTAGGTCTTTCAAGACTGGTGTTACATGGTCGGCAACAACTCTTTGAATTGTTTCAGAGGAAATGAAAAATAAAATACTCCATATTTGCATGTGTAAAATAATCTACAGTTCCTTGAAAAATATGGAACCAAATTATATTTTCAGTTGTGGAGGGTGAAAAGGGCACAATGATTATAGCATCAAACACTGCCATACATACGGACTCAAACATCTTCTACGGCCAAGTAGTTTGTGCCAGGCAAAGAAATTCAAGGTTAAGCACGGATGCCAACGGCTCCAATATTTTCAATTAAGGAATCATATCACAACCAATATAAGAAATGGGGCCTTGAAGACTACTATGACAACATTTCAAATTCTTGTTATGAACAATAAATCAACAAAAGGAATGCTATATAAAATGCCACTTGGACAGAACTAGGAAGCCAGTTGGGAAATAAAGACAAAATGGGAGAAAATGACAGGCAAGATGGTATATGGAGTTGCTTTCTTCATACACAGAGGAAATGCTTGAAGATATATCTGTTTGGGTCGGGGGTTGTTTCTGCAGCCAAGTCAGGCAATATTTCCTTGGCCTGCACTGACAATTCAGGTAGTAAAGAACATCAAATCTTTAATTTGGAATCTTTTAAAAAGCAGCAGAAAACGGGATGCTTTCAAATGGCGGACGATGATAACTCCCTCAGTTTGGATTACCCAAGGACTGATGAATGGCAAAACTAATATAATTGCAGGAGGCAAAAGGACAAAAGAAGGACGGTATTGAGATATATTGAGCTGCATTTATTAACTGCCGTAAATTACAATACAGTCTTAAGATAGGCAGATACAGGTGTCTTGTAGTACATTCTTTATTCTCGTGTATTTGTGTATTCATTTAAGGCTAATGGTTTTCATTATTGTGCCCTGTACACAATGAACATTTTGTGCCTTGTGATTAAATTTGATTGAAATGATTTGAAATGCAAGTGGGTTGTCTTTCTCTGTTGGCGCAGTCACAGACTGGCCAGACTTGTACAGCTGGCACAGTATTTTTTATGCTTTATTGTTTTAACTGCTTTAATTGCTACACTTTTAAAATGTTTGTTTAGTTGCATATTTTAATTAAGGATGTTCTAAGGCAGGAATGGATTTCTTACTGCCCCCCCCCCAAATTATGGGTGGATTTTATGGTCACAAACTGCTTCGATCAACCTGTGGGTCCCCCATATGTTGTTGGACTACAACTCCCATCACCCCTGACCACTGGTCATGCTGGCTAGGAATGATGGGAGTTGTAGTCCAACAACATCTGGGGACCCACAGGTTGAGAAACACTGCCTTAGAAGCTGTTTTAGCATATGAGGCATATAAACTAATATAAAATAACGTTCTGCAGGCTGTTTTACATTTGTAGGAAATTATTTGGCCTGTTTTGCATATTATAGGCTGTATTCAAGCAACTTATTGTGCTAGAAGAAGTCAGAACAATTTCCACTAGTGCATCAAGACATCTCCTTCCTCTCCCCAGCTGCCTCACAGCACATGTTCCTTCATGCAAGCATGCCAGGACCACAGCAATTCTTTTACTGATAAGCCTAGCAGTTCGAAAGCACGTCAAAGTGCAAGTAGATAAATAGGTACCGCTCTGGCGGGAAGGTAAACGGCGTTTCTGTGCGCTGCTCTGGTTAGTCATGCTGGCCACATGACCTGGAAGCTGTACGCCGGCTCCCTCGGCCAGTAAAGCGA